CCCCCCCCCCCCCAAGTACATGTACTCTAGCCATTAGTTCCAGGACCCAGCAATGTTTGCCCGAGGGAGTAAGAAGAGAATTTGGTCATCTCTCCTCCCCTTACTAGAGGGTGATTTGGGCCCTCAGGCGGGTGTAACACCTTTTAATGCATAGCAAAGACAGACCCCCTTTGGGTCATTTCGGGAATATAGAATTGAGCCTGATAGAATAGGACATAATTTTCCATGTATCAAAGTCTGGGATTCCTTTCGACCTGATTGAGGTTTCAATGCATGATATGAGACAAGCTGCCGTGACTGACACCCAGAGTTCGCCGTCCCCGACAAACAAACAAGGAAACCATGATTTGATTATGTTGTTGACAGACTTTGTAAAGACACACTGTCAATCTGATACTCGAGGATCAAAGACGTAAAAGAGAATTCTAGAACATGCCCCAGACCTGCCCATGGTCATCGAAGCCCTACTACATGAGTACAAAGATCGGCGAGAGCCCCTTTTATAGCCAGCCATTGCATTCATTCCCGAGGCCTAGAGAAGACGAGCTCTTGTTTCGTGACAAGAATTCAAGAAGACGAGTTACGTTGGGTTCCCTCTCCGTCTTAGTGCCTTAATACTCCTAGCACATAGGCATGGAAAAGGCACCGATTTTAGCCAGGATTGTCTTTTGAGCCTTTTAATGTACCAAGCAGAGACGCTTTCAATCACGAGACGCGGGACTTTCAATTATCGAGAAGGACAGCTAGTCCTATACGTTACCAATGCCACGATCCCGGGCAACCAAGAAGGGAGGTAAACGGGTTCTTCAAAAGGCCCGAAAGACGAACCAGACCGAGCCTGGAGAAGATCCAGCTGAAGCATCTCTGGGTGTGCCGTCATCGACCAGCTTTAGAGAGCGATTATCCAATATATTTGGAAAACCGTCGCTCTCGCTGCGAGGAAGAAAGAAGATTGGCCGGGACAGCGATTCCAACGACTCTAACAGCAAGGACGGCAAGGACAAGGCCCAGCTCAGCAGTCTCCTCAGGCGGACTATAAAAGGTCTGGGGAGACCGTTGGTTGGACCGCTCGTAGGGCTGCCAAGGGAGAAATGGCAATGCGCCAAGTGCCGGGCGACCTGCCATTTGGCCGCCGGCACGGGCGAGGGTCTGCTCAGGCGCTGGTTCTGGCAATTACTCGGGACTCTCGGCGCAGCACTGACGGGTCGGCGCCGGGCGGCGGCGACGGCAGGGACGGGACTGCTCGAGGCCAAGTACCAAGGCCTGGAGTTTCAAGTGGCCGAAGCCATGCACAAATTTGGCAAACGTATGGAGAACTTGGCAAGTTGTATTCAAGACGGCGCTACTGAGAGGAAGGGGCGGATTGAAAGGAAGAGGCGGAAGAAACAGGAGCGCGACCGGCAGAAGGCTGAACGTCTTGAACTGGAACTCTGTGAACCGGCTGTTGACTAGGAGGAGGAGGGAAGGTAGGAGACAACACGCGTGATAGAGTAAGGGTAAGTCCAAATCTACGAATATGGTGTTTGCACATGCTCTCCATCGATAACCTTGAGACGACAAATTGGTCGGACTAGGCTGGGCTCGACTTGGAGCCTAGATTATGTGCTGGAGTGGAGTTTTATTGTTTCCCCCATTTCCCCTTATATATCAGATTCGAGGCTAATATAGCATTAGCATATACATCTCTAGAGGCTAAAAGTTGTGCCCAACATAGTCTTCTGCCTCGAATGATAATCAACTCACCATCATCGTTACCCAGACGTCGGCTTACTACAGAGCGAGAAACAAGCCATATAATCTTATGTAAATGCTTCTTGTTTCAGACAAGGAAGGTCCAGAAGCTAGGATAGACAAATTCCTCCTCGAATATTCTCCTGACCTGCTCGAGCACGAAGCGCTCCACCTTGCCGACATTCTTGAGGCTCTGTTTGATGCCCTCGCGCTGCCCAATTTCGCTCTCGACCTTAATTTCCTGGAGAAGCCCGCCCATACGGCCCTTCTGTCTCTTCTCGCCTTGTGCATCTTCCTCCTCGTCCGAGTCGTCGTCATCGTTGCCCACAGCAGCAACCGCATCCTCGGGGCTTAGGAAACAAAAGTGGACGCGTTTTCTGATATTGGCCACAACACCGACACCGTCAAAGGACAAGCCCGTGATATTGAGCTTGACCGGGATACCCACGAAGCTCGGCATGGGGTAGTCGAGCAGGATCTCGGCCGTCAGCATGAGCTTGATGTCGCCCGCGTACTTGATGCGAAACACGGCCTGCATATCTTCGATCCTGGGCTCCCGGAACTTTCTCATTTCCTCGTCGTCTTCGTCCTCTTCATCTTCATCCTCTTCACCATCATCCCCATCCCCCAATTCGTCGTCAATAGCGCTGCCGGTCAGAGCGGCATTTGCGTCCCGCGTAGGGGGTCTCGAGGCCCCCGCCGACGTGGGCGCCAGGGTCGAGACGCTATGCTTCTCCCGCAACAGCGCGCTCGATGCACTAGCCGGGAAGTCCTGGATGCTGATGGAGCTGCTGCTCTGCGAATGGTTGCGGTGGTGACCGCCGACGCCGTTGGCCACCCGGCCACCTTGGGACGACGACGGGGTCCCTGGGTACGAGGATGTTGACCCGCCCGGATAATACTGCTCGAACCGGCCATTTAGGTGCTGGGCCCCAGCCACGGCCGCGAGTGGTGTCTGCGTGCCCGACGGCCAGCCGGTAGCAATATGGGACGGAAAGTAGTGCATATTGGCAGTGCCTCCAGGTATGCCGAGAAAGGGCGTGCCGACGTCGGGGGTCTGTGGCGCACTGCGCAGGCCGGCCGTGTGAATGAAGCCACCGCCCAGGGGGTCCATGGGGGCCGGGCTTGCACTCCTAGGACTGTTCCCGGCGCTGATGGAGAGGCCAAAGCCGCCGAGGCGCCGCCTCTGCTCCTCTCTACGCCTCCGTTCGGCGGCCCTGATGGCGTCCGGAACCTCGTCCGCGCCTTGAGCGTGACCGACACCATTGCTCGGTGCAGCAGAAGCGGCATCCTCATCGTCCTCCCCGCTGGCCTCGTCGTCCTGCTCGTCAGCCTCGGGCATCTCCTCGTAAAAGTCCGGCAGCGGATCACAAATATCCTTGAGCGTGACCTTGGGCGGTATGCTGCCAAATTGGAAATCATGCACCTTGACCGACTTGATGAAGCGCGGCAACGGCACGGCCTGGAACTTGGTGTGAATAAAATCGCGGATGCGGCCGGCCAACTCGTCCCCATCCGGCCCCGATGTCAGGGTGTCCCAGTTGAGATCTATCGACATGTTCTCTTCTTCTCTATGCACGGGCGGGCAATCTTCTTCTTTTTTTTGTCCTCCTTCAGCGACCGTCGTGATATCAAGACTCGCTTACTGATGAACGCATATTTAGCATTTTCGTAGGATTTTCATGAAGACATGGCACTATGAAACCTGAGTTGTGTTTGAGGCCTGGATAATGTTGTTCAAATATGAGATCATAAGCTCGTGTGTTTTCTAGCTTGACGTTTTCTGGGTCGTTAGGTGGGGTGTCTTAGGCAGGTGCCAGCTGCAAGGTCGGGCGTACTACTTACATTACCTACAGGGAGGTACCTAACCTACTAGGTTAACCGTTAGGTAGGTACCCAGTCAAGTCAATCAGGATTTGAAACCTCTCAAAGAGACTTCAGCGCAATGCACATCATTGCAATGCTCATTTCACTTTCTTTCTTTCTTTCTTCCTGAGTAATAGTATGCAAAATAAGACAGGAAAACACGAATATATCTCGTGACTACCGGTATTGATCAAACACCTTGTATGTGCAAGTGGTGCATTCTGTAAATATATCACAGTGAATTGGACAAAAAGCCCCTAACAATAGATACATAAGTCGTCAATGTCGTATCTGCTTTGCTCCTTGTAGCCGTGCCTGCGCTTGATGCTGTCATTCTCCGCTTGCCAAACGCCTCGCAATGCCGTTGCCCTGAAGAACCAAAAGAAAAAAAAATAAAAGACCAATCGACAAGTCAAATTCTTGAACCACGACATGATATCTTGCCCTCACGGAACGCATAAATACATGCTGCTCAGTCCTGGCCAAGTTCCTCGACGCCCTCGTCGCCAACAGCATGGATATAAGCCTGTGGCTTATGTGTCAGAGGCGCCTGGAGTTGGTGCCAGCAGTTAGGGGCTTCCAGGATATATCTAAATGCCTGTCAGTTTGTAGCTCATAGAAATGAGATGAATCAAGGTGCTTACCTAGCCATGGCTTCTCTGAAGCGAGACTTGTACTCGCGGGGACTGGTGACTGTAGGTCTGTTGCGACCACCACCTGCAAAACCACGTCCCTTGATCCAGCTCTCGAGCGTCTTGTCCCAAGTGTAGGTTCGGATGCAGTCAATAATCCCGACAACCAGCTCCTTCTTGGCTTCGTCTACAGCTATCATAAGGGAGTAGTCCATAACATTTTGTCGCGCAAGGAAGAGCGTGTCGTTCCGAACCGACGCCCGCAGAAGCTTGGTCGAGTGCTCCCGCGCAAACAATGGTGACTCGTAAATGAACTCGACCATATTCTCGTCGAGGAGTACCTCATTCTGCTCGCCCGTAGACTGGATCTTGCGATTGCGCATCGATCCCTTCAAGTCGAACATCTTTGCCGGGCCACGATCGTAGAATAAGTTTTCCATGAGCAGGAAATCGAACTTGATCTCCGTATTCGTCAGAGGGTTCTTGATAATGACCTGGAAAAATCCCAACATCTTTGCTATAACGGAAGGAAGATCGCGGAACAATGCTTCGGCCATGTACTCAAAATAGACGGGCGCAAACTTCAAAAAGGCCGAGGTTTCAATCGGTTGAAGCGACTATGCATGGGTCAATTGACTGTGAGTAAACGTAACATGGAATAGAGCTTACCTTCAGTATGAGTCGGTCATCCTGCGTCTTGAGAAAGACAGATTTGGTCTTACCACCCCGGGTATCAACCTTCAAGCAGCGTGACAGTGACTCGACGATTCTGTGAGCAGCACCGCATTTTATCCGCAAAGCATCAAACTGCTCAGCATAGAAGATTTTCACCAGCATCTTGGCAGATCCTTCATTGAACTGGAATTTTAAATGTCTGCCCCCAACCCGTCGCATGCTAGCTTCGAGGCCTGCTTCACTTGCCAAGTGCGAGTCGGAGCTTAGGATGGCGCCTGGTGTGATAGGCTCCTCAGTGTCGGTTCCGCTGTCGAAGCTGTCTTGCTCTATGCGGCCATGGAACCTCCGAGCCTTTTCACGATATTCCTCGCAATCCAGTGTGAATGCGATCAATGAACTAGGTTCGTCTTCTCGCACGATGATATCGGAGTGGTCGAAGAGGTGGTCCGTAGCACTGATGGGGTATTCTAGAGCAGGCCAGTCGCTTGCAGACCGCTCGGCCCAGAAGTTGGTAAGTATCTTCATGAAGTTCATTTTGTCTTGCTTGGGCAGCTCAAGCGGTATATCGGTACTCGAGTCAAGTGAATCTGCAATCTCTTCCAAAGTTGTACCTTCTAGAAGTGATTGTTCCGTATCACTATCTCCTTGCTCATCGTCAGTCGGCAGCTGGCTTGTATTTGGTGCATGGTCGTCTGTCTCTGCTTCAGTTGCTGTGTCATCATTCGGGCGCTCATCCTCGAACGGCGCATGTGAATCTTCCGACAAAGGATCTGCAACACTCGGCTGAGCAATCGGCGTGGCATCGGCGTCATCAATATTGGTATCAATACCAGTGTCAACATCTGTATCAACGTCTTGTCTTTGCCGAACTTGACTAGTATCCCGGTCCAGAAGAGCTTCGTCTATACCCTGTCCTGGCTCTTGGACTGCTTCATCAGGATCTTCGTACACTTCCACAATGGCTTTGGTTGTGGATCTTTGGAGGAATGCCCGTGCATGTGACATCTTAGCCGCGTGCTGTTTCTCGTTCTTCTTCCGCTCTTTTTCGAATTCACGGCTGAGCTGCTCAAAGTGACGAGCAAGAGTCGACACCCTGGAGTCCTTCTTCCTTCCTACAAACCGAGGAATGGAGGATTTACCTCCATTCCGTGATCTAAGGCTAAAGATCTTCTTGTCACTCTTGAGCGACTCATTCGTGGGAATTTTGCGAATTTCCGCGCTGGGAGGATGCTCAGCAGTTGGTGTTTTATCCTTGTCCTTACCAAGGCTGAAGAACTTCTTGCCTATTGCAGAGTGCGACCGTGGCAGAGTTGGCATACTGTTGGCTGGTTGCGATAGGGCGCGAACAATGGGCGGCGATACCTGCAATCCCATCTTACGGGACGGCAGAGTCCCACCTGAAATCTTCGGCATCTCGGGCGGTTTCTGGGATAACTCGCTCGCAGCTGCAACTGCCTCTCGCGCCTCTTCAAGAACGACCGCTTGTTGGCGGCGACGAAGTTGCTCAACCTGCTCAGATACTGAAGTCGGTGGTCCTGTCGGTACAGGTGAATTGGCAGCAGCAGTTTCAGTGCTATCGAGCGATGCCACATCTGCCTGGGATGATGCCGTCGCTGCTCTTGGGGTCGTATCATCAGCTGATGGCGGAAGACTAGCATCAAAAATCTCTTGACCTGGAGTCGTCGGCGTCGCAGCCAGATCCAAAGGTTCTACTCTTTCGAGAACGGCTTCAGGGGGTAGGACAGGTGTGGTTTGTGCGTCACTTTCATGAGTGGCCTCGGCCTCGGCCCCGGCCTCTGGTAAAGCGTGGGAGTTGTCTTGCTCTGCGGCTTCTTCAGGCGGATTGAAGACATCCTCTGGTTCAGTGCTGTGAGGAGGCTTTTCTGTTATGTCTGGTGTCTCAGCGGGCGACTCATTGCTGACGAGAGATTCTTTTGACTCATCCGTGAACATCTTGCGCAATTGAAGCATCGTCAGCCTCCGGAGATCCTTCTCTGTGGGTAGAAAGTCCACCTCGAATTTGGCAAACGCAGCATCCCAATCTGCAACCTTTTCGATCATCTCGCCTCGCAGGACTGCGCTTAGAGGTATGACCTCATAATACTTGGAGTTCATATATGCCTCCTGCAGGCGGCGGATGATGAAAACGTGATCGTCTTGAACCTTTTTGTTCAGCCGCTCCACCTCCATCTTGCAAGCCTCCGCCTTCTCGGGAGCAATATTATCGAGCTTGATTGCCTTGATTCTTGCCTTGATCGAAGAAGTGAACCGTGTCCACCGATCTTGAGTGGAGGTGAATATCTCATTCTTCAAGTTGAGATCGTGCTCAACTTTCCAGGTAATGCGTGCTCTGGGAGCAATGACCTCTAGCAGATCGATTGGATCATAATGCACCCGGATTTCCTTGTTGTGCAGTCCGAAATAGCGGATATGGTCACGGTGGTGATCATGGGGGCAATTCCAGGCACTGCCGTCCTGGTCGTTGACCAGGTGTGTGCCTCTGCTCCAGAACGAAAGCTCAAGATACTTGCCGAACGAGTATTTCCATGCGCCCTTGGACATTTCCATTTCGGCAGTCTCACGTTTGCAGACCTTGCAGTAGCTCCACATTGTGATGTTTTCTCGGAACTTGCCCTTCTTGTCTAGCTCAACGAAAACAGTCAGTCGAGCTTCGCCGTGGACATATGTTCGATTATGATCAAGCATCTTGCGGTCGCATGAGGTTCCTGTGCAACTTGCATCGGCACTGAAACAAACGTCCTCAATATATTGGCCCAGAGTGCAGTCCGCGTCCATACGCTCGTTGTTCTCCACGTGCTCATCGTAAAATTGAATGGCGACAAGACCTGGTTCAATGCAAGGCACTTTGTTATGTGTACAAACAACAGAGTAGAGCACGACGATATTTTGGTGTGCCGAAGGCTCAAAAAGATCGAGATTTGCCTTGATGTGGTTTTCCCACTGTCGAGTTTGGGTGCGGTAGTAGTAGAGCGCTTTGTCATACTCGACATCATGCACGGCATGAAGCACTTCCATGATGGCACGAGGTGCTTTCTGGCCAGTTTGATGCACCATGTGGGGTTTGATCAGCTGGAACTTTTGAGGCTTTGTCTTGTCTCCTTCACTGCGCTCCTCCACGATGTCTTGATCTCTCAATTTCTTCAAATGCACAAGTCGCCGTTCTTGCTCCCGAGCTCTCATCAGGAGGTAAGGCTGGGCAAACTTGACGAAGGGAGAAGCGGACAGAATCCTAGTCTGGTATTTAGCCACCATATCACTGTAGTATGTTGGCATCGGAGCATCATCTGGCACCAAGCTGTCATTTGAAGCCCGCTCATGGTTTTCATGCAGAGAAATCAGTCTGTTGATTTGCTCATTTGCTTGCGCTATTGCGTCGACCGAGTCCGTGGGTCGTTCGAGCTCCTTGCTGCTCTCTACTGAGCTTTGCGATGGGGGCTCATCATAGGTCATGGAAGACATGCTTCTTTGTCTGGCATCGTCGAGGGTTGAAGTGAGAGTGTTGAGCGTCCACTTGCTGTCATCAGAAGTCTGACTCGGCAGCTCTTCACTAGTCGGGAGCTGAAGGCAAGAATCTTGCATCAAGCAAGACTCTAGCTTGAGATTATAGACAACATAGATCATGAAATCTGTAATCTGCTTGATCTTCCTCAACGTTGATGCCGGTGCACCTCTGAGGGCTATAGTACAGCCGAGCTGCTCATTGCTTCCAGAAAGAAACATGTATGTTTTCTTCTTGCCCGGAATGTCTTCATTGACATATGTCTTGACTTCGAAACCAACGCTCCTGCCGATCTGAAAGCGTTCGACGGGGAGACTCAACATGTCTATTGAGGATATGATTGGCGTTTCTAGACAACGTGACACAGCGTATATTACCGACGGTTTGACGTTGTAGGCAACGGCGACATTGTGCTCCGACAAATATTGCAGTGCCAATCCTGAAACGGACTTTTCTGCTAGAATCAGTTGAGGCCGCAAGTTGATGATTCGGCTGACGATGACTTTGAGAAATTCCTTTTCCTCGTCAATGGCAGGTTGCAGACTCATAAAGTGCTGTTGATGACGCCGATACTCTATCGGGAATGAGACGATGACTACGCGCGGGTTTGCAAGGCGCCTCGGCATGCTCTTCAAGGCCAATTTCTTTGTAAAGATGACGCCAGAAACATAACTAGTATCACCCGGCCTTCCACCCGGAATTTTCTTTAACTTGACATAGTGCCGAATGTCGATGCTGTCGCCTCTCTCAACATCTGGATCCACAGATGTTGTGCATTTGAGCAAAATGGGAATGAGCGCCTTTTCCCAAGCTGGAACATTTGGTACCTCCGAGTCTTGCAACAGTTGTCGTAGCAAGCGTCGCACGTGCAGCAAACTTGCTGGGTTCAGCTCAACGCGAGGCTCTTTGTCTCCTTTCATGGAAGAGCTCCTGGTAAGCCTGGGCGAAATCCCGGGAGTCATGCTTTCGTAATTTGGCAGCGTATCAGTTGACCCAGCGGGGCCTCGCAAATGCGCACTTCTAGGACGAGGTGACCGAAGATGATAGACACTTGCACTGGCAATGCTGGCATTCCGTCTGCGCGAGGACCTTACATGCATGCTTGGGCCTCCGGTTTCAATGAAGCTGAATCCACTGACACTTTTTTCGGGCTGCACCCTGAGCCGATTTCTCTTCCCGGCTCCGAAGTAAGGGCCAAGTCCAGACTTGTCACTGTCCAGAGTGGATAGACTTGGGTCACCACTAGCCATGACCTGTGAGATACTGGTCTGTTCCTCGCCACTTGACTCATCTGACATGAAAGCTGCAAGGTCAGGGTCAATTACGTTATCATCATGGAACGCCGGAAGGCCCGTCTTCCTAGCTGCCTCTTCATTGGCAGATCGGCGAAAGGGAGCGCGATCATCCGTCGCTGTTTGCGGCATAAAGCGGCTGAGGAAATTGTGCTTGGAATGATGTCGTTTGTGACTAGACGATTGAGGTCTTGCAGCGAGTGACTTCAATGACCTCGAAGAGCTAGGCCTACTCAATTGTGGTGCATCAAACTCCAAGACGGCAGAATTGCGGTTAGAAAATTCCCCGATCCTGCGCGTTGCTGGGATGGCCATCATAGGCGTGGTACGTAACCTTGAGTCATCCTCAATGTTCTCAGTTCTCTCAACGATGCCGGTTTCATCCTTGTCTGATTTTGGAAGTTGTAGGGTTACAGACTTCTGGTTAGGGCGAAAGAGGTGCGGAAGGTAAGAGTCATCAGCAGAGTCTTCCGAGACGTTCCCGTCCTGCTGCCTTTGGCTGATAATATGCAGGCAGCGCTTACACACTCGTAATGTCCCTGGCACACCGAACTTCTGCCCTGGGATAATGGTTGTGCATCTACTGTCGAATATGCATCCGCATGTGCGACAATGGTGTTTCCGACGGAAGGCTGAGAAAGGCGCACCGCAGTGAAAACATTCCTTGCAAGCCTCGTCGGCCATCCAGAAATCCTTACTGAGTACTTGTTTCCGCATGTGCTCCAGGGTGGCGTTTACTACTTCCGGCGCCCCTTCATCTGTAGTCGTTCCGGGTATGCGGGCTGCGCCACTGCTCATGCGATGCGGCTTGTCATCACGGGCCCATGTGTCATGGTGAACCTTTTGATGAGCAGAAGAAATAATGTTGCTCGCCTCGGCGGTGGTTTGGGAGACGGACGAGGATCTCGAATGCGAACCACGGATCCGCGAGCCGCTGATGCGGTCAATGATGGCCGGGCGCTTCGCCACGTCACGCACGCTGGATCGAGTGGTAGGTGAAAGGAGTGCTGCATCCTCGACATGGTGCTGCTGTGTAGAGGTCGTGGCAGATGATCGTGTGCTCTTGGCTGGACTGACAGGCGACTCCATCTTGGCATCAGCACTTGCCAGTTCCTCTCTCCTCTGGCGACCAGGAATGACAATCTTCTCCAGGGACGCCGCACTCCTTGATTCGGACCCATCGTACCGACCAGGGATATCTAGTGTAGGTAATGCCACCAGACTGTCGTTGGTACGCATACTGTTCCTCGAGTCTTGTGTCCGGATGGACGCCTCATCAACTCGGCCAGAGGCGCTACGGGTGGCATCTTTGAATGCGCTTACATTCACAGGCGCAACCACGGCTGCCGATTTACTCAGATTGGATATGCTCTGGCGGCTTGAAGATGCAGATTTAGTACTGCTCACCGTACCCGTGCCCAATGCCTTGGCCAACTGATGCTGTAGCTCACCCTCTCCAGACAAGCCTCCCGACGGAGGGCGCATAGACTCAGTAGATCGAGAAGCGATGGTGGAGATTGTCAGGCCAGTATCAATGCGCGAGGGCGCCTTGGATGTACTTGCAGTTGCGCCAGAGCTCTTCCTGGAAGCGGTATCTGCATCGCCATCATCTGGAACAGGCAGCTTGTCCTTTCCGGAAACGCCAACAGCTTCTTTGAACCTTGAATAGAGTCCGCTGAAGCCGCTCTGCACCAAGTCTCCTCCAAAGCCCTTATTGTCTGGGGACGTGCTCGCGTCGAGGGGCGGGTGAAGTTCATTGAACGTTGTTAGAACATCGCGCTGGTTCGCCGAGTTGTGTATCTTGTCCAGTGTCTGTGCAAGCTGATCCTGATGTTCTGCTGAGCTGGTAGGTATAGCAACGCCTGTGGATGCGGAATCGGTTCGTGATCTCGTGGCAGCAGATGGGGATAGCATCGTCGAAGACGACATGGGTGAGAGAGGTGGATTCTTTCCCGCCATGACCGCGGATAGCTGCTAGGATGTGCAGGCGCGTGATTCTGTCTCTCTAGAAGGCCCTTCGATCATCTCATAGGATTACTGTCAAAACTCGCGGTTTCGCATGGTGGGTTTGAATGGGATCTTGATCGTGGAAGCAGAATGGATGTCTGGCAGGCTACGGTACGTGCGGCTCGAGCTAGGTAGAGAGGCTCTGTGCTGACCGACAAAACAAGGTAGTACTATGTAAATGGCTCCAGGCCGACGGCTTAATGTGACAAGAGAAACGTGGCAGAGAATAAAAAAAGAATACGTGAGTAAGAGTCATTCGCGACGATGTTTTAGACTGATGTCACACCGTCCTTCTGGCGAAGCATGGGAAGAGGTTTGGATCATGAACCTTGGATCATTGCATGCATGTACATAATGTAGTAGGTAGCTGGGGAAGGTTCAAAGCTCTACCACAGGCAGAGAGAATCGGAGCTTGAGATCACTGATCGCGGCCAGGAACCCGGTTTTGGGGGCTGGCTTATCGGCGTCGATTGCCGCCACGCTGCCTTCACCCCGCTAACAACAGCAAGCGGCCCCCGCCTTAACACTCTAGGTACGTACCTAACCGCAAGGTAAGCGTACCGCTAAACGGCCACTAGGGAAGCCTGTCCATATGCTGGCCATGTGAAAGGGCGTCAACCCCACGTCGCGCTTTTTTTTTTTAATAAGGTCCAAATCGTGTCGGGAGGGACGTGCAGCAGAAGCGCGTCTCATTACTACTACGAATACTCACCGAGGCCTGCTGCAGTAGGCTTGTTGGGCCACTGTGTGCAATTCACTGCCTGTCTCAAAATTCTGGTGAGTAGGATTCGTTGCTTGGGATGAGGTAGGATGTTTCAATTGCTAATCATATTGGTCAAAAGGCTTCTTTTTGTCTTGGTCAACTTATTAGTCTAGGTAGTGTTTGGATTCCCCAGTGAGCCGCCTATCATGGCCGATTTCTTAGGGGCCATGTCTGGTCAAGTCGGCTCGCAGTTCTCATCATCTGCTCCAGACCTGCTTGATCAAGCCAGACTTCCCGGGCAGATTTTCAGAATTCAAAAGAAGCAGCAGGAGCTTCTAGAAAAGGCCGACTCATGGGCTCAATATCTTGCCAGACAGCCAAAACCAGGAGTCAACCTGCCAATAGAGGTTCTAGAAAATTTGAGAGAGTTTCACAGACGGGAAAAGAAAGCGGCAGAACATGCAGAGACAAGTCTTCGGTTTCCACGGGGAGGACAAAGGAATCTTCACCAGGACGACAGCCTTAAATCCCAAGCCTCGCGGTCAAATAGCATTGTCTCGGAGAACGCCTCAGACGAAGCTGAAGATGTTGGCTCGGCGATCTCTTGGTCACCAAGTCCTGCACGAGGCGACAAATTCACAAAAGAGGATTCGATTGACTCAGCACCGAGCCAGCCATCCAGCCAAGTTCATCATAACGACAACGATGATGGTGGTGATGATGATGGTAGCGAACAACAGGCTTTCATGTCCCAAATTCCGGCAAGATCGCCGTTGCTGCAGCCCACGATAAACGAAGCAAGGACACAACAAAGGGCCCGGCCTGTATTCAATGACTTTCCCTCCAGCAGTCTCGGCGCGGATGAGGAACTCGAGGTAGTGGCACCCAACGCTCTTGTTGAAGAGCAACCAGCACCTAAAAAGAGTAGCCAATCGAATCCCACACCACCCTCAGCTCAGGTACAGGTCCCATGCACATTCGATGCCAACAGCTCTGTGCCAGAGAGACCTTGCAAAGATTTGGCTAGCATTCAGACCGTACAAGAGCGCCTAGCCAGGAAGAACAAGAGTGCCCCAGCCGGGCTCATCTCTTTGCCGCAAACAACAAACCATACTGCTGATGTTCCTGATTCTCAGTCATCCGTGGACTCTAATTCATCAGTTATTCCTGCAACAAACTTTTCCAAACAGCACAGGAGTCCGGTCAGACCTCTGAGAATGCAGCCAATCAAGTCAACAATCAAAGAGACACCGCGACTACATTCAAGATCAATTTTGCAACCGACCATTGAAGAGTCTTCTCCACCTCCTCCTCTACCACCGCCCGAGCATCTTAAACCAGTACGAGACCTTGATAGTAACGAAATGACGAGACCGAAAGACGGCCCAGGCTCTTCTCGAATAGCCTCACCTTTACCGAGAGCCCCCTCTGAGCCAGCAACCCTCTTTGTATCACAAGAGGCGAAATTCTCTGAAACTTCTTGGTCTCCCTTTGTCGACTATTGTGTTGCTTATCCAAGCTATACTGGGAGCCTTACTGACTTTGTCTCGGCCTGTTTGTGTATACCGAAAAGACGCCTTGCCACTTATCAATATGATGATTTCATTCGTGCGTGGAAAGAAGGCTATTTGTCATACGTTCAAGGGTCCCAAGAGGGCGCTCTTGTAGCCATTGATTGGTACATGGAGATGGCTGACGATCTGCCCCTTGCATATCAAGCCAATGTTGTCACCAAAAGCAACCTCAAAAAGGTCCTAGAGGCTTACCCAGAAGAGGTGGCACTGATGAAGCCAGCACATGAAATGGACCAGGTTCATAAGAGCCAGGCCCTTGATGAAGCACCACTAGATGTGGCCGAAGAAGTGCAACATTTAGCGAGCGAAGCGCCAGCAGCGCCTGTTACGAGCACGGTGGATGTAGAGTCAAGAGCTGATTGTCCATCACGCCGCTCGTCGACTTCATCAGTAGGCTTTGAGGACCCACCATTGCCAATAAAACCTCGAGCTTCAATGGTAGAAAGAGCCCCGGGTGAGCCATCAGCTGCCTCGAAGTTGCGTTCTAGAACCGCAGTCGTCGATCTCAAGTCCCCTCAAAAACGACGATCCGATGACGGAGTTTTTCAGCCGCCCTCAAAGAGAACATCTCGGGCCTCTGTGACCCCTTCAGAGGCTAGCATGAGGGCTGGACCGACGGTGTCCAGAAGCATGAACTACATGGCCGAAGTTCAACCTCCTCCCACATCTACAGGCCTTTCATCAAAGTCTGACGCGTCGAGTAGTCGCAAAAAGGCGAAGACAGTGTCAGACTTCAAGAAGTTTTTAAGATCAGAGAAAGTGAGAAAGCGACATTTGGATAATATTAGTATCGCTAGCTCAGCACCCCCAGGAACTGCGCCAGTTTATGGACGAAGAGGTGGACCATCCAATTGATTGGCATAAAAGGGGACAATGCAGACCTCTTGTTGGTTACAGTGTGGCCATCACTTAAAAACGACTCTTTTATGGATAAAAGGTAATAGACTAGAAATGTCGCTGATGAGTTCCATGGTACCTTCATTTGCCTCTGAATGCAAGACAAAAGACAGAGTCGTGACAGTAATACATAGGTATATATCATAATATATCATGTAGTAGTTTGAGCGTGCATGTGGTATATCATCTCGGATTGGAATATGGAATGTGGAATAAGAGAAATATTCAGGTCAAGACGTTCCAGGTCGCCGATATATGTGATGCAATCGCTTGAAATGTTTGTTCCATTGAGTATCTATAAGCAAGGTATAGAACAAGACTAGTTGAGACTTTTCGACATGATATAAATGCCTGTATATGTATGGTAGGTCGACCTAGGGATTAATTAAGCCGGAGTTGATGTGGCTGTTTCATCCGAGTGACTCAGGCAGAGGCGGTTTTGGAGGCTCGTGCGCACGCCGCCTAATAAGCACGCCCAACCCGTCTGATTCATTCATTCCTTGGCCCCACCACCAGCCTTTAGAACGATAAGGCTTTTGAGAAGGTTTGGCCTTCCAGTGGGAAAGTCTTCAATCCGTGCGAAAATCCTCTGACCCAAAACAATTTCTGTGACGATACATACTATTTCCTACGAGTGGCTCTGCCTGGTGCAAAGTCGCGATATTCCTCAGACAACCGCATCCGAGACGCAAAATCAACACGACGACGACGACGACGACGACTTACTACTTTTACATTGGTAGTGTCCGTCCGTTCCTGCCTCGATCGGTTTTTTTTTTCCCACGACACCTGCAAACCGACCCAATCCGTTTGGCGGCTGCTGCGTTGTTGCCCCACGACGACGTTTTTAACCCAAGGCGACTGACTGCCTCTTACCTCACGCCCTTGAAAAAAAAAAAAGTTGCGCCTTCTTGTCTTTTGCGCTCTAGACAAATTGCCTCGGGACTTTACAGACCTTGGCCATAACCTGATCCTCTATCTTCCAATCGATTCCTGTGAAGGGCTCTAAACAACCGGCGCAGCTGCTTGCGACGTTCCCCTCCATTAAATCACCACTCCACCAAACACCACATCTTCATCATCACAAAACCCGCCTTCCAGACAATATGACGGACCAGGTCGATCTCAAGACGATTCCCATCTCGCCCGATGGCGACAACAACGAGGTTTCCGCTGCCGACATGGACGAGAAGCTCGTCACCGTTTTTCACGACAAGGACAACTTCAATGTCAAGCACCCTCTTCAGAACAAGTGGACGTTGTGGTTCACCAAGCCCTCGAGCGGCAAGGTATGTTTTTTTCCATCATCCCCACAATACGCGCTCATGTATCGATTTCAATGCTAATCCAACCTTTAACAGGGCGATAACTGGAACGACCTGCTGAAGGAAGTCATCACCTTTAACTCTGTTGAGGAATTCTGGGGCGTCTACGTAAGTTGGCAACTTGACAATCTGAGCCCACTATGTTATTTCGATACATTGTTGCACTGATACTGACATTCTACCCACCAGAACAACATTGCTCCCGTTTCAGACCTTGCTCTCAAATCCGACTACCACCTCTTCAAGGAGGGTGTCCGACCTGAATGGGAAGACCCGCAGAATAAGCACGGCGGGAAGTGGTCCTATTCTTTCAAGGAGAAGCGCAATGTCGATATCAACGACATTTGGTTGCACACAATGATGTCTGCCATTGGCGAGATGCTTGAGGATGAGGATGATGGCGAGGTCATGGGTGTTGTCGTCAACGTCCGCAAGGCCTTCTTCCGTGTCGGTGTCTGGACCCGCACCATTGGCAAGCCCATCCCCAACCGTGGCGATGGCGACGTTGCTGGTGGCAAGGGTCGCTCTGTCCAGAAGGGTCAGGGTATCCTGCTTGAGATTGGCAAGCGTTTCAAGGAGATCCTCAAGCTGCCTGCTGAGGAGGTCGTTGAGTTCTCGGGCCACACGGACGCTGCGCATAGTGGTAGCACGCGTGCCAAGTCCAAGTTCACTGCTTAAGCGTCAACACCAAATTGTACTCTGCTCGACGATCGCTCCGGAGATGAACCGAACATAATCATTGCCATATATTACCGGCAGCTAGGACTTTACATGGCCTGGGTTCGTGGTCAAGGCTCATTTCGCCAGCATACGGCCCCTCGAAAGAAAGAAAGAAAGAAACGAGAATTGGAACAGGCAGCGATAAAGGAGAAAAGTTTGCCTACCGCCTACGGGACAAGGGCTTGCAAAGAGTTTTTAACTCCCTCATGTACTATGGCATCCTACGCATCAATTGAGGAAGGAGAAGGAAGTAGTGGAAACCATTTTACTAGTTGACTCCTTGGAGTTCTGCGTTTTTGTCCATCTCTAGGGGTGTGATTGCCATTATAATAAAACAAAAAAACATTGCCAACATATATGCTTGCGTTCATGATGCTCATTCCTGTGAAATCTCACAGCTATTACTTCGTCTATGCCTTTCTTCGTTCCACATGCCAAACCAGGTCTATGTGTATGTGTAACCCATATCTTCTTTGTGTCTATGCACTTTATACAATCGATTTGGTCTTTGTGAACTTTTCCCCCCCAATCCAATCTGATGATGCTTGTCCTTATTAGACATATCCGAGATTGCAACTTACATTTCGTCTCCGCTGAAATCGTCCACAAAAACATCCTTGACCAACGTCTTTTTATTGACCTTGCCCATGGCATTTCTGGGGATGCTTTCCACAATACGGAGGACCTGTGGGATCTTGTAGTTTGCGAGACGGTCCCGTAGAGCCTTGCGCATCTCCATGGGTTTCCAACCTTGCTCCTTGAACTCTGGCTTGAGCACGATTACGGCGCCGACCTTTTGACCCCATTTCCCGCTCGGTACGGCGAGCACGGCTGCTTCGGCCACATTGGGTAGCGAGAGCATCTCACGCTCGACCTCGAGAGCCGAGACCTTTTCTCCGCCCGACTTGATGATGTCGGCCGATTGGCGTCCGAGGATAAAGTACATCTTACCCTGGGCAAACTCGCCGCTCTCGCCCTTGCCGCTGTCGGGCACCACTCTGCGCACAGCGATGTCTCCCGTCTTGAACCAGCGGCCTTGGCCATCCTCTCCCTCGACGAACTCTTTGGCAGTGGCGACTGGGTTGCGCCAATATTCCCTGAATACGTTTTTGCCTCGGAGGTGGATCTCTCCCTGGCGCTCTCGTCCCTCGCTATCCTTCTCCGCTCCCTCCTCAATGACGACGTTTGTCTCGGGGTCCACAAGTCGGGCTTCGACGCCAGGCAAAGGCCAACCCACGGATCCGTCTACACGGTCAATGTAGGACAAACCGCAGGAAAGTGCCATACCCACTTCGGTCATACCGTACCGCTCAAGAAGCACGTTGCCATGGGACAGCTCCTTCCAAGCCCGTTTTACGGGGGTGGGGAGAGCGGCCGAGCCGGAGATGGAGACGCGCATGTGTGGTGGGGAGATGGCTTGACGGGCGGCCGAGGCCAGTGGCTCGGGCAGAGCCCCATGTGTTGTTAAGAGACGCGTATACACTGTTGGCACAACAGTGAAGAATGTGATGGGCGCCTTCGACATGCGGGCAAATTTATCGTCGACTAGCGCAGCATCACCATTGGTATATGGTGGTGTAATCGTGCCGTTCGTGCCGTTGGTGCCATTAGTCTGCACTTTGTCAAGAAATGGGTTTGCAAAGCGCCTCCATACAGTGTCGGCATTGAAGGGAAAGAGAAATTCGATGGCACTGCCAGCAAAGAGTGGCGTCAATACCGCGTTGACGGTTCCGTGAATATGGTGTAGCGGCAGAACATGCAGCAGTCGGTCATGCGTCGAATATTTCCATGCTGAAAGGAGAGATTGGCATTGTGCTGTTAGGGCTGTCTCTGGCAAAAGCACACCCTTTGGTCGGGCAGTGGTGCCAGACGTATATAACATCATGCCGGCGCCTTCAGAGTCCGTCTCATCGGACAATGAGACAGATTCGGGGGTAGAAGTACCCCCGAGATGTTTTGGGAGCTCATATAGCTTTGGATGCGCTTGCGTCGCGCCATCTGGTGAGAGAGCTGGGAATGGAGTGCTGAGAATTTCTTGTGCTTTTGCTGCATATCTCGGGGAGTGCAAAAGCAGTACTGCTTCGGAATGGGTGAGAATGTACTGGAGTTCGGCGATCGGGAAGGGAGGTGAGAGCGGCAATGCAATAGCACGAGCAGCCAGGATGGCAAGTAACGTCACTGGGTCTCACGTTAGCCAGCCATTGAGAGTGACCAGTCAATCTCCGAGCTCCATACCAACATAGTCGTAGCTATTCTCTACCAAGAAAGCTACACGCTCTCCCCGGATATCCGACTTGCCAGCGGCCGCATAGATTTGCTCACGCACGCGAGCTACGTCTGGCAAGAGTTCGCCGTATCTAAAGCTGCGGCCGGAAAGGCAATGCGTAACAGCTGTGGAATCCGGGTCATGCCGCGAGATAGCGTCGAACAATGGTAGCTTGGGCAGAGTCGAGGCCATTCTGAGAGAGCAGATTCGTGATAGTCGGAACAGCGAAGACCGTTGGGAAGGGCGGAGGACGGAAGAGGTGAGAGCAGTAGAAAATGATCGTGTGACTGGATGTGCTCTTCTTTTCACAAAAGAGGTAAAAGTCGAGAGCTGCTGGCAACTCAAAGAAGCGGCAGAAGGAGCGGGAGAAACAGAAAAAGGAAGAAGGAAACCCCCATTACACCTCCACATTACGAAAGGGGATTATATAAAGTATTACAACTAGGTGGTGATACAGTGCCTACCGTCTATTCATTTGCCTGTCCGGTCCGTGTCAAGGTATGTTCCTTCGGTAGGGGGATCAGATATGGATCGGATCGGTATGATTGATTGCGAGGTCTTACGATAGCCACTGGGATAAGCTACCAGCGTCGGAGGTTGAGCTGCAACCACTGAGGGGCAAGGCACCAAGCACCGGGGGGAGACCCGGAGCTTGAATGCAGCAGGGGGTTTACAGCAGCAGGTGTCATGCCCAAAGCAGCCAAGGCCCAGGGACCAGTGCTAAATCTTTTTTATTTATTTTTTCTCCTAATCGTCCCCTCTGGCAGGTTGAGAGGGACCTCGGGGACCGCAAGACTGAAGTGACCAGTGGCCGTACGTTAGGTAGTGCCTTGTCAATTGGTACCTTGGGTAGGTGACATTAGGCAAGCTGCCGCCATTTTTCGAGATTGGCTCGATGCAGGTGCTTTGATGGAAAGAAACTCTTTTCTCATGTTCACTTGCCGACACTTACCTACATTACATGACGTACAATATACTCCAAACCCACGAACGAAGCTTTGACTTACTGGTGTACAAGAACTCTATATCGATAAGAGCCAAGTGCCAAACCAGGAAGGCCAGAGAGTGTGAGACTCGGCGTGGGCAGCAAAACGAAGCCGTCTTGAAAGGCTTATCCCGAGCTGCCGAGTTGCAACACCCGAACCTGTGATCAGCACGGAACAGCGCAACAACAAACAACACAACTTGCCTGGCCCTGCACCACTTCAAGCTCGTTCTTCCGATAATATCCCCAACTAAAATAATCCACTGAAAAAAAAGAACTCAACAAACTGTCTTGCCCCAGCCTTTTGAAGGATTGATACCAACTCGTCGCCCCGGATCGGTAGTTTTTTCGATACCCAACACACGACTACGGTCGCATTTCTAGGACCGTCCGGTAATTTACCCCGGGACTTGGCCGACCCGATAGCGATAGAGCAGCTGAGATCAGAACAAACGCCGACATTCGGTCAGCCAGCCATTCATAGCGAGTGAGAGCCAGAGCAGCACCAACAGAACAAGCAAGAGCCACTCCTACACTACCCAGTACCACCTTACAGTACCCCCAATTGTCGATCTCTTGATTGGGGAGGTCCTCGTCTAATTAATGCTATCCCGGTCCACCATATTCCGCCCTCTAGCTGGTGCAGGTGCAGTTGCGCGCTTAAGCAAAAGAGGTGGCGGCGGCAGCCAAACTATCCTGAACAGCGCAAACTATCACCGGCAGCAGCAGCAGCAGCAGCACGGAGCGCGCGGCATGGCTTCTTCGTCGCAAACGCCAGTCGAGGACATCATCAGGACCAAGTTGACCGAGGCCTTTGCCCCGACCAACTTGGAAATCTTCAACGACTCACACCTGCACTCGCACCACAAGGCCATGCAGGGCTCAACGTCCAAGGAGACGCACTTTCGTCTCTACATCACGTCCGACGCCTTCAAGGCCAAGATGCAGCCCGCTCGGCACCGCATGGTCTACACCCTGCTCAAGGACGAGATGGCCCGTGAGGGCGGCATCCACGCCTTGCAGCTCAAGACTAGGACGCCCGAGGAGGAGGAGCGGGCGCGCAAGCTCGAGGCCGAGGCGGCTGCAAAGTAATTTAGCATGTTTGGCATTTCTTCTTCTCCAATGAAAAGATGATGAGCCTGTCTTGTTCGTGGCCTCTGTGTCGTTCTAATGTAACACCAATGTCAATGTAACTCATAGATACATAATAATAATTGTGAAAAACTATAGGACCATGTCCTATATAAGCAGCTGCTGCTGATGACTAAAGATGTCATAAGCCAGGGTGAGACCGACATGGGATATATACGTTGACACGCAAGGGCGATATGTCTTGTAAGTGTATCTTGAAGGCGATGAAATATACGTTTTATCCTTGTCCATTCTATAGAGCTCAACAGCAAAGACGCGCTTCATCAATTACCCACTAGACACGCGGCACAAAAGTCTCATTACATGACTTTGCAAAGAATACCTCTAAAACAGGCGAATCATGAGCACGCACACAAAGTGTTGCAATAGTCCAGCATCGAAGACTTCAGATTGGCTTCCACGACCGTCGTATTTGTATGAAAACTCTAGTATCCCTGACCTGACATTACTTGATTCGTGTTTACTGCTATGAAATGGAATACTTATTTCCTTCCATAATCGTCCTCAATACTCAGTGGCTCAACGCTAACCATGTCTCCGTCGTCATAATCATGCATCCGAATAGCGCCGTATCCCTCGTCATCACTGTCCTCTTCGTGGGCATCTGTCGCGTCTGATTTGTGTTCGGTCTCGGTGTATTTTGGCGGCGCACTATTCATCTCATATGCCGTGTCTCGTGGTTGGTGCTGTTGTGTTGTGTTGACCCCAGCGTCCCATGTTGTCAAGGGATCATTGGCTTCTGGCAGTGGCGAAGCTGCCATTCTCGCTTTGTGTTCCTCGGCGACCTGCGCGCCCATCAGCCTTTCATTCTTGACACTAATGTCGCTCTTTGGCTCTTGGACATTCTTTACCGTAGGGTCAAACTTCTCGTTGGACATTTGTTCAAGACTGTGCTTTGAAGGCTCGAGCTTCTTCTGTTTGTGGTCGGCATCTTCAAAGTCGATGAGATTGCCACTTTCTGCAAAGTCCTTGTTGTTCAGCTGGATGTCGTCCTCTTCCTTGGGAATCTCTCCTTCCCCTCCCTTGACGTGGAGGAAACCACATCTGTTTAGGATCTTGGGAATCAAGTCAGGGTAACGCAAATGCCCTGCAACCTCTTCACTGAGGTCAATGTTCTCGACGCCTAGAACGTGGTCGCTGATCGGCTGAAGCCCAGCAATGCCCAATTGAGCACTAGTTGCTCTATACAAGAATGCCAGAATATAATCATTCTCGCTATAGACATTAAACAACTTGCCCGAAACCACGGTCCTCATCAGGTGCCAGTGGCCTGGATTGGAAGGTATTGGCGCGCCCATGAGAACGACATTATCGATGAGTCCGAATGCCTTTCTCTCGGCCATCTCTCTCAGACAATAGTAGATAACTCGGGCGCCCAGAGAGTATCCAATAAGGGTCACAGGTCTTTCACCCTGAACTTTGTTGATGAGGGCATCAGCAAGGATCTTGCCGGCCTTCTCTGATCTATTGCGCGCCAGGCTGAAAGGGTTATCAACCTTGCTAGCCATCATAACGATTTGAATTGGCCAGAGTGCACCCCACAAAGTAGCCAATACTGTCCGCTTCAAGATCTCACTCTTGATTGCCGACCAGGCATAGGATGCAATGAGCTCCTGAAGAGTGATGCCAAGGTCTAGCAAGCATTTCATCTCATAGCGTAGAGCAAACACCTCGGTCTCGTCCCCGAGAGGTCGCCAATACCTAGTAACATCGCCTTCTTCCTTGAGCCAGCCGTTAATTCCAATGGTGACCCGTAGCCGCCTCGCTGCCGGACCGTCTTGTTTTGAGTGCTCTCCCCATTCCTCGGCGAGTGGCAAGAAGCGGAAGTCCTCGACTTCTTTGGCGTAGCGGTCAATCATCTCTCCCGTCATCTTTGCACCAAAGGCACCGAATAGCGTTCCAACCAGGGCTCCGTTCATCCAAAAGACACCAAGGAAGCTTGCCAGACCTCCAAGCCCCACGCTTCCCATCAGCCCGCCGACTGCACCAGCGACGAGGGGTGCCGCCAATCCACCCGTTACACCGATGATGGCAGCACCGGCCACGGAGGCCAGGCCTACTTTCCAGTACCGGCCAACCTTCCCAGACTCTTTGCGCTTCTGGGCCTCGGCATCGGCAGACATGCCGCCGCCCTTGTTCTTCTCAGCTTCAGCTTTCTGTGCCGTCTCCACCATGGTCGTAGCAATCTCAACTTCCTCTCGATCCAAGAACAAAGGTGAGACCTCCAGTGCAGAGGCGAGGTAGCAGACCAGCGCTCGCGAATAGGCGGAGTAATTGCCAATACTGAGCAAAAGTATCACCATGCTGCTCAAGACGTCTTTGCGGTCAAGCAGCGGGATCGTGGTGAGCCTGGTTGGGATGGGATGATACAGATGCTGCATCGAGTCCATCTTCTCCTTCGGGTCCTTGGCGTTGGCCTCAGGGGCGACATTGCCAATGTCGATCAGATCCTCGCCCTCGCTGGGCTCATCCCTCTGCTTCTTTGCAATGATCTCGTTGCGCTTGCGTCGTGCGTCGAGGACCTTTTGGTCGTCGGCCTCATTGACAATTTCCTTGAGCTTACCGAGCACCTCGTGGCGCCACGAGTCAAAGTGCCTCAGTGCGGCCTTGCGCAGGTTGATCAAGCCCGGCGGAGGCGGTGCTCTAGCCGTTTCATCCTCCTTCTGTCGCCTGAAGCCCTCTGCCGAGTCGGAGCGAGGCACGGAAGAGCCCGAATTCGTTCTGCCTGCGGGTGGTGGCGTGTTCTCGTTGCTGGAATGTCTGGCGGGCAGAGGTGGTGGCACATCCCCAGGGTCTTCTTCTGGTAGTTCTATCTGGTGGCGCATATACGCCGTGATCTCCGTGACGAGACCATACAATGCCTTGCGCTTGGCGACGTTGAGAGCAACCAGTATCTGGCGCGGATCGCTACTCAGAGGCGCCATGTTCTAGCACTGATTTGCGCCGCTGTGTGCGCAATCTGATTCCTGACAGCTCTAACCAATGTTGACATTTAAAATCTCCTGCTTTGATTCTCAATCCATGCCACTCCGTTTGTTTTGTGGGAGAATATTGTTCAGATAAGAGGACACGGGACGCTTTGTTTCTCGCATCGGCTGTGACGTCAGATGGTGTAATACAGGAAGGGGCGTACGTAAATGCTAGGATGCGAAATAAGAAATAAGAAAAAAAAAGGAAGGAATGTGAGCACTTTTGTCTTATGCAGCCCGTTGGTAAATAAACGTATCATTCGACCTCCTGAATTTAGTCTTGGCGACGTTTAGGCACCAGAATTATGCATAGACACTGATCTTTAATTGGAACCGTGTAGGCAGGCGGTGGTACTGGCCAGTAAGTTATTTGGCCTGGCTCAGACCATTGTCCATCCGCCTGCCAATGCTGAAGGATCGCACTAATAATTGACCTTCGGGTGAGACGGTTTGATGAATTATACATAGCAGGATAGCTGGCATTGATTTGCATATAAAAAGCATTGCCGCCAGCCGAGATGATTAGTACCTATGTAGGGCATGCTGAATTATGTCATTGGGGTACTAGGCACCTACTAAAGCACCATTTTTATATTTTCATTCTTTAGTGGGTGAACTACTACATAGAGGTCTAGGCGATGCTGCATTAGTAGTCACTTATATAAATTATATTCCACCTATCATCAACCTGATAGATTAACAAGGAGATACAGGTATTTGAATAACAATATACTACTACCTCAGTGTTTATCCAGAAGGACGAAGTCGGAAATGGAATCTAGCGGCGCCTCCACCATGATCGACTAAACCTCCAGCAATACTACCCACAGCAGTCTCTCGGCCGTCCTCTCCCACTTCCAACCGGCCCCATTTGGTCGCTTTGGGTCGATATACCTGACAATCTGTCTTCCCGGCCTGTGCGGTGGGAGCGACTAGATACACGTCTCCAAATATATATTGTGTTTCTGTCTCCCAACACATCTTGTCCTCTGGGAACTCGTAGAACATGGTCCTCGTCAAAGGGACCCCGTAGGCGCTGGCCTCCTGCATCATGCGCCTGCAATCTAGTATAGTGTCTAATCCGACTTCGAAACCGCACAAACTTGAGCAAGATTGGATAGGCTTCGGCAATACCACCGCCTCCGCCCTTGGGTATCTGTACAGCTTCCCTGTATCCATGATGGATTCCGCATGACGGGACAAAACGTGCCCCACTGGTACCAACGCACTAACAGCCTCCCGAAAGTCAGGACCAGCTGTTATACCACCATAGAAACCTCCGATGCCAGTAGTCCATCACGGTATTCCAGCAAGATCCATGTTGAGGCCAGCGGCAAGCTGGTTCTTGAAAGCCGCCCAGGAACACTCCAAACCAGGGGGCCATATTTTTGGCTGCCAGCCCAGGCACAGCGTACTAGGTTCACGACCCCTTTATCTCCCACAAGTATCTGTTCAGCAGCCACCTGACCCTTAAAAATCGCCTTGAAATAACTCACTGGGTAAAAGTTACCCACGCTCATGACGGGACCCAGATGGTATCGGTAATTCTCAAAGGCGTAGACATTGTTCTCAGGCTCTTCCTCGTCAAGCCAAGAACATTTCATGCCCTTGTATTATAGATCCTGTTGATCTAGGCTGAATAGGCACGTCGATGCTTGAGCATGCTAAGGGCCACTGTCTCGAGGTATATATCCTTTGAGCCCTTGTTTTCAACAATGGTGGCTGAGAGGATGATGGGAATATCTGCAGATGTACGGTAGAGACAGTGCACTTCAATGCCAGTCTCGGGGTCTCGCAGAATGATCTCGAGCAGTTGAATTCCATCTTCTTCAGTCAATTGAATGTGCTTGGCGTGAATCATTCGCTGAGAAGTTTCGGTATAGACCTGGCGTTCCGAGGCTCCGAGAGTTGATCCCTCACCCATGAGTCGAATTTGTATAGGTGGCAATGCGTGCTTGAGCTCTGTTTCCGTCGAACAAATGACAGCATGGACCTCATACACTATAAATCCAAGCGTGTCATTCAGTGTCAATGAAGAAGTCTCCATCCAACCCTGTGAGTCTCCATTACATCCATATCACTGAGGGCGAGAGAGTGCTATTAGTCAACTGTCTGGTTGAAGATCGATCCATTCCTGCTCGTTGGAACTTACAGCCGTTTCCTGGACCAGGATATGCAACGCACTCTTGAGCCATAACGAAATTGACACAGCGATTTCGGTGACAATTTAACTAAAATTATAGCTGAACGAGGAGATGGGAAATGACTCACAGGTATTGCTGTCAGACGTGCCTCGTTGGGTTGGATGAGAACGGGGGTTTTCTTCTTCCTCTTCCTCTTTTTTTTTCTTTTGTCGATTGTCTCTAGATATCCCAAACATGTGCGCTGATCAAGGCCTGTTATGGATCCCATATGTTATGACCTGAAAGAGGCATGTCGTGGACTTCGGAGAGTCGCCGCGAGACAAGCGCGGACATGAGACTATCTAGGATCATACATGGAGTTTCATGGCGATTTTAGCCTATTCTCGTTATGCATACCCAAGCACAATCTTTCGCGACTATACACCTGTATTGTCTTGAACACACAACACATCTACAACTTTCACTGTAGTTCATAAAGATACCAGTTCTCGAATATGGGGTCAATCGCCGAAGCGAGGAACCTGGAGAACCGATACACACTACCCCAGATACCCAAGATTGGGAAATGCATGGCATTACCCCAGTGTTGTCGATATCGTCCAATGCAGATTTCTTTCCCCAGGCTTGATTATCCATACAATGTGTTGGATCTTGGAGCTGCGTATCTACAACAAGATACGTATTTGAACCTTGACCCATCCGCCAGTATGATTATTGCATATGTACTGGTGTACTATACAAACCAGCAATGAATTTGTAGATTCGTAATCAAACTTTCTATTACGACAAAGAATAACCTGCATGCTCCAATGGAAAAGAATAACCAAGCCACCGTTGTCTGCGTCGACAGTTCTCGACTAGAGGTGCCTATAGGTTCCACAAGGCAGTTTACCAGAATGTCCAAGAGAACCCGCGCCTAGAGCATCAACTCACGGTTAAAAATGTCATTTCAATCTACCCGTCAGCCATTTCTTTGGTGTCTATGCGTCTCGGTGTGTGTCATTATGGAGGGTTATGATCAGATCTTGGGTGCGAGCTTACACGCCTTCCTAGAGTTTCAAAAAAAAGAAAAAAAAACGTGGACGGAATTTGCGTTGGTCTCGACTCGCGTGGTGAATACCTCATCAATACAGTCTCTTTCCAGGTATGAGATGTTGATTCTGGAGCCCCTCAAGTAGCTAAATGAACTCCTCAATGCCGGTATACAAATACACATCAATAGCCGGTGCCATTTTCTGTCCACATGTGACTAACTCGAGGTATTGCTCCGTTACATCATTCCATATCCCCTTTGTGCGAAATGCATTCTCCACAAAGAATAATGATCGAATGATCCATATTTACTGTAATATAAGTGAATAAAAATGTTATCACATGTAGTCTACTTTGCATCACAATAGTTTTGCAGGCCATGATCAACCAAATCTTCATAATTCAAAACTACGGTCATTGAGACTTTCTATATTTGCACATATTCCGCGACCTGTAGCAGCATGAAACTCCTTTTTGGCTTTCTTGGCCTTATGCGCATGGTCACGAGGTGTCAAGTACATGTTGATCATCGGCGATTACAAACCAAAAGAATAAGTCAACTGCATTTCAGTATAGATTTGCAAGGTATTCTTCGCCGATCATTATGATGCAGCTCCAAGCTAAATTTACTCTTTCAGAACAGGCTACATGCAACAGATGTGAATAAACATTATCGGCTATCCTACCTTGCCCACTCAACGACCTCGGTTGCAGCCAGTGGAGAGTCACTGCGAGTTCATATTGGAGATGGCCACAGGTATGGACCCTTGTGTGCGTTCACGAGGCGATCGGTTGGGGAATCCCTGTTGTTAACCCAAATACTCAAATAATTTAAGCTTATTCGTTAGAGTATAATCCATGTCCTGGCCACCATTTAGGCATTGCTCGCCGCAAATGCTCATCTCAACATGCAACACGAGTATACTCTCCCATAATACGCGCCGTTTATCATTTGTACAGATCTTGATTGATTATAAATAACCCGGTAAGTCTTATATGAACATTATGATAGTTTGCAAATCAGAGAACATCACTTGCGTCCATCTTTTGTATGACCTCGGAGCAGCTTATTGCACGCTCTCGATTATCTTACATAATGCCAAATCTGTTCTTTTTACTTGTATGTTGTCTCTTCAGCATCATCAAAGCTGAGGATGGCTTCCAAGCCTGGCTTCGCTACGCGCCGCTTCCACTACATCTTCGCAATTTCACTGATATCCCAAAGCAAATTCTGGTCTTGAATAGCACCTCGAATGGCTCCATACACACTGCTAGCCGAGAATTACGTTCCGGACTTCAAAGTATCCTCGGCATTGATGCTACAGAGTCATTCACTCCTCAAGATGATCACCAAAACTACATTGTGATCGGTACACTGGAGATGATTACAAATTTTCCTGGGCCGCATGTTTCTGATATCGGTAGCCTGAAAGCCGACGGCTTTTGGCTCAGCACCAATGGTCCGAATGTCGAAATTATCGGCCAGAGCGAGGTTGGAGCGCTATACGGGACTTTCGAGTACCTTTCCATGCTGGCCCAGGGCAACTTTACCAGACTTGCTTATGGCTCAAGCCCTGCGGCGCCGGTTCGCTGGGTCAACCAATGGGACAATATGGACGGGTCTATTGAGCGAGGTTATGGAGGCCCTTCCATCTTCTTTGAAAACGGCTCCACCACCACCAACATGTCGCGTGTTGAGCAATACGCGCGCCTCCTATCCTCTGTCCGACTCAATGGGGTAGTCATCAACAATGTTAATGCCAATCCCGTCATCTTGAAACCCGAAAACATTGCAGGTCTGGCCAGGATTGCCAACAGCATGCGGCCGTGGGGTGTGCGGATCGGTATCACGTTGAACTTTGCCTCTCCCGAGACGCTCGGCGGACTTTCCACGTCTGATCCCTTGGACCCGACCGTCATTGCGTGGTGGGGCAACGTGACCCAGGATATCTATCGCGAGATTCCCGACTTCCTCGGTTTCACCATCAAAGCCAGCTCCGAAGGTCAGCCCGGGCCCCTCGAATATAATCGGACCCTAGCGGACGGTGCCAACCTGTTTGCCAGTGCCGTAGAGCCCTATGGAGGCCTGGTACTTTTTCGGGCATTCATCTATAATCTAACAATTCAGTTCGATGATTGGACTGGTGACCGGGCAAAGCACGCTGTCGACTATGTCGCACCACACGATGGAGAGTTCAAAAAGAATGTCATTGTACAGATCAAGTACGGTCCCATTGACTTCCAGGTCCGCGAGCCTGCCTCGCCGCTCTTTGCCCACCTCCAGGAGACCCCAACGGCTCTTGAGCTGGAGGTGAGCCAAGAGTATCTCGGTCAGCAGTGCCATCTCGTCTATCTGCCGCCACTCTGGAGGACGGTAATGGATTTTGACTTGCGCGTCGACAACCAATCGTCTCTAATTGGGTCAGAGATCGTGACCGGACACAGATTCAACCACAGCCTTGGCGGCTATGTAGCCGTCGTCAACGTCGGCACGAGCGACAGCTGGCTGGGAAGTATCCTGGCCATGTCCAACCTGTACGCGTTTGGACAATTAGCCTGGAACCCGAAAATAGACGACGATGCCATCCTGACACAATGGACGCGCCTCTCCCTCGGCCTCGACGACCAAGTCGTGGCCGTTGTGACCAACATGTCCCTGCGCTCGTGGCCCGCGTAAGAGAACTACACTGGCAATCTCGGCATCCAAACCTTGACCGATAACCTCGACACGCATTACGGTCCCAACCCGGGTCTCTATGATACACAAGTGAAATGGGGCCAATGGATGCGTGCCAATAGAACCTCGGTGGGCATGGATCGCACCGACAGCACGGGCAGCGGCTACGCAGGTCAGTATCCGGCGCCGGTGGCGGACATGTACGAAAACCTGGACACGACGCCGGACGAGCTCCTGCTGTGGTTCCACCACGTGCCTTGGACCTATAGACTGCATAGTGGCAACACCGTGATACAACACTTTTACGATGCGCACTACGCGGGCGCCGAGACGGTGGCCGGATTTCCCAAGCTCTGGGCCACTGTCCGGGACAAGGTTGATCCCACTGTCTTTGAAGATGTCATGTTTCGTCTTCAATACCAAGCTGGCCACTCGGTTCTGTGGAGAGATAGCATCAACGAGTACTTCTACAACATGACACAGATACCAGATGAAAAATCTCGGGTAGGAAACAACCCATGGAGGCTGGAAGCAGAAAACTTTGACCTCGAGAACTACGAGATTTTAGCCACCTCGCCATTTGAGATCTCGTCTGGGCTCTTTATCGTTCAGTCCATTTCCAATACGACCACTGGGTCATTGCGCAGTCATTCACCTTACCCCGACGGTTACTACGATCTCCATGTGGCGTATTTCGACTTGAACGATGGCGTGGCTTCGTACTCGATGAGCGTAGGCAATGGCACGGTTGGACAATGGGTCGGAGACCTGGAAACAAAGTTGGGGCACGCACCTACAGGACGTGTTGATGGGAATTCGGCGGCAAGGGTTACATTTGAAGCTGTCTGGGTGCCTCATGGTGCTGAAATCGTCATCAGCACTCAAGCAAATGGTACCGAAGTGGCCCCTTTGGATTATCTCGAGTTTGTGCCATCAGCCAGAGGCAGGAGCACACAGTGATTTGAGTTTGAAAACTTCCTTCATTGACAAGTAATACATCAATTGAAGGTACAAACAAGCAACATGATCCCGTATTTGACCAATTGCTGGTCATGCAAAATCTAAAAGATCCAAGAGCTCAGACACTAAAGCATAATGTCATATGCTTTCAATTTTATAGATATCTAGGAAGATAGCAAGCCGTGTACAGCTATCTCGTCATGCCACGTAGAAACTCATGTCATTTCCATACTTAAAGTCATCAAATTACCAACTCGGTCAACTCAGGGCCGTTGTAGACATCGGCCTCGGGTCCTGGAGTAGGCGGGGCCAAGTTCTCGTTCTTGGTCATGATCCAGCAGCTCGCATACATGTTGACACGATCAATGCAAGCACCGCCCTCACGGGCACCGTGGCGCTTGGCCGTGAATCCGAGGGTCTCAAACTGCTTGATGTACCACGGCTTCAACCCGGCCGAGCGAAGCATGACACGTCCGCCCATCTTGAGAGCGCGGTTGAGCTTGGTGATTTGGGCCGCGGCGGCGTTGGAGCCTGGGTCGAACCAGTCCATGCTGTCCATGACCACTGCCACGGTCAGCGTGCCCGGCGCAATGCGGGCAATGACCTCGTCGATCTCGTCAGTGTGAATACGGAGTCCATCAAAGGCATCAGGCCTAGACAGTTTGGCGTGCGCCTGCTTGGAGAGGTAGTCGAGGTGGCAGCGCTTGGAGAATTTGCCCTCCATGCAGACATAGTAGTATGGATTGTCCGCGGCAATATGGGTGGACTCGACCATGGGATCCAGTGTATTGACCATGTACTCCCAAATGGCGTGAGATCTCGTGTTACGAGCGGTTGGATTCGGTCCACAGACGGCATCAGATTGGGCATGGTCCGCTTCAATGATTGCCAATTGGTTCTTTGGCACTCCAAGGGCAGTCCACAAGAATGACTCTTGGCTGACTACAAACTTGGACACCAAGCGTGAAAGGAGAGCTGGTCGAATTCTGTTGCGCCAAATCTCGCGCTGCTCATTGAGCGTCTTTGCCTCGAGAAGGTCTTTGACGGCACCTCGACAACCAAAAACCCGAGTGATCCAGCGGAAGATACGAATACCATGCTTTGAACCACCAGTGTCATAAAGACCTGCCTTGGACTTGGTGAAGATGTGATGGTTGTTGAGCCAGTACTGGAATGCACGGCTCGACAGATGAGGTGACATTTTGGTGATCAGAAGCGAGCGGAATTCGGGGTGTTTTCCTTCTCCAAAGATCTTCCAAAAGTCCACATAAGACAGAGATGAGTATGCGGCAACCTTGAGCTCCAAAAGATGGCACTGCGTGGGGTTCAAGTCGACGGCATGAATTCTGGCAGGGCTTTGGAGAGCGTACGACAGGATATTGTCACCTGCGCTGCAAATGGCAAGAACAACATCATCAGACTTCAGCTTCAGAATCCTCTCGTCAACGCGAGTATCCTCCCAGGTGAACGCGTAAATGTACTCGTCGTTGAATTGTGTGTGCTTCTTGAGTTGATCGTCATAGTAGATGCGCCAGTGATGGTTTTGATAAAAGAACGATGGCAACGGTAGATCAGCGGACAAGTTCACAACAGCAGCATCAAAGGCCTTGGAACGAAGCTCGGGTGCAGCCCTTTCAACGGCGCGGGACAGAGCATCGGTGTGGTTCTTCGGGTGGAGATATGGTGATTCCGTGACAAGTGCATTGACTTTTTCCACAATCTCGTGTGGAAGCGCAGACGACATTGGCCGCTTATGGCAACCGAGCCAAATGTAGTAGGGAATAGCCCCAAGTGCGTAATTGCGGCTGTTGACGTTGAGCACGGTACCGAAACGATACTCGAGGAAGTCCCTGCGGCCTGGTTCGAGGGCGACTCTGTCAATGTCGAACCAAGCACGCCAAAAGGTTCGTTGCAAGAAGTTGGTGTGACGATTAACCAAGCCGCCTGTGTAGTTCCTAAAGCTCACGTCAACTTCTGATTGTACATAGAAGTCGACCACGCCAACTATTCCGTTGGGTGCCAGCAGTGATGGAAGAGCGTCAACAACGGAGTAGTAATCAGGCTATGAATGGTCAGTCATGGTCTTGAGTTCCGCATGGAATCACGTACAATCATGGACAAGCTATAGGACATGGTGATCAAGTCGACGCCGCCGTGCTCGGGACGTTTCTGGGAGAAGTAGCCCATATAAGGTGAGCTCGGGACATTGCCCTGCATGTGGCTCGGCTCGTGGTCTTCAAGACGGAACTTCCTGGCGTCTTGGCAGACAACCTTGACATTCTTCCAGCCAAGGCGAGCGAATCGCTTGCGGGCAACATCGCAGAGTGATGGGGAAAAGTCCACTAGGTAGACGCTGGAAAAGAAGCTGGGGACGTCGACATATTTTCCCATTGCCTCAATATTGAAGCCGGTTCCACCGCCGACCTAACTTGTTTTAGTTTCATCATAGTGTATCATTGAAGCGAGAACTCACATCAACCCAGATTCTCCTCTTCTCGGAAGACTTGGCCTTCATGGTTGCTCGGTGCTCGAGCTGAGCCGCGGCGAGTGCCAGCATGTCTTCACGGCCCTTGAGAAGTGCGCCTCTGGTGGCGTCGTAAGCACCAGCTTGGCTCTTATAGAAACTCTCGAGGGCATCCTGTTGGTTTCCTTTGGCATCGCCACTGTGCGGCTTGAGGAAGCAGGAGTAGATGAACAGCCATAGAGCCCGGAGTATGCCAGGGTTCTCTACGGGCTTTTGGGACCTCTTGATGAGGGTGGAAAAGCATGCGCTTACGAAAAGCACAATGGTTACTCCAGAAAGGTAAATTTTTGTTTGAGGGGCCAGAGATGGCAAAACGTTACCACCAAGAGAAGCCATGGTATTCTCTCATCGCAACGGAGAGAGCAAAGTGTTGAATCAAGCTGAGCTTTTAGGTTGAACAAGCAGCAAAATGACACAGGTGTTGGTAATAGACAAGCAAGATCTAGAGAGAGCTTTGAACAGCGGTTTCCAGGCAATATATGATTCCAGTCCACTTACCTGCCTCCTGGCCTGCCTGCCTACCTACATGCCTACCTACCTACCTTAGTCACGCCACCTTTGTTGACTGGGCATGGCAGCGTGACTTTCCGATCGTGTCTACTGGCTCGAACCCAACCGCCAAGATTTTCGAGACTCGAATGGCGCATAAATCGGAATGATTCGCATAGCAACAGTGCGTGCTTCCATGAATGGTCGTCTGTGTCGTACTGGGGGGAGATCTTCACCAGATGGACCCTGAGTTTCAACAAACCCCACCAGCTCTTAAGCTCTTGTACCCCACTATAGTTTACTATAAAATGCACTTGCATGTCTGGGTCAATGGGTCCTCTCAGCCAATCATTTCGACCACGAGCTAGAGCCTTTGGGATACAACGAACCACCAGCGGGTTTTAGAGCTCTGCTATTCAGACTCGCTTTCGATCGCCAGGACTCTTTGGAAGAACCCACGTGCGCTAATGGCACATTGTTTGTGTTACACTCGTCTTGCCTCTCACTACGCGCGAGTTGGTTCTAATGGCAGGGCACTTGTTCACCATTGATCGTCTTGTAGCGTGAAATTGCCGACCTAGTCGCCCAATATCGGTAAAGGTGCGTGTATCAAAGGGACCATGCCGAAGACTGGATAGATGACTTGCAGCATGCAGATCAAAACTTGACCCCTCTTTGTAATGTCATTGTGTTGAGATTCCGGCGGAAACATCATGGGTAAATAGATAACGAGTCAGCTTATGACGACTATTCTCACATGGCAAATATTCACCTGCTGTAGATCATCGTGGTGGCGGGCACAAGGCGTCGAGTTGAGTTCAGTATTCAACTACCGCTTTACTGCGGGGTACTTATGCCAAAGGCATGTTTGGGATGTTATGAACGAGAACCGTCTGGTTCGCTTTGGGGCCATACAAGGGAGCCCTGATAATTGTTGAGCCTCAGGTCAAGTATCTAGGTTACCTTCTTGGCGCCCAAAACTCAAGTTGTCTCTTTGCCCTCAAATCAATTAGTGCAATCAAACGTTTGCGCCGGTATGCTTTTCATTCTGGAATGGAGCCCGAAAACTTTTGGTGCCCCTGCCAATGCTGTTCGAACAGCAACTTGTTGTCGTGAGATGAAGTTGAATCTAGCAGACAATGTCTTATCTTTTGCCTCAAGCCATTGAACGATTACAAGCCAGTGCAGGACTGATCCTTGACAGCTCAGGCTATCCAAGTATAGATGGCCTTGATTGCAAAACCAAATAATGAAATTATCACGAGTGTCTATTTAGCTCAGATACAATACTGATTCCAAGAAGCCGCACGATTGCTCTCAGTAGCAAAGGGTATTATAATTAGTCCTATGTTTCGCCAAAGTTCTTATTCAATACATCAAAGGACATCCAGGCCCGACATGGAAATCTCTTAGTGAACACTTACAATGTGCCAATGAACGCTGGTGTTCCTGGCTAGAAGATTGCCAAGGCACATGCCTGCACACATAAGTTGATAAACTCGACCTGTGAATTACATATGCAGCATCATTGGAAAAGACACGAAAGTTTTCTTCAAAGGATTCAGGTTTGTTAATTTCGAGTTATAATGCAATCGCCAAGTTGAAGTAAACATGAATGGTTTCGGCCTTGGGTATGTACTAGGTAAGCAGGAGTACGTACAGGTGGGTAGGTAAACACCAGTCATGTACAAAAAGTACGTACTGTGCCTTCCTAGGCAAAGCATTGAACCCCTGTTGCTCCGCAAAGTGGCACGTGCGTCATCTTGAGCTCGGTCGGTCGCGGCCCAGTCGCGACACCATCTTCAACGTCCATCGAACCCCCGTCGCAACGGATTTGCAGCATAATCCTATCATCAAATCCAATATCACATTCGCCGAGCACAGTTCCGCGGGAACTGCTGCAGCGTCGAGAAAATGCCACCCGTACCTAGTCAGAAAGGGACGGGCAAGAAGGGTTCCGGTGTCGTTCGACAGCGCAGTCGGAACACAACCCCGAACGCCGCTCCTCCTCCCGGGACCGCTGGCTTGCCTCAGGGCGATACTATTGAAACCGACTTCATCAAGGATCTCAAGTTCGAGTCGCTACCAACGATAACATATGAGGACCTGATCGAGTCTGGCGCCTCAAATGCCAACATACCAGATTCAAAGAGCCTCGACGGCTTGATCAATCGCTTGACCAAGATCCATGACATAATCGAAGGTCGAGGTTCGTATTGCGACCGTGGCATGCGACTTGTGGCTGGTGAGCGAAGTAAGATGCATTTTGAGGACGTGTCTTCGGCTGGACGAGAGGACGAAAAGCCACGACGTGACGACGATGAAAAGAAGGCCAACAAGAAGAAGAGAAAGGCGACCGATAGTCTTGCACCTCAGGACGCCAAAGTTGGTAAGTCGAAACCCTGCGAATATCGTCAACGGCCATACCCCTCATTCATTCGGTTGGCCCCGACCCAATGCAATCGCCACGACAGCTTCATCCGCGTTTTCTTGAGCTTCACTAGTTAAGCACCTGCAAACGTTTGCAAACCTCCCCTCCACCAACCCCATGACTGTCGCGTCTATTGTGTCAACAGCGCAACCTTGACGACCAGAAATCCATTGCACCTTCACCAGACCGAAAAAAAACCCATCAACACATTCATTGAGCTATAAGCAACCATGTCCTAATCATGTCATCCTTAGATCGATCATCGCCCTTGCGCGATCCAAACAGCAAGCCCCGCAAACACTCGCGAGACAACGATTCGGCAAGCTCTTCTCTATCACCGGTTGCTAAGGAAACGCCAGGCGCCATGGATGTAGACGAAAAGCCCAAGACCCAGGAAAAGGCCGAGGAAGAGGAGGAAGAAGAAAGCTCTGAAGATGAAGGCGCACCCCCTAGACGTGAGGCACCGCAGTTCCAGACATTTGGTGAAGACCCTTCCACGTTCCCGGATCCGACCGTTTACGAAATTCGCGAGGTCACACCCGACATGACGCCCGACCAGCGCCGGGAGATTTATAGCGTTGCCGTGTACCCAGAGTCGGATCTTGCCGACCTGATTGCGGGCGACCCGCCCGACCAGGATTTCAGCAGTGGAAAGGCTTCAAACCAGATCGCAGCAAGTACCTTTGCAACCTATACCGAACCTTACTTCAGACCTTTTAATGAAGAGGACTTGGCTTTCCTGAGAGAGCGCGGCGATCGCGTAGCCCCCTTTGTCATGCCCAAGCGAGGCAAGCGTCACTATACCGAAATCTGGGCAGAAGAAGATGGTGCCACGTCCATGGATACAACTTCGCCCGGCCGCGACAAACTTCCCCCGAATCAGCCTAGAGGCAATATTGATCACATGGATGATGATGTGGCCGAGACTGACAAGCTCTCTGTCGGCCCCATCCTCTCGAGACTGTTACAAGCTATGCGCCCAGAGGCACGTGCTCAACCCTCCGAGGACAAGCCCATGATCAACGGCATCAACGGCGATTCTGAAGTCAAGGCTGAAACAAATGGTGAAGTCAACGGATTGAATGATGAAGACGGGAAGAGCTTACCGCCTGCATCATGCATGCCCGAGTCGAGCAGCGAGGCGTGGAAGAAGGCTACCCACCCAAAATTGGACTACACTCAGGTTGACGAAAGGATCAAGCAGGAGCTTCGTCATATCGGCTTTTTGCCTGAGGATGGCTTTGATGGAGATTATGACGGGCACTACGATGATGAAGTCGCAGCACGACTTCGGCTCCTTCAAAATCGCCTTCGCGACCAAATCCTCATTAATGGCGCTCGTAAGGCTCGGTTGACTGAGCTCGTTAAGGAACGCATGGCGCATCAAGAGTATCAAACTATCCTCGAGGATCTCGACAGTCAGGTCCAAGGCGCCTATCTTAAGAGGACGCGCACCCTGGGCAAGTCCAAGAAGAACAAGCGACCTGGAGGTGCGGGCGGAGGCAATCAAGCTGCTGGTGGTGGAGCTGCCGGCATGGCGCGGCCTGGCATTGGCGATGTTGCCAAGACACTCATGGAGCGTCGCCGCCGGTGGATTGACAGCATCGGTACAGTGTTTGATGATCCAAACCTGGGCAAGGTGCCTCGAGCAACAGATCCGGGAAGTTCAATCTTCAAACCCGAAGACATGCAGCCACTCGTAAAGGTCGAGCGCCAGAATTGGGACGAGGAAGTTGAAGAAGAGTAATCCCAGTGATTGTTTGCGAAAGAGAATTCCTCTGAGACGAAGTATAATGATACCACAAACTGGCGTTTGGCGTTGAGAGACGGACGATCCGAGATTTGGGCTGTCACGAAGCTCATTATTGGCTTAAGTAAACTGCATGGGGAACATATGCTCCTAAACAATTCTACTAGGTAGTGTGTAGATTGGCAAAAAGCAGTATTTTGTTTTGATGATACATTGAGCGTTGCCATCATGCCTTTTGAGCGCGTTGTTTCGAATTACGTGCTTCAGCTTACAGCAACGGCATAACGAGAGAAGAGCCAGGGCAGTATATAATCAATATTCAGGCAGGAATCTGTTTGCGAACAGTATACCGACTCAAAGTCTCCCGGCGATGGGTATCATCAGGCTGTGGGGAGATGAGGTCGAAACAACTCGTGATCGTCTTTACGTCTTGGGGTGTTCACGGCGAAGGCCGGGAGTGGAAATACAGTGTCCATGTGAGTAATAAAAGACATACTCTATCTCAGAATGGCACAATACTGATGAGCTTTTGTGGAACTCTCAAGATGTTCTGTGTAACAAGCCTTCTGTACTTTCTAGGTAGGTTGATAGCCTGCCCACCAAAAGGTATCGTCAACGATATAGTGAAAAGAAGGCACAAGATGATTGGCCAATGTGACGACAAGCACAACCCAGCCATCTCATTATGCAGGGTGAGTGCACTGAATATGTAACCAACAAAGTATGTATGCATGGCCCGTATCGCTTGTAGAGTTGCGGGGTAATTGAAGCATGCATGGAAGGGAAGGTACATTACCCAACCAAGCACGTAGCGAGCGAGCGGAGCCCCACGCAAGCCGGCGAACGGCGAAGATCCCCAAAGACAGCTGGGGGTCTGGATCTTGGCTTGGGTGATTAGGGAAAAAAAAAGAAATGCTGAAGGTCAAGGTATCTATCTCCCTTTTGATATGGTGATGAACTGAAGCACTCACTATAAGCCATCGGATTCTACCCCAATTCAGCCCATAGGACGAGTTATACTGCCAAGATGCATCTCGTTCCAAAGGAGGTTCGTTCTACTCCCGCCCATTCATTTGTTCAGCAGGTGGAGGGCGTACACGCTCTCTCTCTCGCGCGCGCGCGTACCGATTGATGTGCCCATGCATTTCCATGACACACAGTAAACCCACAACCCAGGTCATGGCTCTTGGCTAACATGAATGCTGCTCTTGCTGCTGCACTAAACAGCTCGACAAGCTCGTCATATCACAGGTTGGCTTCCAAGCTCAGAAGAGGCTGGCCAGGGGTGTCAAGCTCAATCACTCTGAAGCTACTGTAAGATATAATCCTCCATCGTTCCACGTGTGATCCATGCCGGGGTCTACTCTTTAATCGATTCAGGCACTACAATGCAGTAGATATTCGTGCCGGGCGAACACACATACTCACAAGTAATTGGATTATTAGGCACTCATTGCCAACAATTTACAAGAGCTCATACGTGATGGCGCTCATACGGTCGCGGATCTCATGAACCTGGGCTCAACCATGCTGGGCCGGCGCCATGTCCAGTCCTCGGTACCGTCGACTTTGCATGAGATCCAGGTTGAGGGCACGTTTCCAACAGGCACATATCTCGTCACGGTTCACAACCCCATTGCCACGGAGGACGGCGATCTGGCACGGGCCTTGTACGGCTCCTTCCTACCCATCCCGGACCAGGATATCTTCCCACCCACCGAGGCCGCGGCGTACGAGGGCTCGAAGCAGCCCGGCGCTGTCGTTGCCGTCAAGGGCAAGGTTGTCCTCAATGAAGGCCGCAGACGGGTACGGCTGCGGGTGACAAGCAAAGGTGACCGGCCGATCCAGGTGGGCAGCCACTATCACTTCATTGAGACCAACCCGCTACTGGAGTTCGATCGCAAGCAGGCGTATGGCTTCCGCCTGGACATTCCAGCCGGCACTTCGGTCCGATTTGAGCCTGGCGACACCAAGACGGTGACGCTGGTCGAGATTGCCGGAAACAAGGTCATACGAGGCGGAAACCATCTTGCCACTGGCCAGGTCGACCTCTCAAGGGCTGATGAAATTATTACCAACTTGCAAAACGCCGGCTTCTCGCATCGCCCAGAGCCCGTGGGAGATATGGCGTCCATCAGCGCCTTTGCCATCGACCGCAGCGCTTATGTGACCATGTTTGGCCCTACCACCGGTGACCGGGTTAGACTGGGCAGCACAGATCTCTGGATCAAGGTTGAGCGTGATCTCACGTCCTATGGTGACGAATGTAAGTTTGGTGGCGGCAAGACGCTTCGCGAAGGTATGGGTCAAGCCACGGGTAGATCGGACAAGATCACGCTGGATATGGTTGTGACAAACGCTCTAATCGTCGACTATACTGGCATATACAAGGCCGACATTGGCGTGAAAGACGGCTTCATCGTGGGCATTGGAAAAGCTGGCAATCCAGACGTCATGGACGGTGTCACAGAGGGCATGATTGTAGGAAGTTGTACCGACGTGATTGCTGGCGAGGGCAAGATCATTACGGCTGGAGGATTGGACACGCACATTCACTTCATCTGTCCTCAGCAGGCCTACGAGTCAGTCGCGAGTGGTATAACTACTATGCTTGGCGGTGGTGTAGGGCCTAGGTTGGTTGACCCGTCATGCATGTTCCTTGACAGACACGATACTAACAGTCACTAGCGCCGGTACAAGTGCAACGACTTGCACTCCAGGAGCAAACTATACTCGGGATATGCTGAAAGCTTGTGACGAGCTCCCGCTCAACATAGGTATTACCGGCAAGGGCAACGATAGTGCACCTGAAGCGCTCCGCGAGCAGGTCGTTGCAGGTGCTTGTGGTCTGAAGCTTCACGAAGACTGGGGAAGTACTCCCGCAGCTATTGATTCGTGCCTGTCGGTCTGCGACGAGCTTGACGTGCAGTGTCTCATTCATACCGATACTCTCAACGAGTCTGGATACGTTGAATCTACCATTGGTGCTTTCAAGAACCGTGTCATCCACACCTACCACACCGAAGGCGCCGGTGGCGGTCATGCTCCAGATATTATCAGCGTGGTTGAACATCCAAATGTGCTGCCTTCCTCGACCAACCCTACGAGACCCTATACACGCAACACACTCGACGAACACTTGGATATGTTGATGGTATGCCACCACCTGTCCAAGAACATTCCCGAAGATGTCGCTTTCGCCGAGTCCCGTATTCGTGCAGAGACCATTGCCGCAGAGGATGTGCTCCACGATCTCGGCGCCATCAGCATGATGTCCTCGGACTCGCAGGCTATGGGCCGTTGCGGCGAGGTGATTCTGCGGACGTGGAACACGGCACACAAGAACAAGCTGCAGCGCGGCACGCTCAAGGAGGACGAAGGCACTGATGCCGACAACTTTAGAGTCAAGCGTTACATCAGCAAGTATACCATTAACCCTGCTATCGCGCAGGGCATGGGACACTTGATTGGAAGTGTCGAGGTAGGCAGACTGGCCGATCTCGTGGTCTGGGACCCCGCCTGGTTTGGCGCAAAGCCCAGCTTGGTCGTCAAGAGCGGTTTGATCGCTTATGCTCAGATGGTGAGTTTCTCCTTGGATCAACTTTCTTTTTCTAATACAAATGCGAATATCGGCAAAATGTACACGTCCAACTAACATGTAACTTTTCTTTCCAAGGGCGACCCCAACGCTTCCATCCCCACGGTCCAGCCCATCATTGCCCGGCCCATGTTCGCCCCCTTGGTGCCGCGGACGAGCGTCCTCTTTGTATCACAGGTGTCCATCTCGACGGGCACCGTGGCGGGCTACGGGCTGCGCAAGCGCGTCGAGGCCGTGCGCAACTGCCGCAACATTAGCAAGCGCGACATGAAGTTCAACGACGTGATGCCCCGGATGCGCGTCGACCCGGAAAAGTACACGGTCGAGGCCGACGGCATGGTGTGCGAGGCCGAGCCCGCCGAGACGCTCCCGCTGAGCCAGCAGTGGTTTGTGTATTGAGAAATTTTGTTGCGCTGGAGGTGAGAATACTCAAGGATGAGCTGCGCAGCGTCCTAGTTAGTGCCAGTCTGTTGTAGGCTCAAGGCTATAGGGGTATGTATAGCGAGTGTCATGACCCAATATTGTCCTTTTTATCTGGCTGTACAGAAAACAAGCAAGTAGATCAGAAAGTTTAACATTTATTACCCTTTGAAACAAGAGCACTCATATGTCACTTGCGAACAAATCGTTGGTGATTGCAAGAAAATACAATGTTACATATAAGAGCATTGGATATACTATGTACCATGTGTAATACTCAAAACCGGACACCCTAGCTCTCCGTGCTTAAGTCGCCAAAGCACTGGAACTGTATATACTTGAGCTCCAATATATACTCTGTATCTAGCAGTCTTTGCTTTCTGTCCATGGTCGCTCATAGTGTTGGGGTTTGTTTCTCGTCAGTCCTGCCAATAATTTGTACCATATTGAAGTAGGTTATCAGTCTTTAATATAGCCATACTTTATACCATCTATCTTGTCGGCGATTGTAACAGGGAACTAGTGTAATGCCGTCGACCTATGTGCTATTGTTCATCGTATAATACTATTTCTCTTTGAAACACTCGCCACTTACATATAACAATTTTACATATCAGTTGAATGTTTTATTACTCTTTATGCCATGTTTCGCATAAAGCAAATGAGCAGAATGTTGACTGACAATAATTGATTGTTTTGGGAACAGCATGTGAATTTGCGGTACAATTCGACCGCCTAGAAAATCCCTACTCGAACTCCTTGACCCTTTATGTACCAATGATTGCTGCCTTGTTCAGTGTCAACGCGACACGAAAGCAGCAGAAACTCGTAAATTCATACAACCAGCCACCGGGCTTAGAAAACCAGTCCTCCCCCCCTCCCTTTCTCTTCGAACACTCGAATTTGCCCTCATAATTGTTGACCCCATGCCCCCTCCGATCAAAATCACCAAAGACCAGTTGGCAACATCATGTACGTGCGGTACGGTACGCAAGTGGTATCTCCATAGACAGCAGGAAAGAAGAAACATTGTAGGAATACACAGAGACGAAGATGATGTTTAGTTCTTCTTCTTGCGGGCGGACTTCTTAGGCTCCTCCGACGCAGGCTCTGCAACCTTGGACTGGCGCTTGCGCTTCTTCTCGGGACTGGCGGGCGTGGCGGTCTTAGCGGCACTAGCCTCGACGTCCTCTCCGTCGGCAGCGGTACTCTTGCGCTTTCTGCTGGGCTTGGGCTTGGGGGTCTTGGTCATCTCCTCAGGGACAGCAGCGACAGCGACGGGGGCAGACATCTGGAGCTGCTCAACGATGGCATCCTGATCGTTGCCTCCGATACCTCCGGCAGCGGGGTCGACGCCAGCGAGGTTAGGCTGAGGAAGTTGGTTGGCATCAGCATAAGTGAGAGCCTCTTGGTCGCTCATATCCCTGGCAGTCAAGTTACCAGCCTTGTAGGAGGCAACACGGGCGTTGTAGAGACGCAGGTTGAACTGGTAAGCATTGTTCCAGGCCTGTAAACTCGAGTAAGTATTTGCTGCAGTGACAATGTGCCATTGTGTAACTCACATTCTTGTCATCGGGACCCATGGCCGCCCAGCGCCTTTGTCCCTCTTCCTGAACGGCGCCCTTGGGAGCATCGGCACCCAGGTCATTTGCAATGATGGGGCGAGCGGTTTGCATGTAGAGGAAGTAAGGAGTCAGGGGCCTCTTGGGGGCATTGGGGTCATGCTGGCGCTTCTTGCGCTCCTTCTTCTCCTCGGCAGCGGGGAGAGCCTCAGTAGGCGGCGGCGCAAAACCAAGAGAGGCTCCATCGAGTCTGGCAAGAGCACCAAGGCTAGGGATGTTCTCCAGGGAAGTGGGCTCGCCAACAAGCAAGTTGCTTTGGCGCAGGTAGTCAGCTGCGAAATCCCTCAGCAGCTCCTGGATGGTAGACAAGCGGGAGTGAACCTTTTATCGAGTATTAGCGACAGGCTTCGATTTGTTTTGTTGGTGGGATGACATGGAGAATTGTGATTCAGAAAAGCAATCAGTTGCATCTCATCTTGCAGCCACGCGGGTGTTGTAAGCAACAGTATAGAAGCTCCCATTACCCCTGCACCTCGACAATGCGGGGTCGAACATAAACAGGACAGGCGCTAAAGACGCGTCTCGTAATGTCGTATGAACACTTCTTCATACATTGCACGCATTGTCCATGGCCACGGTTGAGATATTGTAAAAGCTTATGAGATCATTTTGGAGGGAGTGTCGGTGATCTCGCATGACGAGTCACCGAGTCATGACTTAGGATGAGTGCATGGCATGAGAGTGCAGGATTGTTGTCGAGGACAAATCGAATGAATGCATGTTTAACGGTGTGGGATGATGGAAAGCTTGCACAAGTGAAAACATTGCGCAAGGTGGCAGAGAAATACGGGTATTTCTGTGTTGGGCTAACAGGTTTGCATCTCGCAAAAGAGTGGTAATGTCTGTTTCCAGACGGTGGCCGAAGCGTTGTTGTTTTTTTTTTCTAGCTGTTGAGGGTGGGCAAAAAAAAAAAAGCATGGGACTTACAGAGTCTCTCAGTCTTGCGTACTCGGCGCGGTTAATGACGAGTGTGGCCGACGAGTTGTCGGGCAGGACCTGCGATGCAGCGGGAGCAGGGACTTGGGGCAAAAGCTGTGGTGGTGCTGGCGTCGGGACCGCGGCGACGGCAGCCTTCTGTTCCTTCTTAGGGCGGGCCATTTTTTACTTTTTCTTTGGTGGTTGAGCGCCGGCGAGGTGTTGTGGTGACTGTGGCTGGGATAAGAGTTCTGAAAGAATCGAGGGCCTGGGGCGGTGTCCTGAATCGTTGAATGGAGACAAACAAATTCAGTGAAGTTCTGGGGCTGATTTTGGGGCCTTTGAACAGTGGAGTAGTGGAAGCGCGAATTTCGCCAGTGAATTAAGTTGGAAGAGGGAGAAGAGGGACGGCGCAAATCAGCGCCTAAGGTTTGGGGGACGTTGGCATTTATGTGAGGGGCAGCCGGGTCACTGATTGCGCTGGATCGCCCACTCAGTCTTGGGGGGAGGGGGTCAGCTCCAGCAGCCGACAATTTTTTTTTTTCTTCTGATCTTCGCGCTTCACCACAGGCACCACCTTGGGAGGGGGCCACCTCCACCCAACCTAGGACAGAACGGCCTGGGCGGTCCCTCCCATTTGCTTGTGCCCTACCTAATGTACATTACCTACACCCGAGGGACTGCTCAACCTACCGACATGCCACCTTATTACCTGTGCCATACAAACATTTTTTTTTTTCTCACAAAGACTACCGACTGAAAGTGATGCCACTCTGGCGCTTCCCTGCCCCGCCCAGTTTCCTCTGTATGCTGGGGCTCGGGTACCTCTTAGCATCACCAAATACCTTTTTACCTTTAACCTACACTCATCCCACCACCGCAGCCCAGTTGCACAGAAGGTAATAGAACCACCCAATGGCAACAACATGAACAGCCAACTCCTGGCAAGAGCCATGAAGCTCGCGTAATGCAATGAAGAGGATTTAATGAATCCTTTTAGAATGAGCCCATAGGTCATTCTCCAGTGCAGTTGAATATCACAATTGAATAATTCAACTGCAAAGGGCCTGCAAAAAAGTGAACTATCATCCAGTTTGAATGCTTTTAGGTCTTCTGTTGTTGTGCTGCCACGCGCCGAGGCAGAACGAGCGAGCATCTCTTGAGAGTAAGAGGATCATTGCTGCTCCAATTGATCAATGTGTCCTTGCCAGTGGTAGGTACTTTTAGCAGCGACTGGGTCGCCCAACGAGAAATGCCAGGGGGTGGTGGTCTGGTGCTTCGCGCTTTCAATCGATGGGCGACGTAAAAACAGCAGCACTGCACAACAAGACCGGGGCTCAACGTCTTCGCGCGCAGGTACTTGGCGCACCCGATTTTGCAGGTCCTGGCATATTGCAGTCGATTGGAAAATTGAAGAATTTGTGCAGTAGCTGGAATTATTCCGGGGCAACTCGTACTTACAATTTGTGCGCTGAGAGTTTCTGCATCGTTTTCTTGGTTTCCGCATCGCTGGCGGTGTGTTGGAGACCAGCCGGCACCGCTGGAACTTGAGCTCCTGTTTAAAGGGTTCATGGGCCATGAGGGTGCTGATGTAGCGACTTTTATGGTGTTTTAGGCTTGTTCATGCAGGGCTCCATCGGTGACACGCTTGCCCCACGCTCACTGGCTGATACCAGTGGTGCTGATGCACTATTGTCGACTCTGGCAAGCTGCCCCTGCTAAAGCGGCAATCGCCCGCCCAAGCGCCCGAGCATTTTCTTTCGCATCAGTCGCTGTGATCTGGCGCTCTGAATTTCCAGACACCCCAGGACCCCCCACGTCCTAGACTCCCCATTGATACCTCCCAAGGTCCGCTTACTTGCTCGCTCGCTCAGCTCTGTCTACTGGCCGCCCAGTCTCAGTGCGCTTATGCCCAGCAAGTCTACTACTCGATGGGCAACGTAGCAAGCCCTCGCCTTGAGAAGCTGGAAGCTGGAGAGGGGACCATAACGTGAGCACGGAATCTCTTTAGAAGGGCCAGCGGAAAGGGCCTCAGACTCGGTGGCTCTTGCAAGCTAGCGATGCCGCCTTGCACCTTACTGCTTGTTCTTTCAAGTCCAGTGCTTGAATCGTTGCCGCCATCTCTCTCTCTCTCTTCCTACCAGTGAGTGTGGGCATTGGAAATCCTCTGAGCCCGTTGGCTGAATTCATGGCCTAAAGCCTCGTCATGATTTTCTTTACCTACACCTGGGCAGTACCCTCCGTACTGCATCACTAAATTGCCCTGATTCTTCTCTTTATTGTTACGCTGGGTCACGCCGGCTGGGTTCCAAGAAGGCCCTCGTGTCTTGAGGCCTCGCCTCTGTCATTTTACTTGTGAGGTGCTGTCTGACATGCTAACAAGAGCTTCGCTGCTGCCCTTTTGCCTCGATGTTTACAGGTCTCGTGCGACAGCACAAATATACTTCGTATAGCAAGTGTCAACTCATGCTGTTGCATCGCCATTCTTCTGCGGAACTCTCCAAAAGTTTCTTAGGCTCTCTACCTTGTAGTAATGATTCCAACTCCCACGATGCAATCCCTACCTGATCTACCTTATTTCGATGCAGTCGTCAGCCCTTGATCCCTCACAACGGCTCCTCTCCACGCACTTGTATTAGCATTATGATTCTGTTATTGTATGAGTCGCATCACCCTTCCATCTTCGTTCAGCGCCAACGGGCCTTGTTGCCTCTGTTGACCCCTCGTCTTGCCTGAAGCGGACGACGGCCATGGCCTTTTGGCGGGTTCCAAACTATCATCCTGCCATCATTTGAGAGTAGTTATATATGCCACACCTGATAGATCCCATCTATATTGAGCTCTACCAATCCGACATCACCAACTACACACCGCCTCTAGAGATTGCATGCATGGATGAACTTTTTCTGCTACAGGTAGAAATGCTATACTGGTCGACAACTAAAACCACGTTCCATCTTACTTCGCGATAACTACTCGTCTCTATGATACCACAAATTTGCTCAAACTATGCATTTATTGTGAGTCCGCTCGACTGTTCACAGTCTTGATTCTTGCACGGCCCAACATGCAACTACTCGAAATGGTCTCAATCCCTAAATATCCCATCTTCTTTAATCTTGCGGCATGTTGTGTAGGTTTTTAGATCAAGTGATGGTCGGGTACGAAATTCGAGCAGCATGTATTCGTCGTGCATCAATAATTGCGTTTCGTGGATCGGCTATATCAACATGACTGCCTGCCCCTAAAGGTGGTGTTTTGTCGTCACAACAACAACAATCCGATGCCTACCTACGCGATATGGAGACATTGAAACATGTTACATCTTTGACATCATCAAGTATATTTTGTCAACAGTTGCTCGATATATCTTATCTATTGATGGATTTGAAGATTTGAAGATATCGGGTAAAGAGATGGCTACGCCGAGAAAAAGGTGGCAGAAAGCTCTGACGCGTCAGGAGAGATCAGGTATTCAGACAAAGTGCAATGAAAGTCATGGCGCGACAGGGATGGGTATTAGCACGAGGCTGCAGAGGTCAAATACACTAGAGGTGATGGATACTAATAGCATCATGGTGCGGGGTCGCCTTTGAGAAATGGCAACAGGAAATCTGCGCTTGCTTGGGCCAGACCGCGTAGTGGTACACAGTAGTCGTGAGTCTCCATCTCTCCATGTCTCCAGCACAGTCGGTGGCATCTGTAGCCTCGCACAGAATCAAACATGATGGCAATGCCACGTGCGGAGCCGCTCGCGATTCTCTTCACCGTTTTCTGATGGACGATGGGAAACAAAACACCGCCCCCTCGAGAGCTTGACTAGTTGGCTCATGCTAAGGTTAGATGTTCTTGGCGGGCGCATAGCTCTTGTCAGGGTCCAGCTAAGGTAGATAGTCTAGCCGTGAGAAGTCGGTCCAAGGTTTGTTCTCATTCTACGCGTATCAATGCTACTGTGCCCGCGGGCTGGCTGAAGCGCGGGCAAGTGATAAGAATGTCATGTAGTACGTTGACCAACCAATGTACTGTAGCTGCGGTACATGCCCATGAGAATACAGTAGAGACTACACGCGCCTCAGCCAAAGAGACATCAGGCAAGTTGGGCGTGTCGAGTACGTAAATGGTGGGTACGTAGTTGGTCTTGGCAAGAGCTTGTTGATGCTGTCTGTTCCATGACAAGGCATCTCAGCTTTCCAACACATACCTACACTACTACGACGTGCATACAGGTGATGGATGGCCTCCGATCGCCCACACTGAAAAGAAAAATACCCTGTTCGTTGGCCGTTGTATGGGAAGAGGAACTCAAGTGCTGCAGCCTCTTGAATCTTGCCTGTGCTACCTTACCTAGCCCCCCCTGTCAGGCCAGAACAGACTACCGGCCGACGGCTCAGAGCGTTTCACATTCGCTCCTCCACCTCAGCTGTGTAAGTCGGCGGCGATCCAATAAAATCAACGGAGCTTGCACATCGCGGTCTTGGCAGTTCTGAATCAAGACGATCCCCTCGTTCGACGGGGAGAGCTTTCAATGCTGCCCCTCCAAACACGTCACATTTTCTCTGCTCCCCTGGATTTCTGGATTTCCCTTCTTCTTCTTCCCCCATATGAACCCGAGTCTTCTTCCCTGGCGTCTCTCGTTCTCCCTTTTCATGTAAACACCATCTTTGCGAATCCACACCTACTTTTATACCATTCGAAAAGCATCTTGAGCTGGCCAGGATGTTTACTTTGAAGCCCTACCCCGCCCTGTTGGCGCTGGTAGTCTTGCTGGTCTATGCCAGACCAGCCCTGGCGTTTGGTGCTGGCAACATCGCCTCTATCTCCAAGGTTGAGGGCCAGAACTGTAAGTTTACTCGATTCATTGCCCTTTGGCATCTTGGCAGCGACAAATTACCTCCCAATTGGTTCTTCGCTTTTTTCTAACAACTATCTGCTTTACAGGGCGCCATGGCGATATCGAGGATACTCTGCTCACTCTTCTTCTGGCCCGTGCCGCCGGCGGCAAGAAGTTTGACAAGCTTGCTGTCTCCCGTGTCTACTTTGGAAACTGGCTCCGTGACTACTCGCAGGCTATCGATGTGGGAACGGTCAAGTCTGTCTCGGCCGAGGCCATTCGCCTTTTGCTCTGCGTTCTCGGTTTCTTGACCTTTGGCTACGGCTCCAAGGAATTCGAAGTCACTGCAGATCGCCTGGGCACTTACCGTCCCGAGGACCACATTGGTAAGCAATCTTCCTTCTAGATATCCTCCTGTTCAATCCTATACCAGGCGCCCCAATCTGAATGAGCCATTACTCTGCCGGCGGCAGTCTCTCAAGAGGAACTCGGCTAACCACATCTTCCAGATAACCCCAAGGGATACCCTGCCCCTGGAGTTGATGCTCGCGACTATGACAAACGACTCCGTGGACCCATCGACGAGGAGGTTGAACTTGCCGTCGATGAGCGGACCGGCCTCAAGAACTACATCGCAAACGAGGATGTCAACATCATGACTACTGCCTTGCATATCAGAAAGCTCTTTGGCCGTTGCATTGAGCTCGGACGTTCATACAACCAGAACCGAAACAAGGATGACTTCTACGAGGCTCTGAGACTCATGGGAACTGGTCTCCACGCATGCGAAGGTGAGATATGCACCATGAACCCCGTTCGACTACTTGCAAGGACACGTATTGATTGACAAACCGTAGATTTCCTTGCCCACAGTAACTACACCGAGCTGGCTCTTATCGAGTTGGGTGAGCGCGATGTCTTCCCTCACGTTGGTCGTGACACCAAGATGCGCATTGAAGGCGTCCGCCACGAAGTCTACCCCTGTATCACCGGTACTTTTGGCGGTGTCGATTTCTTGCATTCTGTGACTGGAGAAGGTACGTTTCCCTAGCTGGGGATGTCGCCTTTGGATGCCATGCTAACATGAGAGTCAGTCTCCGACAAGCTGACGCAGAATGAAATTGATGAGCTTGAGGGTACCTTGACCAACAACTCCAAGAACGACACTAGCTACATTGCAGACCTGTTGGACAAGATCCCTGACGGTCTCATTGGCGGCTCCGGCGACAAGAAGCAGCAGATGCAAGAGATCCAGGAAAACGCAAACAACTCGCAGATGGAGAACGTCTCGGTCTCGCCTCGTGACCCGGAAGAGTTCACTGTTTACGTTCAGAACATCTTCAAGCAGATAATGCCTGCCATTGAGTTCCACGATGAGCTTCTGAAGAGCATCAGCGAGGCTATTGAGAAGATTCCCGTCCTGCCCAAGCTCATTGAGAACCTCGAGGAGCAAATGTCTGTCTGGGTCTTCTCCATCATGGCACCCATGGTCGTCCCCGTCCTCCAGCAGATCAAGAACGAGCTGCGAACTGGCTCTGCCGAGATCATTGCCAGCAGTGAAAATGAGCAGCACATTGTCTTCAACGACGACAACTGCTCTGACCCTACCCACTCCATGTTGTCCAAGGACCACTTCTCCAACGTAAGCTTTTCATGCAATCAGTTCCGAACACAGGAAACTAATTTCCTTTTATAGATCCTCAATGAGGCTGCTGGCAAGACTGCCAGCAAGGTGGTTGGGTGGGTTGTTCCGCAGTTGATGGAGGCTTGGGATGATGAGAGCGTCGACGTTGATCGTCTGATGAACCGCATCATCACTGGTGTCATGCACCACCCCGCTCAGCGTGACCAGGGTGAGGATGGCGCCAAGGACTGCAGAGAGATCATGATCCGCTCTGTTGAGGACTGGTGGAACCAGAAGGATGACTCCGAAAAGGATGAGTTCCGTCGCAAGTTGTCACGCGAGGGTGTCCAGAACGGTGAGAACCACAAGGAGGGTGTTCACGATACTGGTCATGGTTGTGGCAAGCCTCTTGGCATGCACAAGAACTTTGCCGAGGGCGGAACCTTTGAGGACCGCATTGCCGGCGCTGCCGCTGACGCTATCGTCGGTGGCATTACGGGTGGCATTTCCGACGCCGTTGAGTCCCAGACCGGCATCTCGCTGCCGACTAGCGGCTCTGGATCGTCTGGCCGTCGTCAAGACGAGTCAAGCGAGGGTGGTCTAGGTGGCCTCCTAAGCAAGGTTGGAGGATCTTTCCTCGGAGGCTTCAAGAAGGACGAAGAGGAGTCCTTCTCCAGCCGTCGCGAGGATGACAACTCCTACACTGAGTCTCGCACAGAATACGGACACTCTGGCAACCGCTACGGCCAAGCCGAAGTCTCCCGAACCGAGTACTCTGGCGGTGGTGAATCCGAGAGCTACATGCGGTATGAGCAAAACGAAGACCGCCGAGGTAACACAAGTAGCCACGGCTACGAGGAGCGCACCGAGACTCGTCCTAGCCACGGCGGCGGCTATGAGCAGCGCACTGAGCGCCGATGGGAAGACAACGGAAACACATACGAACAGCGAGAGGAAAGCTCTTGGGGCGGTGGCCGACGTGACGAGGGCGGTCGTGACGACTTTGGCGGCGGTGAACGCCGTGAAGAGGGCTTCGGTGGAGGCTTCGGAGGCGGTCGCCGCGACGACGACTTTGGTGGCCGCCGCGAGGAAGGCTTTGGCGGCGGTTACGGAGGTGGCCGCCGTGATGATGATTTCGGTGGTCGTCGTGATGACGACTTTGGTGGCCGCCGTGAGGAAGGATTCGGTGGCGGTCGTCGCGACGACGACTTTGGTGGTCGCCGCGAGGAGGGTTTCGGCGGTGGCTTTGGCGGTGGTCGTCGTGATGACGAGCGCCGCGATGACGGCGCAGGCGAATTTGTGGATGGAGCTCTCGATATGGCCGGCCGCTTCATGGGCGGTGGTGACCGTCGCGATGGTGGAGAACGCCGCGGCGGTGGTGGCTGGGGCTTCTAGGGGAAGTTGCGCAATCAATTGTGATATCCACGACTATAGATTTCAGATTAGGTGACTGACTCGTCCATCGGGGCCATCGCTTAATAAGACTCCATTGAAGAGCCACTAGTGAAGTTGACGATATTTGACCATGATAAATACATGTTCACGATTAAGCGGTTATACAGTGTAGACTGAGGATTTAACTGGTTACAATCAAAGGTTTAGTGATACTGCATAAGAATATGCCCAAGTCAATCCATCGACCATCGTAGAGCTAAAGGCGGATTCATGTCTTGAGAAAAAGAAAATAGAAGGATTAGCACTCATTTGCTATTTGCATATGGGCACACTCATTTAGACACACAAAAGACTCTGCGTGGTCTATTCTCTATTGTATTCCATTTCGGCAGGCCGGGCTTCAATTCCATGTCCGCCTGGTACGGATGGTGATGCTATACCGTCTTTGGACATTATCCTCACGGGACCATGATTCCGTCGGTTGAGTTCAAGATCGCCTTTTTACCAGATGACAGCTCTTATTTTGCCAAGCCGGATTTCGGTCGCTTGGCTCGACAAGTCTTTCTCGAAGCATACTTGGCCCTGCTAATGACGCACGGCACCAGATTGACATTAATATAATCATAATCATTGTGGCAGTGGCAGTGGTAGGCTGTTTCCCAGCACTACGGCCCCATGACGGATGTCGGTGTCTTTGCCAGGACGGCGAGCACTTATAATGACTTTGGGAAGGTGAACATAGACAACGTGCTTCTGTATGTCATTCTCACACTCTTGCAAGTCATTCTAGAATCATTGTGTATATCTAGCTCATCATGCAGGCACTTGTCATTCTTTCGCTTCTGGCCAGCTACGCCAGCGCCCAAGGGGCGTCGGGCTCTGGTCAAACAACACGGTGAGTATTCAGGTCAATTGATATGATCATTCCGACCATACTATCGGTTGAGACTTATCCCAATCTTTGATTCAATCTCTTCTCTACCAACTCATCATCCACCTCCATAGCCTTCATATCCGAGCAAACTCTAGAAGTTGCCAAGAATGAGAATAAAACAAGAAAGCTAACGTGGGCCCGACTGACAAAAGGTACTGGGATTGTTGCAAACCGTCATGTGGCTGGGGCATGAAGACCAACAGCGGCAAATACATCCAAACGTGCGACAAGTCGGACAACCCGCTGGGCTCCTCGGACACCAAGAGCGGGTGCGACAGCGGCGGGTCGGCGTACATGTGCTCGAACCAGAGCCCCTGGGCCGTCAACGACACGGTGGCGTACGGCTGGGCGGCGGTCAAGCTGGCGGGCTCCAACGAGCAGACGTGGTGCTGCGCCTGCTACGAGCTGACGTTTACGAGCGGGCCCGTCGCCGGCCAGAAGATGGTGGTCCAGGCCAGCAACACGGGCGGCGACCTCGGCCAGAACCACTTTGACATTGCCATGCCCGGCGGCGGCGTCGGCCTGTTCAATGCCTGTACCAATCAGTACGGAGCGCCGCCCCAGGGTTGGGGACAGCAGTATGGTGGTGTCTCGTCCCGGTCTGATTGCGATTCGTTCCCGGAGAAGCTCAAGGCGGGTTGTTACTGGGTATGTACTTGCAAACCCCCGCGTCTACTCATATTTCTCTAGTGGCATTCACAAGAAACTAACGGACAGCATTATAGCGATTCGACTGGTTCAAGGGCGCTGATAACCCCAGTGTCACGTTCAAGCAGGTGGCCTGTCCCCAGGCCATTACCTCCAAGAGTGGCTGTGTGAGGAGCAACGATGCTATTGATGAGACGCCCACTTCTGGATAATTCCTTCCGTTCAATCATCTAGGTATCCTCTATGTCCTTGAGCTCTTCGTACGTAGCCAAGTCTTTGGGGGTATTTTAAACCGGTCGGACACAAAATTCATATATCTCAATTACCTGAAAATGAAAGCAAATCGGAAAACTTTTTCAAAAACTTTTTCATCTCACCAGGAGAATTGCTCCTAGAAGATTTCCACTCGTAGTGTAAAATGTCTGATGCAGGCAGATTTGCTATCACGGTCGCAGTGTATTCCCCTTTTTTTGATTAAAAAGGAAAAGAAAAGAAGAAGAAACAACTGGTGGTTATTTATCATCCGTAAAGTAGTAAATTAAAATAAGTAAGAAGAGGAAAATTAATTGCTTCTTGCTAGAGACCCAGGAAGGTAATGGGATATTAGCTATATTTGCAGGTAGCTGAATTATTTTCCTTGGATTCTTTATACTTGTGGTGACATGAGTTTCAACTCGTAAAATGACTGCGATGGGCGGTGATATCCAACCAAACTATAATCAACATAATGGTGGTTATTAAAGCATGGCATAGTACAGAAACATGGTGTTGATCTATTAGAATTTATGATTGGCAGATTTGCAAATATCAGCGACCTTGGCGAATGATGATACAACGTGAGATTATACAGACTATGCCAGAGAAATATCATGTTCGTCGGTGTAATAACCCGGAGCCTTGCTCGTGATTGGTCATAATCAGAGCGAATACGATGATGGGCCTTTCTTATTTGCCCCTTTGCACAAATGACTAGATATCAGCTTTTCGGCCTACCATATCAAGTTGGTGGCAGTGATTCGACACTCGAGAATCGCTTTCATTTTGGCTCAACGTTGAAAAACTGCTCTTGCTGACATTTTGCGAATATTTGTTTCAAAGTAACAAAGATTAGAAATCACAACACGGAAAAACACGACTCCATTTGTCTCTACGACAAGAGTCATGAGAGGAGAGAAAAATCGTCTCGTCGGTCCAAAATACTTTCCATAGGTCTAGCATGGTACACAGCCGACCAAATAAGCGGGGGGACATGCTGTGTGGATGTTGTCAAAATCAGCACAAGTAAGCGGCAGATGTTGGCGCGGTCCACCCCTGGAGAAACCTGTCAGGTCAAACACTCTGTGTAATCACTATCCTATAGACTCCAAGCCTTTCTGAACATTTGGATATCTTTATACGCCCTGAATACGTGAAGCAGCTGTGGAGATGAGTGCAAAAATCAACTCATGTGCGAGTCTCCTTGCGAGATGTCATCAGAGATATAATGCCACGATTTGGTGCAATCGTGGAGCATCTTGACAACCACGATGGCTTCTTTCTACCTCCCGTCGTAGCATCGTGTCAGCCTCTCTGAGTGCGGAGTGATGGGCCCGGCTCCAGGTCAGGGGACCAGGGTTATCAAAGACCTAGCCATGTCCTCGTGACAGCTGCCTCCATTCTTGACGTGGAGTACTGCCACGGGTCAATGAGAAATGAACCCTAAGAGCCTTTGCATGAGAATATTGACACTAGAGGAGTGATGGCTCGCGGCATGGACAATTTCCTCTTATATATCTCGTCGTATCGGCAGCATTACATCAGTCACCAGCTAACCGGCCAAGGCGCATATGATTGAGATCACCAAGTAAATACCATATGCTTCCATGGAAATGCACAAGAGAAATAAGACCAGGCTGCCCCCAACACGAGTATGTATCCGTACAGCAACGCCCCCATGTCGACTTGCCAGGTATGCAGCCGATACCCGGGACGCGGTAGGAAGAGTACTACTGAGTCGCTTGTCACAACTGCCGCAATCTTCTCATGGATGACCGACACTCTCCTAGGGACCCCCTCAGTCAAAGAATATGGAAATGACGCCATGCCCTCGGTGATTTGATATAGACTCTCGTTCAAACACGCGCATACTTTGTTAGACATGGGAGAAGGCCAACATGTTGACCAGAAGTACCGGACGTGCGCCGTGGTATCAGCGGCGCGAAATAGAGACGCGTATCACGGATCTCGACGGCATGTTACACAAAGTGATGTACGTATATAGAAGTAGGGTTGAGAAAATACCAAAGTTTGAGGCAGTCAATCGGATCGTGTTCCTTTCCTCATGCCTGGCAGATATACCGGGTGATTGCTTGGGTACGCTGCCCGTATCCGGTTCTCGCCGGGATTCCTGGATGCATTGCGCCCATTAAGCAAGAGAGTGGGCGGGTCGGAGTCCAGCTGCTGCAAATTCCATCAAGGGCACTGACTCGGCTGCATGGAATTCCCAAATTATATTGACCAAATAATTGCGCTGATGACTTCTTTTGTCATCAACAGCAAATGTGAGCTAGGGGGCAACTGATTTAGTACCGTGGCTGTAAATGTCATCCGATTGTACTCTCGAACAAAGAAGCCCTCAGGTGAGAAGCGCTAAGTGTTAGAGAGAAATGGAGCGCGTTTCACACGCGAGTGTTGCGATGCTCCTTCGGACAGGTTCTTGCTTTCTTTCCTCCCCCTTCCAGATGTCTATTCGATTAATAAAAGTTAAACTTTGGAAAGAGACAGATGCAGCTTTCTTCCTGTATTCCCTTTCCTGCCCATCAATAGTGTAGATGGACACGACGACGCAAGAGCAAGGGGAGAGAGAAGTGGATGAAAATCGATTCACTCATTCAACTTAAATCAACGGCCCACGGTGCATCCGGACCCTGTCTACCCTGTACCTACCGTGGAAACAAGCTTTCTCAAGCTTTGTGCGGTAGGCTTGGATAGGCTTGATGTGTGGGTCGGGCAAAGAGAAGAAATTCTTGATTGGTCAGCTGTCGCTTAGCGCCAGATAACTCGTCACTTGGCCAGCGTTAGGCGACACCGGCGCGCTGAACAACTCTTCGCAGCTAATCCGCTTCGGTTGGCCCTGGGGGATCGCCCACGCAGTGCCTGGATCCCAACACACCAATGGGCCGGCCAGCGAGCCTTTCAGAAGGGGCGTCTTTGGGGGGTGATTTGCCCACCAGTCGATGGCTACGAGTCGTGTGCTTTCTGTTTGCAAAAAGCCATTGCAGCTCGCTCTCTCATGTTGCTTGCGCACCAGCAGTAGTGGATGATGAACCCCTGTTTTCCTGCTTTGTGGTTTCTTCTTTTCTATCCTCTCGATCCTCGCGTGCATGACACGCTGAACCGAGTACCTCCTGAGCCTCAATACTCCAGGTAGATTTACATGTAGTAGGTACACCGCGTAGTCTATGTCGTAGGTCGGACCCCATCCACATGGTCATCAAATCGGGTACTGGGGCCAGCGCAAAAGACAAGCCAAAGCCCAGTAGGTATCAATGTACGTATCCCGTACCCGCCTTGCCCCCCCAGCTTAAGACGACAGCCCGGCCAAAAGAGGATGTAGGAGGACTTTGGGGACCTGGCTCATCCCAGGCAAGGGACCCGGCAGGAGAATGTCCTCATTTGATCCCCCCGTCGCCCAGTCCTCTCCATCTCTCTTCTTTTCTCTTGGCATGCACAATCAGACGCCAGCCAGAACACAGAGGACCCCCCCAAAGAGACACACCCCGTCATCTTGGTCAGTCTGGTACCACTTCTAAAGAAAGGTTCTCGAACCTTTTCCAGGCAAAGGACCCTCGCCTCCCGTCTGCTGCTGGTGTTGGTGGTGGTGGTAGTAACAATTTCGATTATTACTACTACTACTACTGGGCAATTCGGTCGCTCAACTTCTCTTCTCAATCACATCCTTCCTCAGCGTAACCTGACCTCAAATCTCCCACTAGCGAGCGCTCTTCCGAGAGAGGGCACGCTGGTCGGTCCTTCGACATTGTATACTTTCTGGCAATGTCTGTCTTGCACAGTCGGAGCTGGAAAACGATGGAACTGTGATCACCGAGCATGTGTATGTTAAAAATATTCCCGTTGTCTTGGCTTTGGTCTTGGCCTTGCTTTAGTCGTCCCGAGTCTCTGTTTTTTTCCCCCGCGAAAAAAAAGGGTTCCAAAACCCGTTCGACTGGCATATCTTGGCGCCAATGCTGGTGTCTTGGCGATCCTCAAGCTGACGTCTTACAGCACTCACCCAGATTCGGAATGTCGTGTAAGTATATTCTGGACACAAGGTTCAATTGCGCTTCAATACAACCTCTTGTTTGGTCGAAATATTTATCATCACCTTCATCACTTTTGTGGGCGTAACCAGATTCAAAGCCCCCCCCACTGTGTGTCCCTTCATTCGTGGTGCGAGATGCGACACTGTCCCTGCAAGCACCAACCACTGGCGTCCCCCAAATACATTGCTCTGTTACGCGTCCACATGTTGATTTCTCATATCATTTCGTTGCGCGCGCTCTGATTTTTTCCCATCACCTCACTTGCAAATCTGTCGCCGTTTTCCCATCATCCTTTGGCTTGGCATGCATCCAGAAGCTTGGAACACGCCCTAATGCATCTTTAGGCTTTTGTTCAGCAATCCTTGGATCGGTCAAAACCAAGGCGCCAGCACCATTCTCAAGAACATCACGTCGCTTTCCGTGAGTATCAATCATCTGCCAAGACTTATATGCCATGTTTCAATTTTCACTGACTCCTTCATACCAGAGTGACATAGCTTACTCGGAAACTATCAAAGATAACATCACCACGTTATCGACCAACTATGCGCCCAGTGATGGGACCATCCAGGGCTTGCTCTATGTTCCAGACATAGACCCCGACGATGAGTGCTCCAAGAGAGCAAATGCGTATATCCCTTACAACGCGACGAGGCAATCAAATCTGCCACCAACTTCCTACAATCTTGTGGCTTTGGCTCCATGGATCGATGCCAACTGTACAAAAGCCCTGTTAGCTTCGACGCGAGCCGACCAGTTGAGAGCTTTCCTCTTTTACCTACCAAATGGCGATACTTCGCAACCGCCGGCATCAGATGATGCGACTTGGGACCTGGACGACGACGATAGCAACTCCTGGATGTCCAAGTACAAGTACCCAATCTACGTCATTCCTGGTGCCAGCGGGCAAGAAATGATGCACGAACTCAGCCTGTATTCTGGAAATTTGACCCAAGTACCATATGGTGCCAACATATCAGAGTTGTACCATCCAAATTCAGCCGATTATGTTCGAATCTGGACACAGCTGCACGTGGAATTTGACTCGGCTACACTACCCATGTGGCAATGGGTACTTATCATTATTGGACTTTTAGTCTTCATCACGGGAGGAACGTCGCTCTTGATGCACTGCATACAAAATCGTCGTCGAGCAGTGTTGCGGCGTCGTGTCATGCGGGGTGATATCGACCTGGAAGGTCTGGGTATCAAGCGTGTCACGGTGCCTCCTGAACACATTCTCGATTTTCCGCTTTTCACATACAACTATGATCCGCCGGCAACATCCGTCGACAGATCAGGCTCACCATCGCATAAGGACCACAAGGATGTGCCTGTAGTCTTTGAAAACAGTATACCGGCTACTGGAACAGCTATACCACCCCCCGAATATCAGCCTTCATGCCACATCTGCCTGGACTACTACGAGTCCAAGGTTACCATCATCCGCGAGCTCCCGTGCGGGCACATCTTCCATCCCGAATGTATAGACGAGTTTCTTGGTGAAGTCAGTTCACTTTGCCCCATTTGCAAAAAATCCATGTTGCCAAAGGGGTACGCACCCCCTATTACGAATGGCATGGTGAGACGAGAACGGGCAACACGACGCTTGAGGCCTAGGATTATTACGAGCGCAAACTCCAAAAAATCTCACCCTAGATTAGACTCGTGGGGCAGCACGGTAAAGAAGCACATTCGCAGCCTGCCATCCTCACCAACACAACCTGAGCCAGTCGATATCGAGCTGGCGGAGAGATCCAAAGACCCTGCCACGACGCGTCAACGCATGCAAGATCTTGCCGGTCATTTAGATGACAACAGCGACGATGGCAAGCCTCCATGTAAGCACCCTGATATTCTCACTTTATTTGAGTATCGACCACTGACTCCTCATAGGGAGGAAAGCGGTCGCCAAGGTCTTTCCATTGTCTTGAACGATGGTTTTCTGGTTTGGTCAAATTTATTAATAGGCAATGGCGTTGAAAATGAGAAATGATGAGCATTTCAGTGGCGTTTGGTTTAGCAACAACTCGACAAACAAATCATGACATATAGTACTGGATGATACCGAGGCTATATAGACCCATACAGAATGGCCATCAAATGGCTTTGGCGCTGGGGTATGGGCGTTGACATTGGTTAGGATATACCCAGCATCTAGTTGCTACTCAATAATTGATTTTTGGATTTTGTACCTCGAGGGACATGTTTATTCTATCACAATGCCATTTGTTCTAAGAAATGCACAGCTTGGGTCTTCACAGGACCCATATCCTCCAACGTGGTCCATAAAGTGACAGCCGCTTCCAGCCCAGCCGTATCTTGGCATTTCCTCTGCTGGGTGAGAGTTCGAAGAATAAAAATACACGTACATCCTGTGTTTCTTCACAATTGATTGCTAGCCAGAAATATTTCTGGATTCAAAGTTAAGGACCAATTGTGACAAGCATGCCAATAGAGCATGTCCCTTGGATATTGAGTTCCCGGCATGCCGAGTCAGTAAAAAGTCAATGAAGCAACTCTAATTTCCATGTGGGATTGCATGGCAGGCGAAATTGCGATGGATTAATCAATCAATCACAAGGTACAGAGTGCCGACGAATCGGGGGCGCTAGCGTGCTGTAAGCCAGGGGCCGTTGAACCCCCAAGGCCCCTCCAAGCCCCATCAACTGCCCAATGTACCTGGTAAATTCGCTATGCCGTGGCCCTACAGATGGCGTTATGAACAAGTCAGATCGCCTTGGCAAACTGGAGTCGTCCCGTCTTCCATCCCAACGCCTGCGCAGTTTTTCCCGGGCCGCCGGCGTCTTAAACCAGACACACGGGCGCGTGCGAGCCGTGATGCGAGCGACGACGACCTGGCCTGGCACGTTTCGGAGTCTAGACTCCGCGTGCCGTGCCTGTTAATTCAGCCCGCCGCGGGAGAATACCTTGAATACCGCGGTATCCATGCTCGTCGAAAATGTCGGGTGGTTGCTTCAAAACAACCATCCGACCTTGGGCCAAATGTTTAGGCGACCGACGCCGCTCTTGTCCACCCTAGGCGCCCTCTTGATCTTTTATATACTCATCATTTTTATCCCCAAGCAGCCCGATACTGTCTTTGGTTTCAGCTACGTCAAGAGCAGCTATGACTGGTCGTCGTTGGTCCAGACATACCCCGTCGATGAAATCACGCCGTTGCCGACCGGCTCGCCGCGCAAACTCCCCAGTGTGCAGCACGACTTTTCTTCCGACGAGGCGCCAAGCGAGGAGAGGCTGGCTGTCCTGGCAGATCGACGAGCAGCTGTCAAGGATGCGTTCATAAAGAGCTGGGACAGTTACAAGGCTTCTGCTTGGATGTACGACGAGTTGCGTCCCGTGTCTGGCGGCGGAATCAACACCCTCGGTGGGTGGGCTGCTACACTGGTGGATGGGCTTGATACCATGTGGATTATGGATCTCAAGGACGACTTTTATCAAGCCGTTGAGGCAGCTTGTACCATCGACTGGGAGACCGCGGACACATCAATCAACATGTTTGAGACCACCATTCGACACCTGGGCGGCTTGCTGAGCGCATATGACCTTAGCAAGGAAACCGCCTTGTTGAAGAAGGCCATTGAACTAGGTGACCTTCTGTATGCTGGCTTTGATACCTCCAATCGCATGCCGCCATTCTGGCTAAACTTTGACGAAGCCAAAGACGGCGAGCTGGAGCCAGGAACCCATGACCCTTCAGCGTCCGTAACCTCGTCTGGGTTGGAGTTCACCCGCCTGGCGCAGCTTACGGGAGACAACAAGTATTATGATGCCATTGACAGGGTGGCGCGGTTCTTGGAAAGCACGCAAAACGATACGAAACTTCCAGGCATGTGGCCGACTTTTTTGAATATGCGAACTCAGGATGTAACGATTGAGTCGGATTTCACCTTGGGCGCACTGGCTGACTCGCTGTACGAATATCTTCTCAAGACATTCATCATACTGGGTGGTCTAGAACCCATGTACGAACAAATGTATCGAACCGCCATGGACACAGTCACCGAGTATCTCTTGTTCCGACCCATGCTACCTGACCAGGACGATATTCTCTTTACGGGGGATGTGTCTGTCAACTCAAACGCGGACAAGCCCAGGCTTACTGCAGAGCCGCAGCATCTCGGCTGCTTTGTCGGCGGCATGTACGGGCTAGGCGGGAAAATATTCGACATACCCGAGCATGTGACCTATGGTGAGAAGATTGCCAAGGGTTGTGCTTGGATGTATGATGCCATGCCCACCGGAATTATGCCCGAGGTGTATAACCTCATCGCGTGTTCGAGTCTCGAGCCGTGTGATTGGGACGAGGAAACATGGGCCGTTAAAAGCGACAGCACCAACACCCTCAAAAAGGGCATCGTGGATGCTGTTGACCCCCGCTATCTCTTGAGACCAGAAGCCATTGAGAGCATATTTCTCATGTATCGCATAACGGGTGATGCAGAGTATCAGGAGATTGCCTGGCGCATGTTTCAATCGATCAAGAACGCGACAGAGACATCATTGGCGTTTGCCACTATCAGCGATGTTACTGTGACGGGCAAGACCGACAAGACCAATTCAATGGAGAGCTTTTGGTTGGCTGAGACGCTTAAATACTTTTGGCTCATATTCTCATCGCCGGACGTCATCAATCTAGATGAATACGTTCTCAACACTGAGGCACATCCTCTTCGCCGCCCTACATGATTGACACCTATGGAATTGTCAAACCTGCACGAAAACGACTTTATTGCGGCGTCCGGATTATTATTTTTTCTTGCATCTTCTTTTTGCATAGCACTAGAGATGGGGATTAAGATAGGGTTCGTTACGGATTCGGAGCATGGACCATTGAGAACCAGTGGGTTATGCTCTTTCTCTATTGGGGCGATGACACTATACGCCTTTTTCTTTGCATAATTTCATTCCCGGGCAGTGCTTTGTATAGACACAATGGCCAATGTCACGGCACGAAAGGATTGTTTCTTACAATGCCTTGTTGGCAGATGACTAAAGAGAACCAAGTCCTTGTCTACATGAATACAGGGTATAAAGGATACATCATGTATAAATAATTCGAAAGATGGAGTTCATGGACAATATTCTATAGAGCAGAAATATTCAACAACTAATAGCAACCGTACCTTCCGAGTTTACTATTCTATCTACTTGTGGATCAAGTAGTCGCTAACAATGCCGCCAGCACACCCTACACGTGAATCACCCTTCCGAGGCTGGGATCAACACCGAACTCGCAAGCGACGCATCCGGGGCAGTCCGGCGCCAAAGCACATTCAAGAATACCGGATGGATCCGGCCAAGTGGCTGACATACCGACCGCCGGGGGCCCGACGCCGAAGAGGCGCCGCCGCCAGACTCACGACCGTGGACCGGGTTCTCGGCAAGGACAAGGATGAGCTCATCTGCCTCGTGTGCCAGGAGTTTGACGAGTCGTGCGACAATGACGAGTGCCGACTCTTCTGGGCGCGGGGTCCCGTCCGCCGCGTCAAAAAGTGCCTCGAGATCCGGCACACGGGCAGCGCGGACCTGGGCTACGGCGTCTACGTCAAGCCGGGCCGGCAGATCCTCAAGGACCGATACCTGGGCGAGTACATGGGCGAGCTGATCCCGCCCGGCACTGGGGACGACTTGTACACGTTTGACATCCCCAACGTGGCGCGCGTCAGCGCCGATACGCACGGTAATGTGTCGCGCTTCTTTAACCATTCGTGTGATCCCAATATCGCGGCCCACGTGGAGCTCATTGGCGGGAGGCAGGCCGTTGTGTTTCGCGCCCTCCGGAATATCAATGCGGGTGAACAGATCCTAGTGGATTATGGTGAAGAATATTTTGCTGACAATGATATGAGCTGTAAGTGTGGGCATCCACACTGTGAACACAGTTGACCGATATACACGAGGTTTTCATTCCCTTTTTTCCCCCCTGGCTTTTCCATTTCCCCCAGTCTTTAGAAAGATGAAAAAAATATAAACAATTTAATGCAAGAATACAGGGATTTGATACTTGATAAAGATTTGAGTTATGATATAAATTGTGTGTTATTTTTACAGCACTTGAGTTCTATTCCCACGGGGCGGACTATGGCGGATAAGTTCAAAGACCACAACCGATGCGATGCGGCTCTTGGGTAATTGCCATTTTTAGGAGACAGAAACCTTGCTGCAGGGCACTCTTGGGCACGGGAGCCTTATAGTTGAGGCAGGCATGCATTCACCAGCCAGAGTCATCATGATCTGATAAGTATTTTTTTTTCTTCAGCAGAAGCAGGCTACCTTGGACCGTTGACATGACATGGGTTGATGATTGGCTGTCCATATTTCTAAGATTCTAGGACTACGTAGGCGCATTGACGACACTGAATGTAGTAAGTCAGCAAGCTCATTTGGGTATGATGGTTTGAAGGATCGATGATCGATCTCGGCGATTATTTAGTTTTCCTGACGTAGGATTCAGGAATCCCGACAGAAGCGTGTAGAAGCAGCGGAAGAAGAACAAGCCATCCCCATTCAGTCTGCTGTCATTATGCGCATCAGTAACGATTACCGTGTGTATTGATGGCATAGGATGATGACGGCGATGTCATACATATGCAGGGCGTATCTTTTTCGACGAGGCGGTGTTTGTACTATGGTATGTTATGCTGACACATTTGGAAACAGACTCCTACTTTTGTTGCCTGAGATTTGAAATCAAGCACTAGTCAGTCCACTTGCCGTTGGTTAGATTACTTTTATTCAAAAACTGGATAGACGAAACAAACATGAAGGAGGGGTATGTACTGTCTCTGTACGGATACTGAAGCGGCTGAGGGTCAGTCAACATGTACCATTTTACTGTGTACATAGTGATCAATGTAGTACGTACCTACCTAAAGACGTACCTAAACTCTTCTGGTTTTTTTTTCGACCTTTTATTTTTTCCACAGTTTTTGCTTTGAAAGTTGAACAGGAGGACGGAAACGTCGGTGAACCCTGCTTATTTAGAGCGGGTGCCTGCCCACCGGATCACAGCCAATTGGGACATGGCGCCCAGCCAATCCCCGCTTAGCTCCATGTTTTCCCCCCTGACTGTTCGGCCATCTGCCGAGCTGAAGCTGAACGTGGACGTAATTGCACACACACACGAACCACGACCGTTGGCCAAAAAAACTTAACCTCTGTCATACAGCATTCTGACCTTTTTTTTGTTGCAAAGACTCCCTTTCTAGTTGCACCCAACCGTTTGCTTTTTTCTTTCCCCTTGGACGTCTGAAACGCGAGACTCCTCGCGACATGAGGCTTTCGCTAGTATGAAAGCCTCAACTCCATGGGTCACGGTCACTGAAAGCCGCCCGTCTACGCCTCGAGCATGGCCATGTCTCTGCCCGTCCGCCCTGTCCCTGCCCCGCCCCAGCGCGGGGACTGGGAACGGTACAAGCAGCGCATCGCCCATCTCTATCTGGAAGAGAACAAACCCCTGAGAGAGGTTGCCGATATCATGCGGATCGAGCATGACTTTACTGCTACGTACGTATCGGCACTGCAGGAGCCCCGAGTCCTGAGCCCTTTTGGTTGACAGCCTTGCGCAGGCCCAAGATGTACAAACAGCGCTTTCACCAATGGGATTTTCGTAAGAACCTGAAGGCAGGCGAGGTCAAGAAATTCAAGGGCCTGACTGCAGCCGGCCACGAAACGCACTTGCCCGTCGTCCATGGCCGGAAGCTTGGTTCCAAACGACTCAAATCTCTGGTCATCAAGTCGAACCAGTCCATATCCAGGTCGCCAGAGGCCGAGAGCAGTCGCGGAACGCCGCTGCCGGGTAACATTGATGTGCCAGGCGAATTCAACCTGGCGGAACTTGCGCTCAAAGCCGTTACGTCATACTCACGATCTCAGCTGGAAAACCGCATTTGGGACTTGACGGGTTCTAAGGACGACAGAACGGAAACATATTACTGGGGTGTCGGTATCGAGCTGGCGGCCTACAAAATCGCCGATAAACATGATCTGGCTGCCAACTTTCAAGTCTTGAACAAGTGTTGCGACGAATACCGACTTGTCCTGAGAAAGCAGGACCCCCTCTTGATCTGGGCGACGTACAAAGCCATACTTAGGTTGTCCCAGTCGGGCGAAGACCTGGCCATGGCCTTTGCAAAACTGGCCGCAGGGTTGAGTGTTATAGAATTCGGTCGCACCCATCCTCTGGCGGTGCTTTGGACTAGCTTACGACGAATGGGTATGGACGAGGTGCGTCGGGCAGCAGTACCCATTATCGACGCGCAATTTGAGCTCCTCCGCGACCACCAGGGCTCAGACAATACTTTCTGGCCTAGTCAGGTGATCGTCTTGATCAAAAAGCTTCACGACATGCACCTACTCACGCCCGAGGCCACAGTGGAAAAGCTGAATAGTTGCATTCAATGGATCCAACAGCATCCCGGACCGGATGTACAACGCACCGAGGAACTGCTCAACTCGACACGCATGTACATCACCTGCATATACATTGACGCTGGACAGTACGAAGAGGCCGACACAATTCTCCGTGTAGTTGAGAATTGGATAGAAACTGGCGGGCAGCCCAAGGACTTTCAGCGAGTCAACTGCGCAGAAATCCGTGCCGAGTTGGACGCCAATGTAGGAAAACTCGAAAGCGCCGAATTCCACTACAAGAAGGGGCTCCAAATAGCGCAAGAGCTATTGTGGCAGGTTGACCCTGGGCGGATAGGCTTCTCGTTTAGGGCTTTGGAGAAGTTCTACCTCGACCATGGCCGGACTGCAGCGGCCCAGGCCGTGAGGCATGGTTACAACGAGCATCTCAAGTCCATGGTGGGAGAGTGTTCGCAGGATGGGGAACTGGTATTAGACAACCTGAAAGAAGAAGACGATGTGATACAAGACTCGGATCTGGATTAACAAATCTATTGGATGTCAACTGAGGAGGACAGCGGCTTGATCCCACTTATCAACAGGAAGCATGTTTTGGGAAGAAGAGACCAGGCCAAGAAGAAGCAAGAAGACCTGGCAACACTTGTAGGTATAGATGCGATGTTAAATAGGCGTGTTTACGCTTTTGTAGTTTGTTTGATACCCTGGCAATATTTATCAGACGTTTGTTTTTTTTTGCCCTCTTTCTTTCTTTCTGTTTTTGCGAGTTGCAGATAATGGACTTGGTTCTGCTTGTCGTTTTGAGCATGCATTTCTCCATATCAAAAATTATCTATATACATACAACAATATCCAATATCTACAGTGACACGAGAACTTGATTGTTCCGAAGCCGATCGGGTGTCGCCCGATCGCTGATCCATCTGCCCAGCGGAAACAGACGTTGGGGATAAAACGTGGACCTGGACAAAGCACGCACCTGGCATCTGAGATTCTGGGGGGGGGGGGGGCGGCGGGCGGCAGTGGACTCCGCTTGGAGATCACAGATCAATGACCGCTAGCATCGTTAGTAGATTCGCTTGGCCTAAAATAGTCACCTACCTGGTCTGGGGGGTGCACTGGCCATGTCCGAAAATTGACCAGTTTCTCTCTCTCCCTGTGGCTTCCAAGCCCCCAAACGAAGGTCAATCGCGTCCCCTGTGTTTGGTCCCCTTTTTTGTCTTCGGGACCTCACAGCCAGCACAGCAGACAGCAGCGACAAGTCCAGTGCAGCACGTGCCAACCTTCATTTCCCTCTCCCCCAAGTCCCAACCTAGACCGAAGCTAAAACATTTCCAAATTCGAACTGGGACGCGCCCATACACAAGATTGCTCAATCGTCTTCGATTCGTTCTGCTAATCCAACTTGAGGCGACCAGTCCAAGTCAGTCACTGCCTCATCACCTTTACGTATCAACCTCGAGTCGCCCGCTCGCTATCGAAATCCAACGTCATCTGCCGCATTCATACGAGAAAAAAACAAAGCCGTCTTGCTCCTAAATCTCCATCACTGCTGCCGCCGAACCCATTCCAATCCTGCGAACCAAATTTCACCAAACATACACCATGGAGTACCGTCGCAAGTCTGATGAGCCCACATCTGCCATCCAGCGCTTTGGGCGCTGGCTACGCCTCAAGCAGTACCAAGTCGAGGTCACCTTTGCCGTCTACATGTTTACGCCCACCGAGAAGTTTGTCTTCTGGTCCGTCGTCTTCCTGCTCTTCTCCATGACCGCCATTGCTTCGGCCCTGTACCTGCCGCAGCACCTTGCCTTCCTCATTGACCGCGCCTGGTTCTACGTCAATGGCGGAGAGGCGAGCAGCGGCAGCGGTGCCCTCGCATCCGTCAACAAGGAGGCCATGTCGCTATCGGTGACCTCGCTGGCAGCCGCTGTCACGGAAGCTGCCGGAACCACTGCACGAGAACTGTGAGATGAGGCCGAACCTGGTTTCCGAATATTAAAAACGACACTTTACAACCAAAAAGATTTAAATATATTACCTACCTAATACAGACCTGTCATAGAGGTTTACGATCAAGGCGTTTGGCGCAAGAATGGATTTGGGAAATTGCATTTGACCATTGGTGCGGTCCAGTCGAGCATTGGGAAAAGACGAGCGATTCCTCATGTATACACTTGCGAGATGCAACGCATAGAAATCGGCTTGTGCAATGGGCAGATACAGCTTATACAAATGCGTGTCGTGTATATCTTGCACGGTTTGCATTCTAATACGAAGAACGAAAGTATCAACAGCATGTTCTCATCTCCCATTCGATCTGCCCTCATCCTCGAGGCTTTCGTCGCAATGAGCAACTACATCATGATCTAATGATTCAAAGCCCTTGATGCATAGTCTGCAACAATGCAACGTCTCCCTCTGCCCAAGGTTGCTCGATTTCAATGTTCCTGACCCATTGCGCGTGTTTTTCACTTCGTGGCGTGATGCGACATTGGAAAGGCTCTGGATGTCCGACGACTCCGGGCATGAAATCTATACGTGGCTCAATGGCGTTGCCGCTCTTGTCGACAGCCTTGCTAATGTCAAACGCGGCCAAGCTTTGGGCGACGACAAGAAACATGTTTGCATCAGCCAGATGTCGACCCGGGCAGATTCTTCGCCCGAAACCAAACACGAATGCAGTTGGGTTCGGCTCAGGGTTGGCGCCCAGAAATCTTTCCGGCCTAAACTGATCAGGTTCTGGGTACACATCTGGATCCTTTGTAAACCAAGCAATCGAGGGAATAATGAGAGACCCCTTGGGGATGCGGTATCCACGACATGTGTCTTCCTCGTCAGTCGCGTGCGGCAACCCCATCGGAGCAATGGGATTCCACCGGAGCGCTTCCTTGACGACGGCCTCGACATACAGCAACTGATCGCGGTCCTGGAACCCTGGGAGTCGTGTGCCGCCCGTGACGCGATCAATCTCTTCTCTCGCTCTCTTCTGCACCTCGGGAAACACCGTCATGGCCAGGAAAAAGAAGCCGAGCTGCGCGACGGTCGTGTCGGCGCCGCCGCTGTACAAGCCCGTGGCGCTGTCCCGAATGTGTTCCATTTCCTCGGCCGTGAGATCCTGCTGCTCGAGCAAGCCCGAGATGAACGAGGGCTTGGCGTTGCCCGTCTTGATCTGCTCCTCGGCAAACGAAAAGGGGACGCCCCGGACATTGTCCCAGAGCTTGCGGTACTCGCGCGCCGTCTTTTGAAACCCGGCGCCCGGCAGCCACTCGGGGACGTGGCGCAGCCAGGGAATCACGTCGACGAGCCAGGCGCCCGGGACCGCGGCGTCGCTGAAGGCGGCCATGAACTTGTTGATTAGATCCACGAGGGGATCGCGACCCTTGGCCGTGGCTGTATATCCGTAGAGTGTTTCTAGCATGAGAGATCCCGATTCGCTGTATATTACCATTAGCAAATTAACTCGAATACTTGAACTTTTTAACATTATTTCATACGTACCGTTGTAGATGCTGCTCCAAGTCCTCTGGGTTGTTCATTGCATTCAGAAGAAAATGCCTGACCTGAAACTCGATGGCCGACTGAAATTTCGTCATGGAGCTCCGCGAGCCCATTTGTGCAGCCATGAGTCGCCTCTGTGAACGAAATTTGTGTCCATTCTGTTGAAAGGCCGGAAGGGCTCCGAATCCACAACTATTAAGAATCACCAAAGGTTAGAAATTCTGCACAACATGTTTTTTATTTTCTTTTATAGTCAAAGACAAACCCCAAGACGCCAAAGGGGAAGAAGGAAAAGTAAGAGACTTACGTTTCCTGCGCAAACCGCTGAAACGGCCGACCAGAGTATTTTGCCGACCTCTTCTCCATCAATTCCAGCGCAATATCCTTGTCGTGAATGAGAATCATGGTTGTGCCCAGGGCCGTGACGGAGCTCAGGGGCCCGTAGCGGTCCTTGTGCTGGATCCAGTGCCGCCACTCGGGCACGCCCGGCGGCGGGAGGTCACGAATGTTGCCGAGCAGCGGCAGGCCCTTGGGTCCCGGTGGTAGTGGGAGTTGTTGTTGTTGCTGTTTGGTAAAGAAGAGCTTTTGCAGTGTCCAGGCGCCCAGGACCACGGCGCCCCATAACAGGACCCGGGTGCTGGTCTGGGTAATGTCGAAATCCATTGTCGTTGTATTTTTGATATTGCTCTTCTAGACTGGAGAGAATGAGTATATTTGCTTCACAGCCATATGACGAAATCGACAGATATCAGAGGGGTAAACAGGGTTATTATTATACCTACTTATTAGCCATCTGCCCGCCTGCCAGCTAGCCGAGTATTGCCAACCGAGTATCTGTTGTGTCACCCATCCACTGCTTTCTCTCATGCGCATACTTGTGCCGATCTTTGGATCCGCCCGAATCGATGCTGGCTGATTGCTAAAGATAATGCCAGCTGAGATCTTGCTGCGTCACATGCATTTGGAAGAAGGGAGAGAAAAAGAAAAAAGTCTCTCCAAAGGAGGCAGTGGCGACAAGTTTTCCCCATAAGTTATACGATGCCGACAGTAGCCTATCAAGCATACGATATTAACAACTTTGCAGGAGCACAAGAAGCACACGTGCTGTTTGGAACGGATATCTACACCTTTTATTTGTCCAATAAAACCAGACAAGATCACGGCCGGCGCAGCACCCTCAATTCAATGGCTCGTACAAGATTGACTTTATTTGTAAATTGGCCATTCTCACAAGGACGCGTTCAATTGCAAAAAGATTGAGTTGCAGTCCCTGCCTCCATTATCTATACCTGGCCCCCTAGGCCATACTCCTAGGCTAGGGCCAGTATACTAATTGCAGATCGCGCCAGCCTGAATAGTGTCTAGGTGGTCTAGGTGGTCTAGGTGGGAGCGGGGTCACGGTCTTGGGCACACACAAACTCGTTTCCCCTTGAGATAAAACTTAGAAGAAGAAGAAGAAGAAGAGAGCATGTAGGTGGGACATTTGATATCTGCCGTGTCATTGTAATTGGATAGAGATGTGTTTGTCTGGGTGCGCTGTCGCACTATCCATTTCTTATCCCGACTAGCACCTGGGCGATCATGAATTAAAATCTGCATGATTCGCAAGCAAATAGATGCCTCTTTGGAGTTGGCTCACAATTGCGCCTGTATTTTTTGAAAGCTAGTGTGATTTCAGTCGATTAGGCACTTTAAAGAATCAAAAGTAGGTAGTATTTCGAAAAGGCTGTTGGCTAGATTCCGTACACTGCTGGATACGCTGCCGCTTCTCGTGATGGTAGAAGCAGCTAACTAGCTATAGCTATACTGTGTACGGGCAAAAGCTATGGCGTTAGCATGCTATAATCTCTTCGTGAGCTCCCAATCGGGGCGAGGCTATGGAATAACCTCGTTTCTTGACAAATCCGCTCCAAACACGTGCCTTCCTGATCCTTTCTGTCCTTCAATGTATTCGCAAAAGTTACAACCCAACAAACTACGCATTCACGGAGTATGGTATACAATGACTTGGTTCGCATCATTATTACTCATTATTATCTTGCAAGAGTCTGTTCAGGCGGCAATCCTATCACATGCTTAGGATCTCTGTCCTAGCCCGTGTCACAGCTAGGCTGTGAATGCTTTTGCATTTTCTCCCATGACACTTTTCTCATCCAGTGGGGAACTGCCCTCTAGTCCCTCCCACAGAGCGAAGAGATGAAAAAAAAACCTATGCCGTCTCCGGAAGCACCAGCTCGCCCTTGGCCACGGCCTCGGCAACCAGCTGGTTGTAGATGGCCAGCTTTTCCTCGTAGAGACTCGAGCGCTTGCCGGGCGTGGCGTCGTCGCCGCCAAACTCGACCACGGCCGCGTAGTAGACGTCGGCCAGGGCCTCGCAGATGCTCTCAAAGCTCCCATTGACCTCGCACTGGTAGTACAGGTCGTCCTTGAAGTTGCTGTCAATCGAGGCCTTGGCGCTGACGGTGAAGCGGCTCTGCTCTCGGTAGTTGGTGTACTGCAATGCAAGGAATATATTTCGTCAGCATTTAGGTAAGCCCAGTTATTTGATGGCAAATCAAACAGGGGTATGTATGCAGCAATGGGCTTCTTTTTATATACCCGCCGTACAGCCCAAATCAGGGTTGGCGAATTGACATATTACTTTTTGCAGCACAAACACAAGGAGCCAACAAGACATATACTCACACCAAAGTCATGGCGGTTGCATGCCGGCTCATATGGGAATCCCAAAGGATTGTCAGGCGAGTCGGTGCAGCCGTCGCTGGTCCAGTCCAGATACGAAGGATCCTCAGCATTGCGCCGTGTGGTAAACTCGGGGAGCGTGATATCGAAGAGAATCTCGTCCGTTACAGCCTCGACATCATCCTGACGCTTGTCCGCCACCGGGACCGCGAGTGCGGCTGCGGGGAGGATGCAAAGGGACAGTGTGCTGATGAACCTCATCTTGACGTATTCGCAACTTTGGACGGCGGGTGGGCTGGGCTGCTCAATGGATGGGAGCAATTGATTGTCGGCGAGCTGAGTCGAGGTTGGTCGGGCTGAGCTGCTGGGCCAACATTCCTCAAGCCACCATTCATGTCGCCGTCCATGCCATGATACTTATAGTCTCTTGCAAAAGCCCTCATGTTCATTTACCATGAGGGGTTACATTCCATCACATGCCTGTGGGATTCGTGTCCGACATAGGCGCCCCCAGCGGGGGCCAAGAACAACGTTGGCAAGTGCAGTCTTGGGATTCGTCCATGGCAGATGGATTCGAAAGGAGTTGAAGTTGCATCGTGCCGACGGGAATCCTGTATGGTCGCCGGCCAATTACTACGCTGGCCAACTGGACTGAAAAAAATCTTGCCGTTGCAGAGGACGATCGCAGTGGAGAGGCTCAGAGACACCCCCGGTGGCAGACTCGGTATTGGTGGTCTTACTATTGTAGGCGCCCGCGTTGTAACATGGCCAAGCTCCCTAACGGTTATCCCTGCCAGCACGTGGACCGCTGACTCGCTTCGGGATTGGCTATAGTGGCCCGGGATGAACGTATACTAAACCCCGAGCAACCTTCGGCCAAGTAACTCCCATTTCTTGGTTCACCTGGTTGCTACTCCAAAAAGGACACCGAATGGCGCTCTGCTGGCCTGTTTTGTTATAGTCGTGCATGATACTCATTAAACAGAGTTGCGCGGCCTCGATACTATAGTAGTTTATTGCTCCATCTCCGCTCTTCGGGCGAGCTCAGGGTTTAGCGTTGAGAGAATCTGGGGATATTGCCGCTCTTTACGATCGATCAGATCCTTGAGATCTCTAGATGCTGGTATCCACCCTGTTACTCGTGATTTCAACTGTTATTCGAGTCTTGGTCCGGCTGTGTTGCGGATGTATCAGAGTTGAACATATGCCAAGCGGATCGTATCGGAGATTGAGGACAGCTGATTTCTAATCACTTTGCTGGCCACGTTTTCTTCTAAAAACCCATACGCTTGCAAATGGTAAGTTGGCCGTCAGTGTCTCACAGAATCATGATTTCATTGTCGAATACGCGAGTAGGTACTGATGCTCGAAGGGGGGAACCAGCCCATCCCAAGACCAGAACAACTGGCATGGGCTGATAAATTGAAACAATCGGCATCCGCGGACGTCGAGCATAGTTGATGTACCGACTTATCTGCATGTTTTATAATAGTCGAAATGCCCGTAGAGATAATAGACATATCGTGAAGATTGCCACGAAGGCGCATTGAGAAATTGAGGGAAGCACCTTTGCATATTGCTTTTCGTGTTTGTCTCTTGTTCTTGACTTGAAGATCACTCGAAGGGATCTAACCGAGTCCTTGAATGGTCGAGGCCCCTAGGCTGGTTCACACTACGAGTGATTGGAAAGTTCTATGCGTCTCTCTCTGCTGATCACTTCTTATAACTAGATCAGACATAGAAATGACAGCTCTAGTCGTCGTCCTCACCCTCACTAACCTCGCCTTGCCGGAAAACGACCTTTTCACACAATTGCAGTGTCTTCCGGACTGGCAAGCCGACCACGTTATCCACGCAGCCCTCCACCTTTTCAACGAGCATCATGCCAGCCAGGCCCTGAATGGCGTAACCGCCAGCCTTGTCGACACCCTCTCTCGTCTTGACATAGCTTTCGATAACATCATCCGGCAGGCCGTCGCTCTCGCTGGCAAAGTATACCCTGGTTTCCTCAATGTGGGTGGCCATCTCGTAGCCAGGATACGCAGCGTCTTCCTTGGGGGCCATGCAGCAGATGGCTGTGAGGACCTTGTGGAAGCGGGAATCCCTCAGCTGCTTCAGTGTCCGAATGTGTGCCGCCTCGCTTGGCGGCTTCTCTAGGATGCGGCCCTCGCGAGTAACAATGATGGTGTCGGCACTGATAACCACCTCTGGCTCTTTGCCCGCGTCAATTTGCGAAGTGTATATATCGAGGCACTTTTGTCTTGCCGTGGCGTTTACATATTCGTAGGGACCAAGCGAATCCTTTGACAGATTCTCAGGCTTGGTAGAAGGGATGATCTCGAGATTCGTGAGGCCAACCTGTGCAAGGAGGGCTTTCCGCCGCGGCGAGGCGGATGCGAGGATTACACGGTGGGTCTTGAGGTACTTGATGATTGGGATATCGAAAGGCTGCGGGCCTTTTCTTGGCGGTGCCGACTGTCGCAACTTGAGGCCATGTTCGCGGGCGGCGGTTATGTAGTCAGGAGGCGGATAGTTGGGGGTTTCCTCCTTGTCGGTCGGGATGAGAGATTCTTGCTCGGCCATGCTGAGGGCGGCCAGATAGATGCCAAGATGATATAAGGGGTTGACTGCTCCAAATTCCGCAAAAGAAAAACCCTCCAGGTGCTTGGCGATGACTCAATCAATGGACGACTTTGAGATGTAGTCGAAGAAAGTTGCTAAAGGTCGTCATTGAGGACTGATGCTAATGGTGGGGCAAATGCAGGTACGTCAAATTCGTAGTGTCTGCAGTTAGCTGCTAAATACCACCTACCTAAAGCTAATAGTTAGCACTAAAAGGAAGTTTCAAAGCCTAAAGGCGGCTGATTTTGGGTTGATCTAGGGGGTCATTTAATAGGTAAGCCGCAGCTCACCTTGCCAAGGTGAATGCTTAGTGGTGTTACCTTTTACCTGCACAAGACAATTTCGATCAATTTTCCCTGTCAGTGTTCCGAATTGGGTAATCTAGGACGCGACTTTTGATTTCCTGCTATCATCACAGCCATTGCTGTCATTGTCGTGATCGTTGTCATTAGGTCTCGACAATTCGCAGTCACTTTACTCAGTGCTCGCTCACGCACTCTCACCAGAGCCGCAGGCAGGGGTTCCCACGAAGCCATTTGAGACGATCTGCGGAGGTGGGGTCAAGTTTCACATGTGACAATCCTGTTGAGCCTGCCTACTCCAGAGCCCAGATAAGACGACGACTCTCTGACATTTACGACCAGCACGGTCAGACCTCTGATCGGCAGCAACGGGAAACAAACAGGGACTATGTTTTCTTCATGACAAGGCGGGATAGTGTGTCACTCTCTGGATCCGCCACATCCTCACAAGATTGTCGTGGCCCGGAATCGCAGTGACCGACGGTAATTTGTTCCATCATGGCTGATAAGTCATCCCATTCACCAAGCCCCGGCATCAACGGTGGCGTAGACGAAAAGACACGCTTGACTGAAGAGGAGAAGAAGCAGAACCACATAGCTTCTGGTGCGTCTATTTCACTTCCTGAGCCTGCCACGCGATTTGTCAGTGCTATGCTGACTAGTATACAGAGCAAAAGCGTCGCCAAGCCATCCGAGATGGCTTTGACAAGTTGTGTGAGTTGGTTCCTGGACTGGAAGGCCAAGGGCGCTCCGAGGGTCTCGTTTTAAATCGCACAGTCGAGTACATGCGCGAACAGTTGGAGGTTCGACGCAGATTGGTACAAGAGCGCGAGGCCCGCGGCGAGATAGTCGACGAGAAGTTTAAGGAGTACGTGTCACTCACCCCCCTTATCATGCGCAAGACTCTTCGTTAACATATTATAGGCCTCTCAAGATTCTCGAGAGACTGGAAGAGTTGGATCGCACACGCGTACACACCAAGCAGGAAGACGACGAGTATTGATCGCTTGGTAATCTGGAGGATCCGGATGTGTACTATATGGGATTTGGTCATGATTGCCTCATGGCCATTGTTTCGCGCAGTATCTGTTCTCATCATGCTCTCTATTTTCTTTATTCGTACGCCTCGATCTTAGCCATCAATAGATCAAGTAATTCGGTGGGTGACAATTCTTCCTGCTTGCTACCGCTGCTTTCGTTGCGAGAAATGGCAGTCGTGTCGACGGTAACGGTGCCTTTGGGTACTTGTCGCGGGCCGACAGTGACAATGACCCCGTAGCCCTTGGCTTTGGCCTCGCGCACCTTGGCACCGATACTAATCTTTCTGTCGTCAACATCAACCGAAAGTTTCGTTGCATTGGAAACCGGTTCATCATCAGCCATCTCCACCTCTGAGCCAGAGATGCCCAACAAGATATCTCGGGTAGAATAAGCTAGATCAAGAACTGGCTGGCTATCGTTTACTACCAGAATCATGACCTGTCGTGGGTTCAACCAGAATGGCCATTTGCCATTGTAGTGCTCAATCAGCAACGCCATCAACCTCTCCACTGAACCAAGCACGGCCCTGTGAATAAGAACGGGTGTAACGGGGCCTGACTCGGCCAGTCTGGCGGCATCTGTTGTGCTCTCTCCCTTTTGTTCCAGCTGCGGTGCAGGGGCTTGGTATTCAAGCTCAAAGCGTTTCGGGAGTTGAAAGTCGAGCTGTATGGTGGCTGTTTGATGTTCCTTGCCATCGGAATCTCTCAAGATGATGTCAATCTTTGGGCCGTAGAATGCGCCGTCTCCCTCATTGATGCCCCATTCCAGTCCGGAAGCATCGAGAGCCCTCTTAAGAGCATTCTCAGCCCTTTCCCAGTCTTCTACTGCGCCGATAAAATGGTCCGCGGGCCTCGTGGACAAAGCCAATCTGTATGGTCCCAATTTGAACACCTTGTACGCGACTCGGACAAAGTCTAGTGTTTTCTTAATTTCTTCCTCTATCTGTGATGGCCGACAGAAAATGTGACCATCGTCCTGGTGAAAGCGACGAACTCTAGTCAGACCGCTAAGAGCACCCGAGATCTCGTTTCGATGCAACGGGGAGAAGTCGGCATATCGTATCGGCAGGTCTCGATAGCTTCGTCGCTGTGAGGCAAAGATCAGGCAGTGGCCAGGACAGTTCATCGGTTTAAGTCCGTATTCGTCCTCCTCGCCGTTCTCGGTAGTATCCTTGCGCGATGGAGATGTACTTGTCACGGTGAACATGTCCTCTGCGTAGTTGTCCAAGTGGCCAGACTTGGCCCAGAGCGCCTTCTTATAGATTGTAGGAGTAATAACCTCCTCGAAGCCATATCGGACATATTGCTTTCGCAGGAATTCGACCAAGCGATTGAATATTTTGGCGCCGTTTGGCAAAAAGATTGGTGACCCTGGGCTATATATTGAGGTGGTGAAGAGCTCTTGCTGTACGCCCAATTGACGGTGATCAGCTGGGGCTTTGGGAGGTGTACCTGCTGTAGCGCATGCAGAACAGGCTCTCGAGGATGATATCAAACTTGTGCGACAGGTATTTGGCAGTCTTCGTGGAAGGGCCCTCAAAGGGGCAAGACGCAATGCATTTCTCAACAGCATCTTTGTTCAATGCTGCCACGTTTTGACTGTGCGCGCAAGGTATGAGCTCCTGCCAACCACCGACCTTTGGCTGAGTTGAGCCGTTCCTGTCTCGTTGTCACAGAGGCTCGAGAAATCGTCGCCAAACTTTCGCATCCGCGCTGTTGGAGCGTGTCAAGCTGATTACTCAGAGAGGACTAGCGCACGAATTGACCCTTGTCTCACCATCCCGCTCCGGGCCAAGCGCCCCTCCAGCAGCGTGACAAGTTTAGCCCATGTGACCCAGGGCCTCACGGTCGCCAGTCATCTGGCGGTGCAACGTCATATCGATAACAGCTCGTCTGGCTGCTCATGAATTGCCATTGCATTCATATCAACGCAAACTCATCAGTAATGAGCTGCGAGGCAACCAAATCTGCCTGTTCTTGGTGCATATTCTATTGAAATTCTCAAACAACGGTTCGAGCTTGGACTTGGTGACTCATCGGCACCCTTGTGGAATCACCGCCTGAAATCCAAGGCTGCCTGCTGTATAAATACACGCTTCTGCCTCGACTTCAACGATACTCATTTCGCCACTTGGCGCGCGACGCGGTTGAACTGGACGCGACCTAGTCTCTAGCATCTGTGGTTCTACGCGCCAAGTCAGAGGAAGATTAAAAACGTCCCCTCCCAAAGTCACGAGGAACCCACGCATAGAAGAGGTGGTATTCCTTCTCGAGAAATGGGTTAGGGCTCGGGAGATATCCAATAAACATGTCACCCAGTAAGAAAAGCAGCTACGCCAGTCTGCCAGTGGAAAGCTCTTGGCGAATGGTTGAAGGGAGCGAGAACGACAGTTTCGATACTTCTATTGTGCAGGATCCTTACGAAGACGACATTATCCTATCCAGCGGACCGTCTCAACCTTCGCAGGGGTTCATCTCATCCCAGGAGTTCAGCATAGGGTCGCAGGACAGCATTCGTGATTTTGCTACCAACGCAGACGACGAAGAGGTCATACTCAAGTCTCCATTCCATCCATCACTCATCTCAACGCGGCAGGCCTCTGTAGACAAGGAGCGAACACCAGTACCGGAGTTCTTCATGCCCAAAGTCGAGGTAGAAAGTCCACGGCGGAGCAATCGATCCTCCCGGACGCTACGCCCAGGTATGGAGGAACAGCAACAGTTGAGGCGGCGCGGTTATCAGCGACAGGATAGCGATGCCAGCAGCCACAAACGACCGTTTAGCGCACATGACCGGCTGCGCAGATATAGCTCGGACGACGGCCAATACCAGCCACCCACGGCGTGGGAACGTTTCTCGTCGTCTGTACCTGTGGCATTATTTGAGACTGCAGCATGGTGTATATCAGTCCTGAGCATGGCGTTACGCTATGCTAAATGGCCTTTGGCGATCGTACTAGCAGTATACCTGACAATCGGCGCCGGCATGGTGGCAAAGACCATAATCAAAGACTCTATTTCAACCTCGCTATCGCCAATATGCCGAATTCCAGGAGCGTCATTGCTCGACTTGCCCTTCTGCCCTGACATACCTCCATTTTCAGGACGGAACAGAACCAACCCTGTCGAATTTGATGAGTTGATGAATGTGCAAGCGGAATTTGAGAAAGTCCTTGAGACCTCGGCCTCTGGCGTTTCGCTGCCAATGGAAATGAAGAGGTCAGAGGCAGCAGTCCGCGACCTCCGCACCATTATCAAATTTGAAAAGGACCTTCCGGCACGGGATGAACTGTTGTATGAATTCGACGGCTACATCGACTCCATGAGAGATATCTCCAGCGATCTTTTGACCTTCAACACACATGTGGGCAGCGCGGTCGATTCGGTTATCTCGATCAATCGGTGGACATCTCGTTACATTGACTCGATATCTGCGGCCAAAGCAGCGCACGACAATACACTATCACGCTGGTCAGACTGGTTGTTCTCTCCATTCCAGGCAGCAGTCTTTGACGAGCGCATGCTTTTGGACAAATATGTAGAACATACAGCACTCGTGTCGGACAAGATCGGAAATCTAATAATCGAGGCACAAGCAGTGCTACGCTTGCTCACACAGGCAGAGAATCATCTTGAGCTCATCAATGAGCACGTTGTACGTTCGGGCAACGAGGTCAAGGAGAAGAAGAGCGAGGTGTTTTGGGACCTGTGGACGCTCGTTGGGGCTAATAACCGCCGGCTGCACAACCTCAGGTCACAGCTGGGCCTATTGCGGCAAGTTGAGTCGCAGCGGACGCTGGCCGTGACACAACTGGTTGGGCTGGTCCACGACCTCGGCGACATACAAACCAAGCTGAGCGACCTCCGGGAGCGCGTCGCAGCACCCGAGTTGCTGGCGGATCAGTCAAGCATTCCCCTGAGTGTCCATATTGAGACGATCAACGCCGGGGTCGAAAGGCTGGAATCAGCACGGAGCAGAATTCGGGCGGAGGAAAACGATAGAATACAACAGGCGCTAGCTCGTGCGAGAGGAGAAGAAAACCTAATTGATGGCCGATAGGACGAATGTCAGTTATTTTATTGTCTCCTTGTTGATGATGGATTGCTTGGGTCATAGTTTTGTGTAATCTTTTGGCGACGGAGTCCTGGCGCGAGCGATATAGAGTACAAACGTGTTGTACAAGGCAGATTGATCACAATAGTCAATGAGATATTTTCTTGATACAATACGCCGAACTAATGGTGGAATTCGTGCCGGTTCCGATTGATGCGGGAGATTATACGGGCCTTTGTGGGAGAATTAGTATATGGGGGCCTGCCTAGGTTTGCAGCATGATAGAAGAACTTCTACACTAGGAGAAACATGAAATGATCGACATGGACGATGGGTCAAAGGATCAAACAGTGACCCGCCCGCAATATTCCATAATTGGCCAGAGTACGCGTAACGTCGTGGTCAAAGTACGATTGATGTTGTCGTTCGGGGACGAACTTTAAACCCAAACCCCGAAAGAGTCTGGATAAGGTGCTGACTTGGCCCATTTTCAGTTCTGCTCACAGCCACAAAACATCAGACGAGTGATTTTGGACTATTTTATTCTTATACTCTGTATGTCCATCGTTATCAAACGGTTCAAGGATGATGTTTATTCTGAGAAAAGGGCCCCACCATGTATACTCGTCGTAATAATGGGTATAGCACTGAAGTTGTCAAACAGTCCAGTTGAAGAACATGCGGCGGCTGGCGATTCATCGGGACCGAAATAAGTAGACGACCAACTTTTTAACCTTGAAACCTTAGTGATTAGGTCCTCTTGCGTATCCACTGCGTCCCGAACCTGGGGTAGATCGGCAGGCGACGTCTGTATTAAGGTGGGTTTGCAAGTGAGTGTGCCAGAAGGTGAATTCAAAGGCAATGCAATGCAGTGCTTGTGTGGAATGGCGCTGCAATTGTTTATTTTTCCAGCAACCCGGAAGCCCAAGTTCCCAATCGTATACATTACTAATTGACCTGTACACTCACTGGGTCAGAGGGACGCCGAGTGCTTCACTTGCAAGATTGGCGGTCTTGACCTTTGGCATTCCAATCATGTCTTGTAAAGGGGGGGTGTCTGTCTGACTTACTGTCGTGTTGCTAAAAAGGCTGGCCGTTAGTATTCCGTCGTGCAAATCCAGCTTCAAGGAATTATTACATCAGTGGATGTGTGGCTTGTAGAATTGGAAGGATTCGAAATGTTCTGGGTTAATCCATCGCGTGGCAGGTACTGGTTGCCGTTAATTTGTCTCGGCTCGTATCCATCTCACTGGGCTCCAACCGCCTGCAGACAGACGCTGAATGTAGGAAACCAACAAACAGGCTTGACGGGATCTACGGATTGTTGCGGTGACACGGCCGACGACTGCGCCTCGATGTTCATTACCTCACCTGTCTATCGGCTTGTTCTACTTCTTCCACCTCCCAGTTTGTACACTAGAACAAAACGCCAGTTGGTTGATTAAAGTGATTCGATTCCAGCCCCGGAGAGTTTTTTTTTGACTCCATCCCTCCCCTTTGCTCTCAGGCCCCCCCTCACCCAAACCCCGACAGAGACGTACCTAATCCTTCTCAGGAACTTGACTTGGGGTACCGCCTAAAAAGGTGCGGCGTCCTTTGGGTTCATCTCGCCTAAAGGTGACATTGATTTTAGCTTTGGTACCGATCGGACGAATGACTTGGCTGGGGTAATTTGCCAAGTGCTTCCATCCTATTTGCTTGTGCTGCTTATCCAAAGAAAACAACACCACCATCATCCATCCATCTTCCATCTTCCTTCTCTTCATCAATTACAGCATCATTTAGATCATTCTGTGTCGCTCGTTTTATACGTCTTCATTGCGCCAACTTGCAGAAGACGGACGGAACATTACGGGCAATGACTTGATCGAGCGGCCTTCACTGTATCCCTCGCTGTGACAGGACCCTCAGGACCGCACTTGTTACGGTGGCCAACGGCACCTAGGTACTACTACTAATCTGTACCTTACGGCACGCCCCTCCAACTCCGAAGCACGCGCGCGCATCAACCAAATCGACCGGACTGAGCGCCTTTTTACACGCCGCTGACTGCTTGTTTACTCTTTAACTCTATTTGCGCCATTCCGACGACCATCGTCGCTTTCCCTCGTTTGTTTGCATCATTTCACAGCCTGGTGCGAAATTATACCTCTGGCTCAAGGTCTGTCTGATTGCATCTTTTGTCGCAACCCTCCGTTCGCTTCTCCAGGTCAGACGGAGCAGGTCTACAGAGTACCTAGTCGGCGCAACGCCCCATTTGGGCCAATACACCAGGACCAATACACCATACCGCCACCACCTACAACTTATTCACGGGTCACCCAAGGGAACGTCGCCCGCGACAGCCTCAACCGCCATCATGAGGTTTTCAAGAGTGCTCGCGCTCCCTCTGTTCGGCGCTCTTGCCGCTGCCGAACAAGTCCTACAAACCACATCTCTGAACACCTGCCAGGCCAGCAGTAAATTTTCGGCGACTAAATTCGATGTTGTCTTTACGCCAGTAAACAACAGTGTCTCAGTTAATATGGTGGCAACTTCATCGATCCAGGACAATGTCATATTCGATTTTGCGGTCTCAGCTTACGGCTACCAAATCATCCGACAAACCGTCAACCCATGCGACACAAGTCTGGCTGGCTTCTGTCCCATGCAGCCCGGCGACACTGATGTCCCATTTATCCTGACCGTTAGCGAGAGTGCGACGAAACAAATCCCCTCCTTGGCCTATACCTTCCCGGATCTGGATGCTACCGTCAGGGTCTTCATTAATTCCACCAGCTCGCCTGGCACAAGCTTGGCCTGTCTGGAAGCCCGCATCTCCAACTCAAAGACTGTCGACCTCGATGGAGTCAAGTGGGCCTCTGCCCTTGTTATCGGTCTTTTGCTCGTCTCGAGTGCCATCATCAGTGGTCTGGGACATGCAAATGCTGCCTCGCATATTGCAGCCAATGCCGTTTCTCTATGTGGTTACTTCCAGGCTCAGGCTATTATTGGCTTGACTGGCGTGTCATTGCCGCCTTCAGTCCAGGCCTGGACCCAAGACTTTCAATGGAGTATTGGTATCATTAGAGTCTCGTTCTTGTAAGTCTTGCCGGAAAGCTTGATTTCTCCGCTCGCGAATCAAGTAAATGCTCACAACATGACAGGCAAAAGATCTTCACCTGGTATCAGAGAGCGACTGGAGGCACCCCCTCGCAGCTCTTTACTACACTCGAGACCATTTCAGTTCAGGTTAGCAAGCGATCGCTTCAACCGGCCCTCGGTCTCGCAAAACGTGCTCTTGCCATGATGCCCGAACATGTTACAAATATTATGAAAAGAGGAAATGTCAAGAACGACTCCGGAAGCTACGTCGTTACCGGCATTCAGCGCGTAGCCTACAGAGCCGAGATTGAGTCGACCAACCTCTTCCTCACTGGTTTCTTTTTCTTTTGCCTTGCTCTGGTCTTCACAGCCATTGTCGTGGCTCTTGCAAAGGGAATCTGTGACCTGGCAGTCAAGTTGAGGTGGGTCAAGAATGACAGATTCACCGAATTCCGCAGCGGCTGGCGTCTCCTGCTCAAGGGCGTACTTTACCGCATCACCATGATGGGGTACCCAGCCATTACTATTCTCTGCCTTTGGGAGTTTACACAAAATGACTCCCCAGCAGAAATGGTGCTGGCTGTCTTCTTCCTGTAAGTCTCAGCCCGGCATACCGCTGGTTTCATGTACTAATACTTTGCAGTCTTTACAGCACCCTTGCACTTGCATGGGCCGGATGGAAAGTGATTCAGATTGCACGCCGATCTGTTCATCTCCACAGAACGCCAGCATATGTTCTATTCTCTGACCCACGCGCCCTCAACAAGTGGGGTTTTCTCTATATTCAGTTCCGGGCGTCGGCGTACTACTTTATTCTCCCCATCATTGCATACCACTTTGTCAAGGCTCTGTTCATTGGTCTAGGCCAACATGCTGGCATCGCTCAGGCGATTGGTTTGATTATCATTGAGGCAGGTGTCTTGATTGCTGCTAGTGTCATGCGCCCATGGATGGACAAGAAGCTCAACAGTTTCAACATTACAATTGCCGTCGTCAACTTTTTGAACGCAATCTGTCTTCTCATCTTCACAGACATCTTTGATCAGGTAAGCTGAATATACAGCAGTAATTATCTGCTCGAAAATATCAGAGGACTTGTGCTAACTTGGAACATCAGCCGGCACTCGTCAATGGCGTGGTAGGAGTTGTTCTGTGGCTTCTGAATGCCATCACGACACTGGTGCTTTTGATATTCTGCATCATCACCACGGCAATCGTCTTCTTCCGCGAGAATCCCGATGGACGGTACCAATTCATGAGTGACGAGCGAGCATCCTTCATGAAGTCTAGTCACTCCTTGTCAGCAACAGATCAACTCGATGCTCTCGCGAGTACGGCACGTGGAGAGAAGAATCAAAGATTGGATCTCGATGAGGGCGAGGATGGGCCAGAAATGGCTCACTCTCTCCACCGCCGCCCAGAATCACTGCGACCTTCAACTGCTGGCTCAAGTTCATGGAGAGGCTCGCGTTCGCGCATTGATTCGGCTGCGTTCGGTGCCTCCACCGAGCCTCTTCGCCATAGCCCCCTTCACTCTGGCAGTGGGCGAGACTCGCCGGCCAAACAAGGGGGAATCAACCCACTTCCAACTGTCGGAGACGCAGCTCCGCCATCACCGGCTATGCGCAGCCAGCACAGTCCAAGCCCCTGGCAAAGGGGTGCCGGTTACGACCATACCTCATGAACCAAATTTAATGTCTAACAAATAAAAAGAACAAAAGAAAAAGAAAACCACTCCTGGTATACAACTGGGGCGATAAAGGGCACGCAGTAAAAGTCCGTTTATGGTGAAATGGAATTGAGTCATGACCTGGATAGATGTACGTCTTTTGTAGCAGCAGGACTTCATGATCCTCCATTGGATTATGGCATTCATTTTGGGGCGTAGAACCCTGTTTACTTTCTAGACCTAGGTAATGACCTAATTTTTAAATCTTCAAGAAGGCCCATGCTGTTCCAAGTGCGGAGAGCCGACCGGGCCGGGACTAAATGGGGCTACCCGGATCGCCGTGTCGCCGCGTAATGTCTTGACATGGACCGTGCAGTTCCGTTGCGGCGAAGGCTCGGCGATAAGGCGACTCATGCCTTGACTTGTCGGCAACTTGTGCCTTGGTACGTATACGTAATTGTAATCATCATAATTCCATCCTAATCTTGTCCAGAAGCCGAGCTTGTCAGGAACCAGGGTTGTAACCTGAGAGCTCGGACAAATATAAGGAGCAGGTAGGCGCTGATCCGGTGCTATTGTATAGGCGTTGGATGTGGAGATGGCTTTTGTACTATTCGTAGGGAATGATCATTCTGTCAAAGTCCCAGTCGCAGATCTAGAGCCGCTGCCCATTACCTTCCAATCTGAACATGGTAGAGACTGTGACACTTTCGTGTGCTAATGCTAGGGTATCTTCGCCATGTACGACAACGACGAGAAACAGAGCCAGAAATAATTCAATGAAACAAAGACAGGAAGGTAACTAGGCCATCATTAACTAGGGCCTGATCAACACGGCAGTTGTGACTCGCAGAGTCCACTAAACCCCAGTGCCCAAGAAGTTAGAACGTGTGGCTCGCCTCGTAATTCCGAGCCGCTCGCCGAGATTTCGGGAGGGTCGACGCTAGTATTGCCTTACAACGAACCATATATGACATACCCAAACCAAACAGTGCATTTTTCCCGTCTCCCCTAAATGGAGTCTGACGAGGCGGGAAGCCTTGATGAAATGACTAGGGGTACGCGTTGCTGTATCCTCTATATGCCATGATCTGCAGTATAAGGTACGATGGTGCCAACCAATCACGACAGGATCCGAAGTGGTGGATTCCGCATTGAGACACTTGAGATGAAGTCTTTGATAATAGTATATATCATCTATTCACTGCTCGAAAGGTGAATTCAATCTCATATCTTCCAAGGCACAGCACCAATCCTTCAAGTGTCAAACCCACCGCCCCCTTTAGCAACAGCGAGCAACCATGGGCCTCCTTCGAAACCACGAGGTCATCCTCTCCTCTGTCTTGGGGCTGTTGGCTCCTGTGATTCGAGCAGCGCTCTATGATAGTGTGCTGCAGACACCCAATGGCCCTGTGCAGGGCTACCCGGCCTTCAACAGTAGCCCGGCCAACATGAACCTCACCCATTGGAAGGACGTTACCGTCTGGAAGGGTATCCCATTTGCTGCCGACACCTCGGGAGAGAACCGCTTCCGAGCTCCGCAACCCGTCTCTCCGTGGAACACGACCTTTGACGCCAAGGACTATGGCCTCGCCTGTGTGGCGTCTGGTACCACTTATGCGGATATTGGCGAGGACTGCTTAAACGTCAATGTTTGGAGCGCCGCCAACTCGACCGACGACAAGCTGCCCGTCGTCATGTGGAGCTACCCTGCCGGCGGCTCGAATGCGGATCCTCGCTTCGACGGCGCCGGCATGGCGGACAAGGGCGTCGTCTTTGTCAACTACAACTATCGAACCGGTGCAACTGGCTGGCTCGTGACGCCCGAGCTCACCGAGGAGAACTTGAACAGCATCGGAGTCAACAGCTCTGGCAACTACGGCATGCTAGACCAGTTTGCCGCTGTGCAATGGATCCGCGACAACATTGCCTCCTTTGGTGGTGACCCGGACCGCATCACCGTCTCTGGCCAGTCTGCTGGGTCGGCAGCGACATACCACATCCTCAACAGCAACCTGACCCAGGGTAAAATCGTGGGTGCCATCATCCAGAGCGGCGTTCGGGACCCTTATGACCCGCTTGCCACCAGCTTGGCCGAAGGATACCAGACCTATGACGTCTCCCTCAACTACAGCCAGACTTTTATGGAGTCGGTGAACTGCAGCACCATTGCCTGCATGCGCGCCCTGGATTGGTCCACCCTCGACAACACGGCCATGCCCGGCTCGACGGGCCCCTCGTTCAAGCCGACCCTTGACTACTATGCCATGCCCGACACGTACCTGAACACGCTGCAAAAGGGCCTCGCCAACGACGTGCCCGTCATGACGGGCAACACGCGCGACGAGAGCGGCGCCTCGTACGGTCTCAACATAACCCTGGCCACGTACCTCGCCGACGTGAACTCGACCTACACGGGCGACTTTGTGGACCGGTTCCTGAGCGCGTACGCGGCCAACGACTCGGCCACAGCCTCGGCGGCCGAGAATGCCCAGTTCACCGACCGGTCCAAGGTGGGCACGCAGAACTGGGCGGCCTACTGGCTCGGCAGCAACGTGACCACGAGCCCCGTGTGGACGTGGCTGTGGACGCACGCACCCCCCGGACAGGACGCCGGCGCCGCGCACATGACCGAGATCCAGTACACGCAAAACAACCTGTACAATGTCTACTATGGCGCGTGGGAGGCCGAGGACTACCAGATTGCCGCCACCATGAACGGCTACTGGGTCAACTTTATCAAGAATGGCGATCCCAACGGCGACGGGCTGCCGCAATGGGACCAGGCCACGGCAGACGGCACCGTGACCCAGGAGCTCGGTGAAGGATGGGGAGCTATTCCTGTCGCGGATGATGAGCAGATTAGCTTGTTCAATGACTGGTTCCCTACCCTGACAGCTATTTAGATTATTTTCTTGAACATTATATATCGTCAGCTTGAATATAAATATCAGACAATACCTATATTGATCCTCAAAGTCTTGTCTTGTAAGGCTTTTATACTTGCCAAATATCTGATGACTTGCCCAGTACGTATAGTCTGGGGGCTGGTGAGTAAAGTTCCTAAGAAATTGAGTGACCCTTTCTTCCGTCACAGTGATCAAGTCGGGAATAAGAAGAGTGTAACATAATCTTTTTGCCATAATAGATTCCCAGTGGCAGGCAATTGGGTTCACAAAGTGCCAAGATATAAACCAAAACTTTGGAACCAAGATTGAAAGACATGTGTTGCGGCCAGATGGTTTAGAGGGCTACAGACACTGAAAACACCTACTTACCAGCTACTATAGTATTTTTAGAGGCTGTGAATAACAATGGTTTGGCGTATACAGAGTATAGCACATTTTCTGCTTCCGGACTTTACCTCTGAACGGCAAAATATATATTGCAACATGAAATGCAATGCACGATCAAGTCTCTGCTTGAATGGAAAAAAGAAGTCCGATATGAAGAGTATTGCGACAGTCCTATAGGCGAATTGCAGAGTAGCCACTTGAGACTTTGCTGTTAACTTCAAGGTTGAGAACAACCAATACGCACAGACCCACCAGCAGTAGACCCCACTAAATTTGGCCAGCATCTTGCAACCGCCGCTTATCGATAAGAATTTTCCTGTCCCAGTACCCAAGCAGTGAACATTTGGAGGAGACCACTGGAACATCACCACCCGTTTGTCGACATTCACACAACCAGCACACGACCCAAATTTGCACAATGTCGTCGCTTCGAAACGCGGTGAACCGCCGCGTCCATAGGGAGCGAGCGCAGCCCCTGGAGAGACAGCGCTTTGGCCTGCTCGAGAAAGCCAAGGTAAGTTTTCCTTGCAGGCTTTTTTCCCGTCTTGTCCTACTCTCGTAGTAGCGAGGCAAAGCCAATCTGGCTTCATCCTCTGCACCTCGTGTACGATGCGCCGAGAAATTGAGAACTTTGGTGGGCTAATCTCTTGTTTTCCGAAACGATTATAGGACCGCAAACTCCGAGAGCAGGATCACAACCGCAAAAAGAAGACGCTCAAGGCGCTGCGGGCCAAGGCGGCGGAGCGCAACGAGGATGAATTCTTCTTTGGCATGATGTCGCGGCAAGGGCCGCAGGGCGTGCTGTCCAAGGGCAGGCGGTGGAACGGCACCGTCGACGGCGACCGCGGCAACCGCGCCCTCTCGGTCGACGAGGTCCGCCTGCTCAAGACCCAGGACGTCGGCTACGTCCGCACCGTCCGCAACACGGCCGCCAAGGAGGTCCGCGCCCTCGAGGAGCGCGTCGTGGGCATGGGCGGCAGCCTCGACGCAAAGGTCGTCGATCCCGCCGACGAGGAGGACGACGATGATGACGATTGGTTGGACGATGGGGGTCCGGCTCGGAAGAAGCCCAAGAAGATTGTCTTTGCCGACGGCGTCGAGGATCGAGAGGATAGAATATCTGGTGCGCTCGATGGCGGTGAAGACGACGACGACGACGATGATGATAGTATGAACGGGGAGGATACTGCCAAGAGCAATCCCGAAAGAGCACGGGCCGAACAAAGAGAGAGACTCTTGCTTAAATTGCAACGGCGCCTGGCTACTGCCCGGAAGCGGCTCAAAGCCTTGTCCACGGCCGAAAACGAGTTGGAAATGCAGAGGGCCAAGATGGCCAAGACACAAACTGTGGGCGGTGTCACCAAGACGGGCAAAAAGTTCAAGGTCCGCGAGAGAAAGCGGTAGAGAACAACACGATTCAAGACATGCCAAGTCACGACAAGCTGGAGTGGCCCGAATCGCTTTCTTTGTGCAATGGCAAATTAGAACTTTGCGTGATCATCGACTACGACCCTTTTGAGATACCCATGGAATATATTTGAAATTTACAACCCAAACCAATCACTGGCCGGGTATGCTAGATGACTAGAGATGTCGCAATCAGGCAATGAGCCCAATGACGAAAGAGAGATGTATGTACGAAAACTATAGAAATGTGTGTTCGCCCGTGAGGCGATTAATATCCTCATCTACGCCGAGATGCCCTCTAGTCCCAAGTCCGCCACCCCGCCTTTGCTTAGTCCTTGTCCAAAGAAATCATTACCTCATTATTACCCTTGATGCTCATAATTTTTCACTTGTCAAACATTTGCTCAAGCCCGCGACAATGGCGACCAGGGCCTTGAAAGCCAACGTCAGTGCCCAGATGAGGCATTTGAAGGCAAAACTGATGAGCTTGATCACCGTCCTCGTGGTGCTGGGCAGCTTGTCCTTGTCCTTGACGTCGAGTTGCTTGCCCAGGCTACTCGTCTGGCTCTCGAGATCCAGTTCAATCTCCTCGAGCTTGCCGCGCTTCTTATTCTTCGACTTCTTGCCGTCTTTGCCGCCGGTGAGCCTGGATGCCAGACTGGTCCGGCTTTCTCTCCCAGACTCGCGCAAGTGCGCGGGTGGCGGTGGCAGCATCATTGGCGGCGGCTCAAACGTCTCAATTTTGTGATTCTTCTCGTCTTGGTTAGCGACGATGAGAAGAGCAGTAACTGCCACGTCGAGGATATAGTGCGCCTCAATCCGGCCGGCAATAAGAGTGTCCAGTTCCATCCAGCCTTCACCGGTGCCGTCGCGGGTCAATTTGGCAAGATGTTGCGGCGACTCAATGTGCTCGAGGGTATACTCGGTTCGACTCCAGGCTTGATTGCGCTCGACGGTGATGCAGAAGGGCGTAGCGAGCGCTGGATGTACCAGGAAGTAGTTTTGGCTGTCCTCGTCCCAGACCAATCGAGCGCATTCTCTCTCGGCCGTCATGACGGCTTGGATGTCGCCAGGCTTGTCCAGGGCCATTTTGGTTGCTGCACAAGGGTAGAGCAAGGCGACTAAACCATCCTCTGGTGGCAATCTTCTTGACTCCTCTTCGAGAGTTGTCGTGATTGCCTCGTGCCACGTCTTTGACTTTTCCGTTTCTCTCAGGGCGGCTAGGATACCTTGCGGTCTCGAATCCGCCATGGGATCTCTCTCCTTGAAACTCTTGCTGGGATCATGACGGCTCAACGTGATGTAAGCCGAGGCAGACGTAGGAACAACTCGCATGTGGTAAAACGGTTGCGTCGTTGAGGAGAGGTAATATATCGGAGTGTCCTTTTCGGGCTCCAGTTTCATGCAATAGGTTCTACCATCTGTCGAGGTTGCTTTCCAACCATTGGCCGCTTTCCAGTAATCTCGTAGATCCTCTGTAGTACTGACGGGAGGGATCACTGGTGGATCTTGGTGCCGCGGTGGCCATCTCTGTGCTGAGCCAGCACTTAGTGGACTTCTGAGAGGACTCCTCACGGGTGGGCTTCGACTATCCGTCCCCCCAGGCACATGTGATTGCCGGCTTATGACTTGCCGTGGTATATGGCTCGGACTCGTTTGTGTCGGAAAATACTCTTGGCGGTCAAATGGTAGCGAATGGTCGTACTGAGGAAAGATGGACCGAAAGCCAGCTGGCTCCTGGCCAGCAGATGATTCTGGTTCATCTTCAAAGGGTCTTTTCGCAATCGAACTCCTGGATCGAGTGCTGTTGCCCCGAACCAGAGTGGTGGCTCCCGAGAATGCGGTATCGGTCCGTATGGGCGCATCAGACGGGTCAAAGGGCTGTGCTGCCATCGGCTCAATATCCTGCTGGTTGTACTGGACGGCGTACTGCGAAGGAGAGCCATCTATCACGAACTGCGACAGGTCTTCTGGTGTACGTCTGCCATTCCGTGGAGGCGTCATTTGAAAGGACTGATCTTCTCGTTCCTGACCCTGCGGCGACGCAGCCCGTGGTCTCGGCGTCGTCTTCCTGGACGGCGGCTTCGAGGTATGCGTATTAGGAAACAGAGAGAAAGACCCTCCCGAGGGCCCGGCGACTGGAGACATATTGGCGATATGAACTTGATACCTGCAGGACCGATGTATGTATCTGATATCGTCTCGAGTCGTTTCCCAATCAAAAGATTTCCAGATCTTGTCTGATTCCAAGAGGCGAGGAGGATACTCGGTTGCGATAGATCGACTCTTTACCAACGCATGTTTCTCGCAATTAAAACAATGAGCAATGCAAAACGGCGGCAGGAATCACAGATCCTTTGAGGCACAGGATGAAAAGCCAGAAATAGCTTTACCCAACCGAGCGCAGACAACAGAAAACCAGTCGAGAACAGAGAGACTTCACCCGTTTTTCTCGAAGCAACTGGGGGGCGCGAGCGAGCAAAAAGGGAAATGTATAGGTATACATACAAACCCACATTCCGAGTTCAAAATATAACCTTACCTTTGAGCCCACATTCATACACGCAGACGCCGGGACAGCAATGTCTGCTTCTTGACCCCCCTTAGCTCCGGGTCCCCAGCTGCATCTTCTCTCGTCTCGCGCGCGCTGAGTGGTCGCATTTTGTTCTACCATGGGCATTTGGCGGATATGATCTGTAGGAAAGGGAGAAAAATCAGACCAACCAGGGTTGTCAGCGCGCTCAGCGGCGGCCTGTGGTTGGGGGAATAGACTTGGTACTGGGGTGTCGTCTTTCAACCGCCTGCATCACGCAGCTGCACGAGGAACTTTCTCTCTTCTGACAGGTCAGCCAGGGGGCAATAAAACGCTGCGGGCTTCCCATTCGTCGGGCGCGACGAGAATAGAGCAATTCTTCTGTGCCTCTCTCTGCTCTGAGTACTAAAGTATGTTGTTTGGGGTTGGGGTGGTGGGAAGGACGGGCGCGTAGAAGCGCTGTGACGCTGCTGCTGATTCGATCGTTTATTCAGGACCCCTCTCAGTGCTGGCCAGCGGTTGGTCGGCGGGTTTACTGAACCCCTGTCCGTTGGCGACGCTCCCGGCGGCAATCAACATGTTGGTGGGGCCTGGGGCACCACGGCTCTTCTCGACCTCGTTTGGACTCTTTTCTCGCTGATCTCTCCATTATTGAGGAAAAGTCTACAAAGCTTGTCTTTGTCGTCGTTCCCTAGTCCAAAGAATTAAGCTTGCAGGTCTCGTGGTAAATGGAGAACGTGGTAAGTGTAAATAATTATTGTGGAATTCTTCAAGCTCTCAAAAATTCGGCAGATTGATCGATCTGCAGTGGGCCATAGGCTTAAGGTTAGCCGTTTCCAGCTATGTACAGAGTAGTACATCTGCCGGCAAGGTATACAAATACGGCCCTTCACGCGGAACAAACACTCTTCAAGACACAAAATAACGAATGACAATTCGTCTCATATGGCAAATTACTGATAACTCGTAGATGATATCTCTGGTTGACATATCCTTGGTCAGCCATTACAATGCCTGCAATCTCTCAGCCTTTCACAAATATTGCATTTACTAGAAAAGGCCATAGATCAGCTCTTACACCCGCCTAAGCGCTGATGTCGAGACATGACCATAATCGAAAAAATCCACCCTGGCCATAATGTTTGATCCAGCCATGCCAAGGTTCTTCCCCGCGACAAAATGAAAGAGTAGCGCCCAACTGCCCAAAAGCGATGCACACCGCGTTTCCTGACTTTGTCGAATGAAATGTGGCTCACATCATCGCGAAATGGCTGCCAGGTTATGATTTTCCACTATAAGTCTAGTCATGTCGATATCCGAGAGATGATTTCAATGTGGACGGCTGTATGGCTCAACATCTCGTGTATCGCCAGTGATACCAAAAGGCAAACAAAGCGACCGCTGTTCATCGAAACACTGAAAATGAGTTCGTAGTATATAGGACCATGGAAGCTAGAAACACATTATCGGCAGATCCTATTGTGCCGAAACAGATGTGTTTCCTCAGATGCATTCGAAAAGATATTTGAATATGAAACCGCCAATAGTCCTCGACAGGATCGCGAAAAGCGATTCCCGCACTACATGGAACATATTCTGACCTACCAATTAAGTAGAAATGAATTTGAAGCACTCACATTATCACAACTCAGGCGGAACCGGATACGCTTCCAGGAGCCGATCAAGCTAAAGTGCGGGCCGATCGGCTTGGAGTATACAGCCGCTCACTTTGGATGCTGGCTTGCTGCTCACAGCAAGAGAATTCGTACGATTGATAATAAATCATTCGATGTATCGCATGAGGAAATAACCCGGACTGGAGATTACAGTCAGTACTCTGTACGGAACCTGCGTTGCGGGCAATTGGTCATTGACTATACTAAGCCCAGTTCCGTTAACAAGCAGATCGGACCTCCGATCTCCACTTTTCTCCGATGGCCGGCGCTGTTGTGGCATCACGAAACTTCTTGTCTCTCTAAAGCCTCAGCACATACATATGGCTGTCATCGCTTGTGACGCGTGCTATGAAGGATAGGTAACTTCAAGCTTTTATTGACTCAGTAATAGAAAATGGTTCACGCCGTCGTCATTGGGTAAGAGTTGCTTGAGTCCCTTCACCATCGAGTATGGGCTAATGCCGTATGCAGTGCCGGAGTCATTGGCCTCAGCGCCGCTATACGGTTGCAGGAGGAAGGCCATCAGGTCATTATTGTAGCTCGTGATTTTCCGGCTCCGTTTGAGACTGTCGATGCACAATTACAGATCAACTATACATCTCCCTGGGGAGGGGCGCATAATCGTTGGGTGCTGCCGGCGAACCCGACGGAAGAGAAAGAACACCAAATGGCATTAATCACATATGAGCGAATGATGCAGCTGCAAAAGACTCAGCCAGATGCCGGTATCACGCCAATGCCTGGTATTGAATATCTCGAAGCGCCAAGTCCAGTATACACGAGTCTCACAGAGGCCAAGGCAAGTAGTCTAGGGCTGGCAGGATTCCGTTTCCTCCGGCCAGAAGAATTCCCAGACTCGCGAGTCAAGCTTGGATTTACATACGACACTTGGTGTGTGAATCCAATGGTATATTGCAGTTTTCTGCTGCGGAGATTCTCTATTCGGGGTGGCAAGGTGCTCAAGCGCGAACTACGAGACCCGGCCGAGTTGTTCTCGTTGAAAGAACTCGGCCGTGTTGATGTTGTAGTCAACTGCTCGGGCAACGGCTTCCAAGACGAGAATGTATTCATTACACGCGGTGAGTCGAAAGCGATAGTTCAGAATTGGAGATGCCATTGGACAAGAATGCTGAAACAGTGGTTCATTTATAGGCCAGACTTGCCTGGTTACGAATTATTGTCCCGCCACAGTGACGCGACAGAATGCCGATGGCTCTTGGACATTCTCGGTGCCTCGCAATTTCGATGGAGGCACCATCGTCGGAGGAACGAAAGAGCCCAACAACTGGGACTCGACGCCGTCATTGGCAGTGAGGAAGTTACTTCTCGACAAGTTTGCCGCGGCATACCCTCCCATTCTCGGCAAAGACGGAAAATTCACAGTCATCAAGGATATCGTGGGAAGGAGGCCTACGCGGAAAGGCGGTATGCGCTTGGAGCGGGAGAGGATACATGATGGAAAGAGCATCATTCATGCCTATGGGCTTGGCGGCCGAGGCTATGAGCTGAGCTGGGGAGTCGCCCAAGGGGTCATCAACTTGCTCGTGGAAGATTTGCAATCGTCAAAGGTTGTAGCAAAACTCTAGTTTACACAGTGCGGTTGACTCTCAGCAGCAATTTATATATCAGTGTTGATGAACAAAAAGCTGTATCGGGTTACCTTTGCTCATTCAAGGCAACATTGAGATATGAGAAGGTGCAATAGTTGATAGGTACCAAGTTCCTTCCTTCCAATATCTGACAATGCGACAACTCGCACGCGTGCAAAGAAACATGGAACCATCCTCTCGTTCTTTCCTCCAATGTCATCATGGTAACAGAGCTACAAATCCTACTGACTCTCCGTCTTTCCATCCACGCACTTCTCTCCATTGACTCACTCTGCCACACTTTTGCACAATCAAAAGACTAGCCGTTCGGTGCATGCACTCATCAAACTCTCTCGCATCTCTCTCTCTCCCTCTTCCAATCTTTGACTCAGTCTTCTACCCACAGTCCCAAGCCAAGATGAAGATGTTCACCAAGATCGCCTTCGTTCTGCTTGCCTCGAGTGCAGCATTGGCAAGCCCCTACCTCGAGTTCTGCAGCCTCCTGGACTTGCAGACCGTCGGCACTCAAGGCATTGTCATTCAAGCTTCTTGCGGTGGCCAGTGCGAGCAGCTCAACATTGTTCCGTGCTTTGCCAACTCTTATGGCACCATTGTCCCAGCAGGCCGAACGTATGTGACCCGACGAGTCTTTGCTCCCATATCAGTCCTGAACTAACATATCTCTGTCAGCAACGGCAACTTCAACAGCACCTGCCGAGACTGCACTCTTGGTACTGTCAAAAATGACACCGAAAACTACGGCGTCGTGTCCTGTATCTGCTCCAGCGGTGCACCTGATATTGTCGTCAACACGCACTTCCAGACTGGTGCGTATCTCTGAAAGAAGCGAGTTTGGTTGGAAAGAAGAAACTTCTAATTCTTGTTGCAGCCGAGACTATCCGATATGAGACTTCCCTGGGCATGACCTGTCCTTATGGAAACAGCTCTGCTATCCGCTCGGTCCAGTGTGGAGCTACCACGAACAAACATTCATCTGTCTCCAACAACGGGCGCGGTCGAAAGGTTCGTCGGTCCATGCGAAGCGCACAGCTTTGGAAGCCCTAGACGCGCTTCAACAACAGCCAAGCCTTGGAAGAGCAGAGTAGTTCATGAACAACAATACCTGCCAATGTGAAGTTATTTGCGCTGCTGCGGGGTTTATCAATTTTGGAATTCTATCATGCCTGACGCAGATTTATTGTTTGGGACCAAGTCAATCAGATTTAACCTAGCTGTGTTTGAGATGCGAGTATACTGGTAGATCCACTTGTTCGGTACATGTAGCATTAGGAGGCAACATGTTGGCTCACCAGTTTCTGTAGCCTTGGAGCACATATGCCGAATACACTGAAACGCAAATTACATACACACATCTACACAGACCTCGTTTTTTGAGCGATGTTGTCATGTGAAGCACGACTAATGCGTGGCATCCTGGCACGTGGAACTTGTGAAGCTCGAGCCCTCACTCTATTTACCGATTGGGTCGGGGGCAATCTTCGAGGGAGAGGCAAACCATCATCCTTGGTTTTAGAGTGCCTAGTCTCGAAACTTTGTTTGACCTATCCAACTAGTAACTACAAAGCATGATGGCTTGGACTACCTACGTCGTTTGAACAACTGCCGTCAAAGAGCTTCGCTATCGTTATGTGGCGCTTGCATACCTAGCACCCAGGCAGGCATTGTTCAAATGATCATAACGACAGCCTCAAATCCTTGTATCTTGAGATTGGGGCGTTCATCCTGGAATGTCGCTGTGACCATGCCATGATATATCGTCCGCTTTTTCTTGTTGCGATACTGACTGCGATCTTCAGGAACAAAGTTATTGATCTGAGATACATGTGGACCATTACCAGTATCGCGAAAATGGCGATCGTGCATATGCTGGCCAGTGGATTGGGCCTCAGGTACGAGAAAGAATTGATCGGTCATGGAGGCACACTTTGTGCCCAAGACATCACATCAATGCCTCTTTTGGAGCTTTGACTGTACTCGGACTGTGACAGCCGGATCAGGAAGTGGAGCAATCAATCATCACACTGACAAACCGGGTTTGCCCCTGTCGATAGGCCTGGCATCTATGCCGAGCACTACTATCTCTGGTAAGCGTGGGGTGAGGAGTGCATAGTATAGCACACAAACGCCAGGGACAGGAATCCACTATGGCTGCTACATTACCAAGAATTAGGGCATGGTCTTCCGAGCAGACAGTTCAATTTCCCTAGGGCTCATGGATTCGCGGTCTCGACTCAGCGGCAAGTCGCCGCATACCATTGATCCAATTGTATAGTCAATTTCGTCCGATAATGTACGAGTCTCGATCAAGATGCCTTTGTTTGAGAAAATGATCGCTAGAGAACAAATGGTCAACAGATGAATCATTTCTCGTTTGCCTCGGCTTGATGTTGCAGATCCTCCTCCTCGAAATGCTTGAGCCTTGCGCTTACACATGACCAGAAACAGGAAAAGAAAAAAAGCCAACGGGTTGCAAACGTTATACCATGCAGTCTGTCATATCCAGAGCTAGCAAGCCTGTCAGCTTTCTTTTTTCCCCTGTCATCTTTCACCTCGTGAACATATCAGAGCGTTGAGAATTACAAGCAATTGGTCAATAGGATCCGCAGCCGGTCAACGCTTCCGAGTTTTCGTCCTGCATCCGATTGTTGTATTGCAGGAGACAGGGGCCAGGGTACCTGTCATCTTCTGATTGCTTTCTACTGTGTAAGTATGTTATCGTCCTGAACCAGTCCTCGATCTTTCAATAATGGTTTGGATCGTTGCCATTCAGCTGGGACTGACCCAATCAAGCGGTCGTAATCTAGACTCTTACCATGGCGGACTGCATATACAAAGAATGGAGATCTCCCCCAAAATCTGTCCCGTGCGCTGACCCGAGAAGATCACTTGGATTCATTCAAGCGATTATACTATAATTCTTTTCACCATGGACTGGGAAACGAGGGACGACTATGGCCCCGTCGCCGTTTACACCAATTGGGCCATGTTTATCATTCTCACAAGTATGTGCACACAGGCATTCTTTCATGGAAAGAGTCATACTGATTGATATTCTCCTGCAAAGTTTTGATAGGACTTCGAATATACTGCCGCCTGGCCTACGGCTCCAAAGGAATCATTCGCGGCGTAGGCCTCGATGATTTGATCACAATCTTTTGCTGGATTCTTTTCCTTATCACCTGCGTGCTCGTCACCATTACCGTGAGCCACGGGCTGGGTAAACACATGTCGGCGCTGTCGCCCGAGCAGATCACCGAGTCGCTGCACTGGAACGTCATTAGCAACTCGGTGGCCATTTGGGTCTTTTCACTGCCCAAGTTTGCCATTGTCGCCCTCCTCCGGCGCATCCTCACCTATGGTAACAAGACGGCCGTCTTATTCTGGGGGCTGGCCTTTACCTCGCAAGCCTGCATCCTGGCCACATCCATCTGGTGGTTCCGGCAGTGCACTCCGATAGAGTACGGCTGGGACCGCAGCATCGAGGGCTCGTGTGCCGATGTCAGCGTTTTGAAAAATCTTGGTTATTTTACCTCGGCCTACTCGGCCTTTCTCGACTTTTTCTTTGCCCTCTACCCCATTCCGCTCATTATGCGCCTGAACTTGGGGCTCAAGAACCGGGTCACCATTTCCGTGGCCATGGGTCTCAGTGCCTTGGCTTCGGCGGTTTCTGTCTATAAACTAGCAATCTTTGGCGAGGTCTTTACCATGCTCCCGTCAGACCCAACTTGTGAGTATTCTCTTCTTCTGGTATGTTCCGGAACCTGTTTTTGACAGTCTTCAATCAGACCCCGTCGCCTACCTCGACATTCTCGGCATGGCAGAGGGCTTTATTCTTTTAGTATGCGCATCGCTGCCGACCTTGGGTCCTCTGATTCGCGCCATTCGCGGACAGACAATCAATGGATCCGGGTGGTCTGGGAACAGCTCTTCTCAAGCATACTACTCCAAGGGCACCGGAAACCGCGAGACCCGTAGCGGTAGTCAGTCGTGGCGGGCAAACCATAAGCTCCCAGGCGGCGGCACGGACCTGGAGTCGGCGCGGAGGGAGAAAATTGGTGGTAGTAGCCACTACGATGTTGATGAGATGCCGCTGGTTGAGACGAAAAAGTCCAACTCGGTGCGGCTTGAACCCATCATCATACACAAGAGTACGGATATTGCTGTGCATTCGGAGCCGAGGACGCCGGATTCGCGGCCGACTACCCGAGACCGGGACATTTTTGTTAAACATTGAAGAACCTATTGACTAGCAAGTAGTGTACTGTATTTTCATACATGTTTTACCCAATTCTCTTCAATTACAGCCTAGATAAAACAGTGACAAGACCAAAAAACAGTATTTGTACAGGCCAATATATTGCTCCTACAGCATTGTATCTTGGGCACGATCACTACCGATGCCTTCATTAAGCGAGGCTCGGGCTCATAGTGAGGGGTCACATTGTGGCTTAGGCGAATGCCAGCATGCCTACCTGCGTGTCTTTATTGGCTGGATTTGTGATCTTGCTCCTGTATGGCCAGGAACTGCATAAGACGGGGGCGGTGCTTGGCCAAATATTTTGCCGTCTCAATCGGGCGCAAGTTGGAATCGCCAACACACGTTTGTCAACCTCTCAGAATCTTATTCTACCGTAGACAAATTCCCGCTCAACTACTGCATAATGACAGTAGGAGTGTTTGCGGTATGAGAAGATGCGCAACCCAATCTCTGATACTGGCATATCTATTGTTTATTCACCAGACGAAGGTGATCCGCTTGTTGAGTAAGTCTCGTATAATCAAGATCGAATCTCCACCATTCAGCCTGGAAGCCAATCTGACAAGATTAGCATCGTAATCGTTCATGGGTTGCAAGGTCATCCGTTCAAAACCTGGGCCAGTACCAAGATTCCCAAGCAAGCCGATTCGCCAGATCAGTCACTATTAGGAGTTCCAAGGGACTCGGAAAAGGGCAAGAATGTTGTACGACGCATGATCTCAAAAGTCTCAAAAAGATCTTCAGCAAATGCTACACCAAGTCCTCATCAAACAGAGCCAGATTTCACAGAGACGTCTACCGACAAAGGCAAAAACAAGCCCGCCCTGGTCTTCTGGCCAGCAGATCTAGCCCCTAATGAATGTCCGAGATCCCGCATTCTTGTGTATGGTTACGACACGAAAGTCTCAAAATACATGACTGGTCCAACAAACAAGAATCATGTTTTATCACATGGAAAGGATCTCGTATATGCACTTTGCAGGGAAAGAACACGGGGCCGACCATTGGTGTTTGTTGCCCACAGCCTTGGCGGGATTGTCGTCAAAGAGGTACGATAAGATCTACAGTCAGTGTTCATGCCTTGGCGACTAATCCTGTCCGTCCAGGCACTCGCAGCGTCTTCAGTTTCGGGAGATGCCGACATGAAAAATGTCATTGAATCTACTGCAGCAGTCGTTTTCTTGGGTACACCCCACCGAGGTAGTCCCGATCTCTCAGCCCTTGGGGAATGGGCCAGATCAGTCTTGAGCATCTTCCGTATGGAAACGACATCTGCTATTCTAGACACACTTGGCCTCAAGACTTCCGATCTGGAGCGTGCTCAGGAATCATTTTCCAGACTTTGGCAGGAGTACGACTTTCGAGTAAAGACTTTTCAAGAAGGCCTCGGCCTGACCGGTATCCATCTTGGTGTTCTTGGTAACAAGGTAGTCCCAGACTACTCTTCCTTGCTTGGCGACCAGCGCGAACAGGCTGAATCTATCCAAGCTAATCACATGGAAATGTGCCGGTTTACTGGACGAAACGATCCGAACTACCGCAAAGTCGCGGGTGAACTTCGCTCGATATATGTGTCCATACAGAGGTTGAAAGAAGGAAAGACTCATCAAGATGCAGTGGTATCGCACCGGGTTCTCGCGTCACGCATCAAGCCCCGATCAAGAGGCAGTAATGACCAAAAGACTCGGAGCGCTGCGGAAATCCGGCTTGATAAGCTCAAGTTCCCTACAATGAACTTGCGATACCGGAGCATACCGAAACCGGCACACAACACATGCTCCTGGCTTTTTGAGCATGAAAATTTTCAGGATTGGCTCCACGGTCGAAAACTGAGTTCGCACCGTGGCCTTCTCTTGCTTCAGGGGAAGCCGGGGGCAGGCAAATCAGTCTTGATGAAGGAGGTCTACCGTCAAATGTCAACGAGTCAAGCTACGAACGACTGTACAACTGCCGCATTCTTTTTCAATGCCCAAGGTCAAAGATTGGAGCATACTCGCCTTGGAATGCTGAGGTCTCTGCTGTACCAGATACTCCCAAAACATCAAGGACATCTTGATCGCTTCAACAGTATTTGGGAAGACGAGAGTGATGTGCTCGAAGAGGATCTCAGAGACCTTCTTGAGTCGATATTTTCCAAGCCGTTTGAAAAGAGTGTATTCATCATCATTGATGCTGTAGATGAATGCGACACTTCAGAATTTAGGAGGGTAGCGTATCTCTGGCGATATCTCACTGGGCAAGCCTACTCCAATGGAGTAAAGCTGAACGTTCTCATGTCTACGAGAGAATTTCCGAATATTCGTCTCTCTGACTGTCCCGGCATCAGGGTCGACCATCACAATCAACGAGATATTAAACTGTACATAGAACAGAGAACCAAGCTGGCAATGATTCCGGAGCAGAAACTTTCGCCCCTGAAAGAATTGATTTTCGAAAGGTCAAACGGGGTGTTTCTTTGGACTGTCCTTACTTTGGATCGGGTGCTTGAGAAATGGGACGAAGGAGAAGGGTTGCTAGCCTTGACGAGGCACGTGACGCATGTGCCACGCGAAATTGACGCCTTATTCACCGAGATTCTGGAAACGGTCAATATCGAAACAACAGAGCTGGCCATTCGGTTGTTCCAGTGGGCGTCGCTTATGGTCAAGCCTCTCCGGCTCTATGAATGGCATCACGTTTTGGCATTCAACAGACAGCCGGTACCCAGTTCATTACACGATTGGCGGGCATCGGAACACTTTACTGAGAGCGACGAGCAACTGGAGAGACAGATTCGGAGCCTATCTAGAGGCTTGCTTGAGGTAAGGGCTATACCTAGCGTGCAAGATGATGGCTCAGAAAGAATGTCAACTCGCGCAGGAGCTGGCTCTCTGAATCTTTCACACGGGGAGACCAGGGTGGTTGAATTCATACACGAGACTGCCCGTGACTTTTTTCTCAAGGGGCAAGGTTTCTGGACTCTCGATTCACGCCTAAAAGGCAATGCAGCAGCAGACGGTCACCTCCTCATCATGACGAAATGTCTAGACTATCTTGACATTTCTGAGCTGGATTGTCTAGTCGAGGCACGAAACCAACTGTTACAGGTGCAGGTCCAGCAATTGATCGAGAAAGATGATACACCGTGGCAAACGTCGCATTCTCCTGGCAGAAAAGTTTCCGATGCTCGCTACAGTCCTCCGGTTGACTGTATGGAGCTAGACAATTCAGGAAATGATGGAGAGATGGAGAGTGGCAAGGCAAGTCAAGCTTCTGAATGTGATGCAAGAGCAGTCGCTGTTCACGAGGGGATATGCTCGCCCGAAGAACGCGGTCCAGAAGAGTCACATTCGGAAGTTGGAAGAATTGAAACCAAAGAACTTAATCTACCCTCACTCGCACCAAGACGCGAGAGTCACGCACCAAACAGATTACAAAGTCATGCCCCCATTTATGAACTGCTCAAAGAAGCATCTACCGCCATTTCGGGAATCGACATTGAGAAGTGGGTTATCACGAGTCAGTTCGCAACAAATCAAAGCACCCAAAATGAGCCAGAAAGCAACTCCGCGGCCCGTCCCTCGACTCCTGTTTCAACCCGAGTCCTGGAGGACTATCCAGCGCTCCTCTCGTATGCCACCCAAGAGTTTGTGACGCATGCTAAGTTAGCTCAGTCTGCAGGTGCAGATCCAAGCTCCATCGTTCGTCGCTTGCTGGACCAAGATGGGAGATCCTGGGCTCGGTGGTTGATCCTCAGAGAAGTAGCAGGTTCGCAAGTCAAGCTACATGAATTTGCCGCCATGAATGGTCTATTTTCATGGGTTGAGTATATGTGTGGAGTAAGCGAATCTGTACCAAGACCTACAAGCGAGCACTCCTCTACTTCCGCTCCGGACCAGACCCGAGTCGCGATGGACACTGCCCTCGACGATATCTTCCAGTACACCCAAGGGCCCACGACAGACAACAAAATTTGGTTTTGCGTATACAAGGGATGCAAGAAGCGATTTACACGAGAGGAAAATATCAAATCCCACGTGCAAACTCATCTCAACGATAGGCAGCACCAGTGCCCAGACTGTCAAAAATGCTTTGTGCGTCAGCATGACCTGAAGCGCCATGCCGAGATTCATACAGGCGTCAAACCATATCCTTGCGAGTGCGGCACCAGATTCTCCCGCCATGACCTTCTTATTCGCCACCAACAGCGTTGCACCGGCGCTCTTGAAGATGCCGTGCGCAAGCGCAAGCGGGTGGAAAGCCACCAACCTCAAAAGCAGCGCTCCGCTGCTCAGCGAGGCCGATCAAGTCGGATACCCTTTGATTTCGATGCTTCTTCCTTTGACTTTTCATCGAATACACAACAAAGACATAATGACGATGCTGTCGCGAGCTTTAGTTCCGCCAGTAGCCACACTGGATCTGTCATACTGTAGATGAAGGTTCCGCTGTCCAATCTACCGCTTCTGAAAAGGAGAACGTGATGACGATGCGTCTTGCGTGTCAGTCACATCTTTCAAATCTGTCTTCTCTGTTCAAGATGGCGATTCCCTACGAATGGACGCGGAGACAATTGAGTGGACTGCCAGGGGTCTTGCTGTGGGTTACCCGCCGCCTGAAATTTTCTCACAGCATCCGCACAGGTCATGTTATGATGGGTTTGGTGACAGACATGCGACTCCCTTGACAGGTTTCGCAAGGGCCTGATTCTCAAAGGAGCTAGATGTTGTTATCAGCTTTTGCATCTGTGCAAAAAGCCAAGGGGTAGGTCGACATTACAATAGTCTATTATTTCTGCGCATCATATAGACGTCCTGTGCATCGTCTGGTGCCGTGCTTGCCCGATATCCCGCACCATCTATATCGTGAAGATTTGGTCCTTGACGCTTGATTGGCATGGCATGGCATAGCGTTATTCAAATATGGACCAACAGATATCAGGATGTTTACAAACAGATGAAAAGTCTTTATGGTACAACTAAGTGCGGTATCTGATACACTCTATGGACCGTGTGGTTTTCCACTCCTCCCAAACGCAAGCCAATTCTATTAGACATCAACCACCATCTTAGAAGTTCCGGCTCATGTCATTTCTAATTCTTTGGTAGTCGAGGAGACCCTCAATGCTGCCAACAGCGCTAATGGCAATGTCCTGGTCCCACAGCTTCTTGTTGGCAAACTCCATAACGTCCTTCTCGGTGATGCGGTCAATGGTGCGCTCAATCTCGCCAGGGCTCATGCGGCGGCCAGTGGTGATGAGCTGACGGCCAATATCCTCGGCAACGGCGGATGTGCTGTCGAGCGAGAGCAGTATCGAGGCCTTGAGCTGAGCCTTGGCGCGCTCAACCTCGGGCTGGGTTACACTCTGGGAAAGACGGGACCACTCGCGGAGGGTGAAGTGGACAAGATCGTCAAGGGCAGTCAGCTTGTCGGAAACGAGGTAGATACCCCAGAGACTATAGAGATTAGCAAATTTATCCATGTTGCCCTTTTTATTCAAGCAATAACATACCCGGTGTCGCTGTAGCTGGTGGAAAAGCTCATGAAGCTGTTGGCCAGGTCGTTCTGGTGAACGAAGCCGCTGAGCTTGCTACCCTGGTGAGGAGCGCTGCCCATGGCCTTGTCGTAGTTGCCGACAATAGCCTGGGTAACCAGAGCGGTGAAGTAGTCGTCATCGTTCCAGCTAACACCCTCGACGGCAATGGCAATGTGGGCGGCGGGGATGGTGTCGTCACGAACGCGCAGGTCAGATCCGATGAAGGCGGGCTTCTTCTTGGACAGGAGGTAGGCGGAGTTCTGGGGCGAGGTCATGGGGAGACCAGAGAAGTGCTTCTCGGCAAGGTCGACGAGCTGCTCGTGGGGGATACCACCGGCACCAACGAGAACCATACGGTCAGCAGTGTAGTTGGTCTTGATGTAGTTGGTGAGCTCGGTGCGGGTAATGTCGCGGATGTTCTCCTTGGGGCCGAGGATGGTGCGGCCCAGGGGCTGGTGCTGGTAGGCGGTGGCGTGGAGGTGGTCGAAGACAACCTCGTCGAGCTGCTTCTCAACCTCCTCGGACTCGCGCAGGATGACATCGCGTTCCCGCTCAATGGCCGAGGGCTCGAGCTTGGAGTTCTGGAGGATATCGGCAAGGATGTCGACGGACTGAGGGACATCGGCGTTGAATGCCCTGGAGAAGTAGACAGTGTTCTCGCGCTACGCGTGTGTTAGTGAGGAAACGAATTCGTGGTCGAGGAATGGCAGTTCGATTTATCACGCACCGAAGTGTATGCGTTGAGGTGTCCACCCATGTTCTCAATCTCGAGCTCCAATTGCTGCTGCGTCCTCTTGGCCGTGCCCTAGTAAATGTATCAGTCTGATTGCTCGGTGTTTGCGGAACGTCGCTGCGGGTTGTACCTTGAAGGCAAGGTGCTCTAGGAAGTGTGCAGTGCCGTTGGTCTCGTTGGTCTCGGATCTCGAACCGGAGTCGATCCATACACCCACGGTCGAGGTCTGGGCCCATGGCGAGTACTCGGTAGCGACCTAGAGGTCAATGTGGTCAGAAACAGTGATTATCGAAGGGCGGCGAGGCCAATTGGTCGGGAGGCGGCTCACGGTCAGGCCATTCTTCAATGTTGTGGTCTGGGTCTTTGCGCCGGCAGGCGACGAGACGGGAGTAGCGAAGCCTCGCTTCAGGGAGCTCAAGGCAGGGGCAGCAGTTCGGCTGCGGATGCCCTGAGCGAGGTTCAGAGCGAGTCTCCTTGAAGCCATCGCGACGGTGGGATGGGCGGTGGATGGGGCGTGAGATGAGTGGTTTGATGGGAGGTTCGTCACGATCTCGGCTTTTTTGGCTCTCAGCACGGCAGCAGAAAGCTTGCAGGCGAATTGGTGTCAGTGCACTGATCAAATTTGTGATGGCCTAAAAAACGAGGCCGCTGCCGCAATAAGCTGGTCTTGCCGCAAGCCAATTGGCCGGAATTGAAAATCTGCTCGGATGACGCCGGGCTGGAGTCTGGGTCGGCTTTTCGACTGGCACTAAAAAAGCTGTGGCTGATTGTTGTGGCTGGTGAGAATCCACTACATTAGCTTACCCAGTCTAGGTCGGCGGAAGTTGAAGAAAACATGCCGATGCAGAAGAGACGCGAATGAGACACATGAGAACAGAGCTCGAACCACAATTTCCTGCACATGGGACGTCATACAAGACCTCCATTGTGATTGGTGGTGAAACAGCTGTAAGTGCAGCTCGGGAAGCAATGTCTCTCACCCCCGATTCGAGCAAAGCGCTGCTCCAGTGTCGGCTAGGTACGTATGTATGCGCTGTAAGCTCAATCATTCATCAGCTTGTCAGGTTGCAATTAACATTAGGTTCTGCGCCGCTCACGCGTATTTGTATGGGGGAGTTTGAACTATGCACAGGATGAAACTTGAAATGAATTGAATCGTTCCTTATCCTTATTCTTCCCAAACTTGAGCACATACCGAGGCGTGATTGATTAGATTCAATATTTGCAATCATGAGTGACGAAGATTACGATTTCGAAAAGGAGTTCCAGGCCGTCTTCATTCCGAAGCAGAAACCCCCACCTGAACCAAACACCGTCACCGACGATATGGGCGCCACCGTTTCGAGCTATCCACCACTGGGACAAGTGACGCAGCTCAGAAAGGGAAACGTCAAGTTCGTTGTTGTCATAGACGTGGACGAAGCCGATGTCAATGAACCCTGGGAAGCTGCTGTCTGGCACAATGCGGGAACTGGCGAATGGACCGAGACCGCCCTCTCTCGTGTCAATGATGGACCAACCCCAACCTCATTGCAAAGTGAACAGTCCAAGAAAACTCGACTGTACTTTGACTCGAACCTATCTGTATCGACATCACTGGCATTTACCATCAAATTTCGCAACACTGCAGATAAGCCTTGGCGGTGGGTCAAGGACGAGCAGAGCATCGGTGATGGTACCATAGTCATCAACCCGGAGGCTTCATCTGCTCAAGGTCCCGCCGACTTTTCTGCCGTCATCAAGGATCTCAACCCAGATCTAAAGGTCTCGAGCCTCGTAAGCCAGTGTCCAGGTACTGAGCTTTGGTCCATCAAGGCGCCCATCGCCGCCGCAGATGGGGACGCCTCGGCCTATACCGACTTTAGAATAGGTGTACCATGGGGAGGATACCTTGGGTAAGTTATATCTTGAGGCCGCTTTACGCTCCGATCATCAAGTAACTCAAGGCCACGTCCAGATGGTTTGCACTCGTCCGTATTTGGACTCCCTGGCTCGCCCCTCGACATGGCAAGGCAGACTTTAGTCTTGACCAGGACGCTATTATGGTTGCCTTTCTCAGTCCTACTGGTCGTCATTTGGTGCTTCTGGCTGTGAGCGGGATTGATTGTGTCAATGCTGTATTTCAGCATACAGAATCCGGACAGCCCCAGCTACATGTAAGTATGCTATTGCCACTTCAGAGGTGTCGTGCTGACAACGACAAGCTTCGCAATGATGGCGAAGCCGCAACCTCGGGCTTGGTACTTGCGGCTACTGGCAACAATTTCGAAAGTGCTCTTGCTGCTGTCATGTACCAATCGAGGAGTGTGGTTCAAGCAGCCAAGACAGCTAGTCACGAGATGGAGACTGAGCTCCAGGCCCTTCGAGACGGCGTCAAACCTGAATGGATGGAGAACTGGTATGATGGGTTGGGCTACTGTATGTTGAGTGAACCTCCCCTGGCAATGCTTTTCACTAATAGCACTGTAGGCACATGGAACGCTCTCGGCCAGGACTTGACAGACGAGAAGGTGTTCAATGCTGTTGATAAACTAGCAGAAAACAACATCAATGTTACGAGCCTCATCATTGATGATAATTGGCAAGACATTGATTACACCCATGAGAGTCAGTTTCAGCGTGGATGGAAGAGTTTTGAAGCGGATCCCAAGACGTTCCCGAAAGGTCTCAAGGAGACAGTCACGCAGATCCGGTCAAAGCATCCCAACATTCAACACATTGCCGTGTGGCACGCACTGCTTGGTTATTGGGGCGGTATCCACCCTGGAAGCAAACTGGACCAGACTTACAAGACTGTACTGGTCGACAGACAAGACGCAAAGAGGCGCAACTTGCCGTTGGGAGGCCCCATGACTGTGGTCACTCAAGAGGATGTCGGCAAGTTTTACGATGACTTTTATCGTTTTCTCGCCGATTGTGGCATCGACGGCGTCAAAACCGATGCTCAGTTCATGATTGATACAATAGAATCGGCAAAGTATCGCCGCGAGTTGACGAATCCATACCTGGATGCTTGGATGATCTCGTCTCTCCGTTACTTTAGTATCAAGGCAATCTCCTGCATGTCTCAAACACCACACATCCTCTTCTATTCGCAGCTACCACGAAACAGACCTGCCGTGCTGGTACGAAACTCGGACGATTTCTTTCCAGCAATCCCCAAATCGCACCCGTGGCATATCTGGACCAATGCCCACAATAGCTTGCTCACTCAGCATCTCAACATACTTCCTGACTGGGATATGTTCCAAACAATCCATGACTACTCGGGATTCCATGCTGCCGCTCGTTGCGTCAGTGGTGGACCCATATACATCACCGACACACCGGGAGAACACAATTTGGATCTCATCAACCAGATGACTGGACCTACACCTCGTGGGAAGACTGTCATTTTCCGTCCAAGTGTTCTTGGTCGTGCCCTTGATCAATACGTTGGTTATGACGATGACGCGATTCTCAAAGTTGGTTGCTACCATGGCCGAGCTGTGACTGGTACACCTATGCTGGGTGTGTTCAATATCTCGGCGCGACCCCTGACGGAACTCATCCCGCTATCGCGCTTCTTTGGAGTGATTCCTTCCATGAATTACATTGTGCGGGCCCACAGCAGTGGTATTGTCTCACCTGTCATGAAGCCAGATTCAGTTCGCGCACTCCTGCCCGTCTCACTTGAGGTCAGAGGCTACGATATTTTCACTGCATTTCCCCTCACGCAGTTCGATAGCGATAGCCTCGGTAGTGTATATACAGCGAATCTCGGACTTGTGGGTAAAATGACTGGCGCTGCTGCCATAACCACCAGTGAGTATGAGTGGCTGCACGATGGCCGTGTGTTCCTCGACACGAGAGTCAAGGCGCTTGGTGTACTAGGTAAGTACTTGAAGAAGCGGTAACATTACCTGGTGATTAGTGTACTAATGGTGTCATAGGGGTCTACATATCAGTACTTCCCAAATTGACCATTGAAGGAGACTTTATGGTAACCATACAAGGTCAAGCTGTCCCACCTCATACGGTTTCGGTGGACAAGGTAGATCAGCATGTCGTTCGCATCGATATAGAGACAGCATGGAAAGAGATGGATCTCAAGGCAGGGTGGAGCAATGAGGTGGAAGTCAAGGTCTACTTTGCCATTGATCACTGACCTTGTCCGCATTCCAATGTACAAGCGTTGAGCAACTGGCCGAAAGAAGACGGAATACAAAAAGAAGACCGAGAATAAAGTATTTGTCGATTACCAAGCACTTTCCTATTCCGTTCAGATCGCAAAGCCTCTTTGGGTTTAGTGACCAATGCCTAAACCCTCTACCCCGCTACTTAAAGTATTCGTGCTCGAAGAAATCCAATGACGCCCCAGCTCTGCCAGAGGTCCCGCTCATCGTTCTCACATCGCAGTACACACTACAACGGAGGATACAATCGTTATGTCTGCGAAAATCTTCCTGTAAGCATCCACAACTTCATTTTTGAATGTCACACTGACCCAGAAATAGAACCGGCGTGACAGGTGAACTCACAACCACGTTGAAGCCTTGGAAGATGAGCAATCAACTAAGACTGGTATAGGTTTTGTGGGAGGAGAAGCTTTCTATCAGCTTTATTCCAAACACCCAGACTTTGAGTACACGCTTTTGCTGCGAAACGAGGAAAGAGGCAAATTGTTTCTTGAAAAGTACCCGCCAAAGGACAATGTCCATTTGGTTTACGGTAGTCTGGACTCGAAGGATATCATTGAGAAGGCAGCAGCAGACGCGGACGTCGTAGTCCGTAAGTATTTTGTTGCTTAGTGCCTGATATCGCCAGAATTTTACCATTCATCTTCATACAGATACGGCAGACTCTGCAGATGATGAACCATCTGCCCGAGCCATCGCAAAAGGCCTGGCTAGTAGTCATACGGCAGAAAAGCCCGGATACTGGATTCACGTGTCGGGCACGATGCTCATCGCCGGCCTAGACAAGTCTGAAGACGAGAAATTCCGTAGGGACACTTTGCACGATATAGACGACGTCGTCCTCATTACCGACGAGCTACCAGACAAGTGTCCTCACCGTCCAATCGATAAGCTGGTCCTCAATACCAATGGAACCTCTTCAGGAGCCATCAAGACCCTCATCATCTGCCCGCCGACCATATACGGCCAAGGACGCGGACCCGTCAACCAGGGCAGTATGCAGGTTCCAGGCATGACGCGATTCACGCTCACCCACGGCTACGCGCCCATTCTGCCCCCAGGCACCGCCGAATGGGACCACGTGCACGTCAGCGATCTTGGAGCCGCCCTCACATTGGCCGTCGAGGCAGCGACGGACTCATCGAAACGCGACAACCCAGAGATCTTTGGACCGCACGCGTATTATTTCCTCGAGAGCGGCGCACACGTCTGGTCCGACATCGCCAAATTCATAGCAGCCGAGGCCGAGAAGAAGGGTCTCCTGACGGACGAGACCCGGCCGCACGTCCGCGAGGTGACGGAAAAGGAGGTCGGTCATCCCAGCTGGGAGTTGCACTCGCACGGTATCGCGGCGCGGGCGAGAAAATATCTTGGTTGGGAACCCCGGGGTAAGAGTCTACTGGAGACCATCCCCGAGACTTTGGATATTGAGGCGGCCAAGTTGAAAAATAACTGATGCTTGCTGGTTGTGTCTATGCTAGTAGGCCGTCCCGTGCCTAGTTACATAGACTTGAAGATGCCCAAAGAGGCTGAATACGAGTCATCATGGACTTCTTTGTCACAGTGGCGATAGACCTACCAACAGTCTCGGCTAGGCAGTTGGGTTAGAGCTTGTCTCTCATACTATCTTATATGCAAGGGGATAATCATGGATCAGCTGATGAATCATTTGCAAGACGCGCCGCTGGTTCACAGTCGGGCGTTGGGGCGTGCACCTGTGTTATCGCATACAATCGGTGGTTGCGACAAAACTCTATGCTAAAATCAAGGAAGAGTCTCATTCTATCCGAGGATGCTAGTACTTAGCAGTGACTCCATTTGCCTCTATACGTGCGAACGTCCTTGGAGTGATAGTTGCTGGTTCAATACAGAGCTGACCAAGTCCTCCATGGATCGCCAATTGATTCCTAGATCGCGCCCTGCCCGACTGGTATCGGCAACAAGCCTCTGATGGAACGGCGGAGTAAGTTTCAGCTCGAGTTCGGGATATTCCTTCTTGACGAAATCCACCACGTGTTGCCATGTAAAGGCCTGACCCGAGAGGATATACTCTGTCCCGCTCGGCACATTCTTTTCCAAGGCAAGGATAAAAGCCCTGGAGACATCCCTCACGTCGACGCACGTCGGAGGGATCTTGGGCTGCTCCGACTGCAGAGACATCCAGAACAAGGCGTTCATGCCACCAATATCTTGCGCCTTTTGCTGCACTAGGCTGGGACCCAGCACAAATGTTGGGTGGAAGGAAATTGTGGTAAAGGCCGGCTGGTGTTGCTGGTTCCAGTTGCGGTATGCCTGGTGGGCCAGAGTCTTGGAGGCTTGGTACTTGAGGCTGTGGCCAATGAAACCTTCTGGCAACGGCCTTTCCAGGTCGACCGGAATAACTTCGCCCGTGTTGTCTATATCGGAAAAGGTGAAGGTTAATCAGCTTATCACTTACAAGCAAGGGCGCAAGTATAACGTACCAGTCACTGAAAAGTCCGGGGCGGCAAGAGCACCAAGGGGCATAAGCGACAAGACAGACGCCATGACAATGACTTTTTTGATCGTCGTGTGAGATTGAGCGGCCTCTAGAACCGCGACAGTTCCACGCTCGGCGGGCTCGACGTAGTCTGTCTTGATGTCGGAACCCCTGCCGGGCATGGGCGAAGCAAGGTGAAAGACATGATCAATACCCTCCAGAGCACCACGAATAGCTTCGACGTTGCTCAGGTCAGGAATGACAACGAAATCAAGTTGGGAAAGATATGGTGCCAAGAGCTTCTCCAGAGTTTGCTGCTGTTCTGGCTTGCGAATGCTTAAGCGCACACGGCAACCAGCTTTGAGAGCGTCTTGCGCAACATGGGAGCCAATGAAGCCTGTAGCCCCAGTGATGAAAATAGTCTCTGCCGCCATATTGAGCGAGAGCGAGATTAGTTGAGTAGACTAATTGAAATCTAGGTATGTAATGTCGAGATGTCATGCGATGCTGCTGAATCAATGCTATATATAGCCTACAAGAGTGACGCGATCATGCGCATGCATTTAAACAACTCACCATGGCTATCTTCGGACACTTGAAGCTTACAAACCAATTCTGGCAAATTTACGACAACTCGATCTGCGAGACTACACAGAGCCTCACATTCGGGTTTTGCGTGTTCATGGCGTTAGTAGTGTGCTATACTGCCATGCCATTAGCGGATTCTGGGCCTTCACCGACGCGCGTAGTCTTTAGCTTTGTAAGCCCCACGATCATAAATCAAATTAAGGAAAAGCAGGTGTGTCTGTATGAAAATAAACCACAAAATATGGAGTCGAGAATGATATAGGAGACTATATCAGGACAGTTTATTTGGGCGTGTTTTTGGCGGCGGACACCCTTAGGCGTACGCCCGCAGCCCCGCAGCAGTCACCAACCAGTTACCACACGTTTGGCGATCCCGAGGCCCCGTTAAGAATTTGAGATTATGTGATCCCGAGAAATCGCACCCCTCCAACCCATCCCCCTTTGGAAGCATAGTCGCGTGTTGAATTTGAGTTTGATTTGTGAACCAGAGTCAGTAATTGATATCCGTTGCATTTTGCTTATCACATTTCATCAATATTGCCTCATGATTCATCCTTGGCGTCGGCAGTTTGGTGACAGCTTTGCTCGGCTCCGAATGCCACTAAGATGGGCACTACTTGGAACATGTTGGTTATAAAACATGTTTATCCAGGTTCATGAATGCTTCCATTCAGCAAATACAAGAAACGACACAACATTTGTGGCACTGCACTTTATACACCAATCTATCTTGCTATTCAGAAATTTGAAACAATGCCTCTCTGGTTGATATACCACACTGACGACACTTTTGTCGACAATGAATCCAAGGCCGCCTTGTCTCGGGACATAACCAAATTCTACACCAACCTGAGCCTCCCTGCCTTTTATGTCGTGGTCAACTTTATCAAGCTCAACGGCAACGACATGTGGGTGGGCGGAGAGCCGCGGTCGGGCAAGCCGTTTGTTCGCATCACCATTGACCACATTGCCATTCACGTCCCCGACGACGACGCCATCTATCATCGCACCACGGCCCGATTCGACGAGCTTCTCAAGCCCCACGTGGCCGACAAGGGATACAGTTGGGAGTTCCACGTTGACGAGACGGAGCGCAGGCTGTGGAAGGTCAATGGGTTCATCCCGCCTGCTTACAAGAGTGCCGGAGAGCAGCTCTGGGTCAAGGAGAACAAAGCAGTGCCGTATGAGTAATTGCATGCGACTTATTATTGGCTGTTGAAATGGGGCTCCTTTATACATGCCAAGCTGATCAATGGGTTCTATGCTATACGGTAGAGTCTTGGTGTTACTACTGAACCATTTGCTTTCCTCCACCTATCCTTGTCCATGAAAACTAAGAATTCATCTCTTTGGAGATTAAGAGTGGCTGTAATGTGATTTTCCATGATTCTGTGAATAGTTTAGACTATAATCATGACAGTGCAAAGTTTAGTTCTCTTGAAATGACTACACGCAACTATGTGTTGGAAGTATACGTTGTGGATGCATTGCAAGCTTGGATTGAACTGACGCATAAGCGTGGCCATTGGAGCGTATTGAATATGATCGTCTCGCGTCGCACGGGGAGTGCTCCAATGACCAGTAAACATCAATTCTACGACATGGGAAACAATCATGGCCCTGTATCATTACCTACCTAGATAGTCTAGGCTCCCTAGCTGTTGCTAGCTACATTTGGTACCCTGTCACTCTCCTGCACATGTGTAAGCCCTGAGCCTCCGACCACTGAGAGATGCCTCTTGCCAGCCTGCATTAGGCAGCCGCCGAGACGGATAAAGATAATTCATGCCCGGCCAACAGCATTTATGATTATGATTATTTTATCTTTTAATTGTGTCTCCTACGGGCTTCGCATCTATTTACCAATTGGCTAAAGTATCCATCGAGATGAATTCCACAGCCTTGGCCAACTGTGGTGATGATTCGTTCGGCCCCAGCGTCAGCTCCCAGGACTGTCGCGGCGGCTTCGACCTCACCTGTGAGCAAGGCTCCCATCATCTCCACGACCGTGACGCTTCAAGATTTTCTGATGCAAAATAGTGTTATTCGAAGAGAGCATATTGGCAATTTTGCCAGCCGCAATCTTTCTTCTCGTCACGCCCTTTCGCGCTTCTCGTTTGGTTCGCCAAACACGCAAACTAAAGCTCAATGCTCTGTACGCGGCCAAATTATTGGCGACGGCAGTCTACGTGGGCCTACAGCTTACGTTGCTCGTGCTGTCAAGTGACTCCAGCATTCGCACCCACGCCACGATAGCCGCAGCATCCCTGACCTTTGTTTCTGCGCTGATGCTTGCGCCTCTGTCGCATCTCGAGCATGGAAAATCTTCCCGGCCATCATTTCTCATCAGCTTCTACCTTGGGTTTACTGCCATCTTGGATATAGCCCGTGTTCGCACACAATGGTTCCTGCCAAACAATCGCAGCGTCGCTGCAGTTTTGACTGTGTCACTAATTGTCAAATGCCTTCTCTTGACATTGGAAGAAATGGGAAAGCGATCGCTTCTACCCGGCACGAGGAGCGGCAACATCTCGCTTGAAAGCACGAGCGGCCTCTTCAACCGCAGCACATTCTGGTGGCTCAATTCATTATTATTACAAGGGTCCAAGAACATCCTAGACACTGATGCGCTGCCTCCGATCCGAGAGAAGCTTGCATCAAACAGGTTGGGCGAGACCTTGCAGTCCAACTGGAAGAATTGTGAGGCTTTGAACATCGCATAAAAGAAATCAATGCTAAAGAATCATAGGCAATCAGAATAGAAGACACGCTTTGGCCTGGGCGTGTACCTGGGGGTTTCGATATGAGATAATGTTGATTGCGGTTCCCAAGTTTTGCTACGTCGCACTGAGTCTCAGTCAGACGTTCCTGATTCGGCAAATGGTCACATGGGTCCAGAACAGCGATGCTGCCTCCTCGAATAACACCGGCTATGGTCTAATTGGTGCTTTTGCCTTTGTATACATTGGTTTAGCTGTGAGAAGACCAGCACGAAATCCAAACTTCAACCGGGCTAACTATCCAATATTAGTTGACCATGGGCTGGGCATCGCATCTGACCTATCGTTTGATGACCATGATGCGCGGTTCGCTCATCACCATCATCTATGACAAGATGGCAACGCTCCCAATGGCTAGCAGCAATGACTCGGCTGCGATGACCTGTAAGTAGATGCCAATATGCTGTATATAATAGCAAAGGATCCACTTCTAGGGAGCCAAACGTGCCCAGTGCGAAGAATGACACGCAAGCTCCTTGCCCTGATACACTAGCTAACTCAAGTTCGTACAGTAATGGGAACAGACGTGGCAAGAATTGCAGAGACATACAATTTCTTGTTGATTGACGCACCCCCAGCTCTCGTTCAACTTGGAATAGCGCTGTATCTGTTGTACTCTCAGCTAGGTGCAGTGTGTATCGCCCCCATTATCGTTACAATTCGTGAGTAGCCTAGGATCCACGCCATCTTTGGTCTCATCAAGCGTGATTAACAGTACATCCAGTCTCCACAGGACTCTCAACTCAACTTGCTGGACTTATTGGACCACGACAAAAAGCATGGATCCAAACCATGCAAAAGAGAATCAACTTTACATCCGAGATTTTGGGATTCATGACTAATATTAAGATGCTCGGACTTGCCAATAAAATGGCCTCCAACATTCGCGATATGCGACAGGATGAGATGGAAACATCAAAAAAGTTCAGAACAGTACAGAGTCTAAATATTTCTTTAGGTAAGTAGGTTCGTTCATACATGGTTGTGTGTTTGAAATTTAATCACTTTTCAGTCAACATCCCACCAAGCTTCAATCGATTTTTCATCTTTGCGGCTTACGCAATAGTTGCTCATGTCAACGGTACTGGCGATCTGTCAGTAGCACAAGCGATCACGGCTTTGGCAGCTCTGTCACTGCTTAGCACTCCATTGTCGACGCTTCTTGTAGCAATACCGACAGGTTGGGGTGCCCTGAGTTGCTTCACTAGGATTCAAGAATTCCTTGTCGAAGAGTCGCGCATTGACCCGCGATCGACATACTCTGCCATGTCAGGAAGCTGGGAACAAACAGAGACTCAGCCCAGTAACAGTCTGCTGCAGGCCGCCAAGATCCGCGTGAATCATGCGAGTTTCGGCTGGTCCGCCTCAAAGCCGGACGTCGTGAGAGATGTCACCAGTTCAATCAAAGGTGAGGCGGTGCTAACCATTGTCATTGGCCCGGTCGGCTGTGGTAAGTCTACTTTGCTCAAGGGCCTCCTTGGCGAGAGTGCCCGAGCCTCAGGGTCGGTTCATGTCTCGTCGCTCGAAATCGCCTACTGCGACCAGACGCCATGGATCAGCAACTGTTCAATCCGTGAAAACATCATTTTCGGCTCCGAGTTTGATGCAAACTGGTACAATACTGTACTTCAGGCTTGTACGCTACACGTTGATGTAGCCGATATGCCAGGAGGCGATTCGGTTATTGTAGGCAGCAAGGGCGTCAAGCTTAGTGGAGGCCAGAAGCAGCGTTTGGTGAGTTACAAACGACACTTGATACTCTTTGTGGTGGGAAGATATCCTAAGATTGGCTACCTAGTCAATCGCTCGTGCTCTATACTCCCGAAAGAAACTCGCAATACTTGATGATGTGTTCAGTGGCCTAGATTCAGCTACAGAGGATTCGGTTTTCCGAGGCGTGTTTGGGCGAGATGGCCTTTTCAAGAAAATTGGGACAACTGTCATCTTGGCCACACATTCTGGTGAGTGCGAGAGCTTTCTAATGCATGCTTTGCTTTTTAAGTTGACCGTCAATAGTCAAGCATATTCCCCATGCCGACTTCATTATTGCTCTGAATAGCTCGGGAGAGTTGGTCGAACAAGGCTCCTTCATCGAGCTAAATGTTCCTGGAACGTACACATACGGTCTTCAGGTAAAGGTTGAGCGGGGTCTTGCTGATAAGGAGCACGGCAACAAGGAGACTGTCACAAACAATAAGCCCGAGGCCGCACCTGCGACCAAAGAGAGCGCTTCAGATGAGAGCCGCCAGACAGGTGACTGGACAGTATACAAATACTATATGCAGGCACTGGGTCCCATGAAGTTGTTAATCTTTGTGCTCCTAGTAGTCTCGTATTCCGTGGTTAATGCCATGGGAAGTGAGTCCCGACGCACGCCTGGCCAAGCTCAAGACTTTGCTAATCATATACAGGTGTTTGGGTTAATTGGTGGGCATCGAGCAACGAGACCAGTACTGATACAAGACTCGGATACTGGTTGGGAATCTTTGGATTCCTGAGTTTCATGGAGGTGCTGCTCATGACCGCTGCAATCGCGTACGTGGATTTATTACTTTGTGATTGCCAGAGCCAGTATGCTAAAAGTCACAGCTTCCTATGGATCGTCATTGTCCCGAACTCCGGATCTTCCTTGCACAAGGCACTACTTGGAGCTGTAATGAGGTACGATGGTGCAAATTGCGCATCATGAAGCGCTACTAAACAGTCTCTAGTGCACCACTTTCATTCTTTTCCAAGACTGACACAGGAGTCTTGACGAACAGGTGACAGTCTTCGATATGTATCACAAGATACTTGGACTAATATTATTGTAGGTTTAGCCAAGACCTTCGCCTTGCTGACATGACTCTTCCTGGATCTATTATCAATGTCACCTTCCGTGAGTACTCAACTCCTTTCGATCAAATCACTCACTCATTACTGGTCAACAGAGTTCGCAGGTTGCGGTGTCGTGATTGCACTTGCTGTCTCTGCTGTTGGCTACTTTGCTGCGGTCTTACCGTTTATACTCGTGACGCTGTACTTTATTCAGAGATTCTACCTCCGAACATCTCGACAGTTGAGATTGCTCGAGTACGTAAAGCAACCCGCACGATCCAAAATAACAAGAGCTTATTCATGTTCAGGCTAGAGGCAGCGGCGCCACTTTTCACACACTTTACCGAGTCTTTGGACGGTTTGACTACAATCAGGTCCTTTGGGTGGACTGCCGTCTTTGCAGAAAAGAGCCGGCATTTACTTGACCGTTCGCAGAAGCCGTATTATCTCCTCTTTTGTATCCAGAGGTGGCTTGTTCTCGTGCTGGACCTGATCGTGGCCTGTCTCGCTATTATACTTGTTGGCTTAGCTGTCGCTCTCCACACCCGCGTGGACCCTGGATTGCTGGGTATTGCCTTGGTCAACATGATATCGCTCTCACACTCCTTGACGAGCCTTGTGCAATATTGGACCATGCTTGAAACCTCGCTTGGCGCCATCGCGCGGATCAAGAACTTTGCCGAGGAGACTCCGGCGGAGAAGTCGCCCTCCGAGCAAAAAAGGGAGCCCAGTGCAACGTGGCCCGAAACTGGCGCTTTGAGGTTTCAGCATGTACATGCAAGCTACAGGTAGGCAAGCCTCATGTAACGCCATAAGCTTTACGGTTGGTCTAGTGCTAACACGCAGAGTCGTATAGCGAAGAATTGTCGCCCGTCATTCAAGATGTCAGCTTTTCCATCAAAGGGGGCGAAAAGCTCGGCATTGTGGGAAGGACCGGAAGGTGTGTTCAAATTTCTCTTCCCTCTTTCAATTGAAAAAGCCCAAAGAAAGCTAAACTGACCAATTCATAGCGGCAAGAGCTCATCAATACTTGCTATCTTACGTATGATCGATGTGGTCTCTGGTGAAATTATTCTTGATGACATCGACCTTGCGGGCGTAGACGGATCCGTTATTCGACAGAAGCTAAACTGCTTGACTCAAGACCCATTCTTATTCCCGGGTACGCTGCGGGACAACATGAAGCCGGTAGATGAGGTGACGGATGAAGCGATCATCTCTGCCTTGCAGAAAGTTGATCTGTGGACGCTCATCGAGAACAAGGCTGGCGACAACGTTTCGGCGGGATCTGGCGTGTTGGACTACACAATAGATAAGGATTTCCTCTCCCATGGCCAGCGCCAACTGTTCTGTCTTGCCCGGGCCATGCTCAAGCCTGGTAGGGTGCTGATCCTAGATGAGCCTACCAGCAGGTAAGGCACTTTCAGCTCTAAGATTTCTGGCTAGCATCTTCAGACTGTGCCAGAACCATACAAAACGACATACTGACGAAAATTTCTAGTGTTGACCTCGAGACAGACGCCAAGATGCAGGAGATTATCCGCGCCGAGTTCAAGGATCATACTATTATCGTGATTGCCCACAGGTTATCTAGTATACTGGATTTTGACCACGTTGCGGTGCTAGATGCGGGTCATCTCGTGGAATTTGGAAAGCCAGCAGATTTGTTAGAAATTCCCACTAGCAATTTCACCAGGCTATATGGTGGAAGGGCCCAGTGAAGAAGAGGGCACAGAAGATACTAGTTGTTCTTGGCCGATTATGTCACTATCATCCTGTTGCACTGACATAGTCAATACCCACCGCAGATCACCTGCCCAGGTAAATTAGCTCCTTAGCATCTCTATTTTGTACATCGTAGATCAACTAAGACATCTTTCTATACTTATAAAATCACATCTTCCCCCTCACACATTGGCTCAGGTGAGACCAATGTCGTAATCTGGTACAGGCGACAGTGTCAAGCCATTCTGGATCGCTGAGTACTTCGGAACTCTATAGATGACGGTGTTCAAGTAAGGAACGCTGGCAAGCACGGAAGTGACATCCTACTCATGTCTTCGTTTGTCTAATTTTGAATAAAATTATTCATATTATGTTTTACATGAATTGAGCATCGACTATACATCAAGAGATAAATTACATCAAGAGATAAATAAGAAGCCAAGAACGGTCAATACACTTCAACTAGTGACTTGCATTTCCCCCGACGACTATCCCAGCATTCGCTAAAGCATGGCAACAGGCGTAATGCGCAATACATTCCGCACAAGCCCGCATCAGATGGCATTTAAGGTAATTCGCCCCTTTCAGGACTGTCTCGCCAGCCAACGCCCCAGGTGCTTGTATATTGTAATGAAAGAATGCCTGGCAACGCATACAGCGCGCTCTAGGCTGGAAGCCCGGACATGTCAGAGGCACGGCGAGCTCGTGCGGATGATTGGCGTTGTGAAAAACCCTGAAGGCGCCGCGTAGGTTAATGACGCCCTGACGGGCGTTGGTGCGGGCGGCGAAATTAGTTGGGACCGGGAGCGCGGCAATGGCATTCTGGTAATCGAGACGGACTTGAAGAGATTCCGCCGTAAGCCCCATGGGGTCCCTCATGCCGCCGACACCATTCCAGTTGAGCCGTCGCAGTGGCTGTCGGCACGCCCTGGCCCAGTTTTGAAGAGAGCTAAAAGATCCCCATTCGTCCTGTGATGTCGTGATGACAATCGTCGGTACTTGTCCTACTGCGCCTCCGTTGGAGCCCGTGCAGACAAATACGGTTTTGGCGATGCCCTTGTTATAGCAGTCCCACCATCCGTTTATGGCAGGCCCTGCGGGGCGAGGAAGGTTGGCGAGGTTCATGGCCTGCGCAAGAGCAGTGAAGGCGGCTGACGAGACGGAGAGAGAGGCCATCAGCAGCTGATACGTCGTCGAAAGTGGAGGGAACTTCAGACTCACCCATGTTGTTGCAGTTTGGGTTCCTTGCTACAATTCTGCACAGGAGCTCCACGGTGCCGAGTCCAGACTGTGGCGGCGTTGGCACACCCGGCGCGTTTGTATTGTCGAGGTTGTTGAGATAGTTGTTATAATTCGGATCTAGCAAAACGTTGGCCACGGTCATGCCCTGCAGATGACTGGTGGCGACAAGCGTCGCGAAAGTTATATTCTGCATGTTGGCCACGAGCGCGCCGTATGCGACCACAACGGCGGGTGGTGCACCTCCGGCAATCAGCAGTAGAATAGCACCTCTCACAGTGTCGAGAGCGAGATAGTTCAAGTAGATCAACATCTTCACCAGCTCTGGGCCATCGAGGGCTGATCCCACAAGCGGCGGTGCTCCGGGCCCAGCAGCGCCCACGTTGTAACATGCCTGGATCGCATTGAGGGCATCCCGAGACAGGACGGAGAGAGTTTCCGCAGCAGACTGTGCTGCCGCGTATTGCCTTAGTATGTTTCCAAAAGTGAGTGTCTGCTGGATCTGATGTCTACCAGGAGCAAGATTGACGTGGTAACGCCCTGGCTCTGACCAGACAGGCATGTCTACAACAATGTGTATAGGGCAAATGTGGATAGATTGATAGTGGGTTACAATGAATCAGAACAAAAGCGAGAGCTTTGTATCCTGCTGAAGAGCAGGGAAGGAAGAAGATCACGTTGAGCAAAGACGTAGGGAGTGTCTAATGCGGCGTGATAGCAAATATGGCGAATCGTGGGCGTGGCACTGCAATATAGAACGATGCTTCACAACTACATGGATATCCTCTAGATAGCCCTGTACACCAAGAGATTTGGTCTCATGCTAATCACCGCGTGATAGCTTTAGATGACCAAGACGCCGTTACTGTGTCTATGAGATGCTCGATCCGGAGCTGAGCGTCACACGCACAATTAAGGCGGTAAGCCTTATTGGGTTCTTCAGCTCACCCCCTGTTTTTGAGGGTTGATACATATTCACAACCGATGTGTTAAGATCATCAAACGAGGTTCGAGTTTCAGCTCACCACGTCTACATGGCATTTTTGTTAGTTGCATTTTACATGGTAAGATGTGAATGACACGCTGGGTAGAGACAAAATACCCCGGGAGTGAGTTTAAGCCAGGGATCTTTCAGACCGCCAGGGGATATGTCTAGGGGGGCGATGTGCCGAATTGGAGGCGTTTAGCCAGCCACAGTTCCTCCACCCCCGGACCGTGCCGTCATCGGCATAGCGGCGTGACCATTTTCATCCAAGGTGACGTATTTGGAAAGTGCCTTATGGGACAGATTACTCTATGCGGACGATTTTTTTACGTGACTACCGAATAGATGCATGACTAACCCGATAGTCTTTGCTAGCCCGCGAGAACCTTCAAAAGCCACAGCGCTTAATAGTCAACGGCAGTTTTCTTCGTTCAAATGGACTGAAACTTGTACAGAACTCAATCTTGTTCAGCCAGCCATCTGGACAAACCTTCAGGAGGAGGATTCTAATGTTCAACAGCAATTTGCCGCGCGATGTATTGATTTACTAGTCCAAATTCGCTTATATAAGCAGGAGTATATTGCTGTCAACACTCTTTCTACCATGTATGTTCCATCAACTCCACATCATCCAGAAAGCGCACGTAGGTACACAGGGTTGTTCTTAGTACCAAAATCAAAATGGCTTTCAACATTCTCCAAATCAAAGCAACACCGCAATTCAACACGCTTAACAGCAACTACACCAATGCCCTTCCCAAGAACAAGACCAACATCATCTGGGCCCCTGGAAACAACGCTCAACTGGAAGAATCTACCACGGGTTCCAACCGTTGCGTCACATTTCAACTCACAAGAGAGCCTGTGAGTGGACAATGGGCGCCCGTGCCAATCCTTGTCAGTGGCATCGCTCCGGTGATCGCGACCTGGTACGTCCCACCGAATCAGGGGCCTCCCGCTACTTTCAAAGTCCAGGTCAAACTTGATGGGCGAGACTGGATCCTCTCCACCGACGATATCCAGGTCACTTCCCCTACAGCGGTTAGTATCGAGACCAAATCTATGAGAGTTCTGCAGCAGGTCTTTGATATTCCTATGCGCATCAGTGGTGATTGGACATGGGCAATCCAACGAACTGACAAGACAGGATGTAAGTCGAGACCCTATCCGTGGGGGGGTGTAAGCCACACCTGAATACTAACCATAAGTTTGCAGTCCCTGAAGTTCTGATGGCAGACAAGACCCGTCTCGAGGTTTGTTTCGTCTTCGGTGCTCTCGCTCCTACCGGGCCATGGGATCCGGATGCACTAGACCCAAGCCAACCGACCCGGCCAGATTTCAAGGACAAGTACTACATTGACCTCTTTCGGCTCTTCTTGCCTTCGCAATGGGAGCTTATTGATGAGCTTGGCAGAGGTAAGAGTGTGGATGACCAACTGGCCTGGTATCTCAGGCGAAACATGAAAGTCATCTGGAGTCTGGGCCTGTCCGAACAGCCCTCGGAGTTCCCAAAACGGCGCCCTACGCTACTCAGCACGGCAGGCCTCATGGGCCCTAGCAGCTTCTATCTTGTCCCGGTACCCGGTCTCGCCACTGGCGAAGGCGCAGCTAGCTTCAACTCGCAGTTTGGTGGCCTTTTTGACCTCCCCCGCTTCATGAGCAACTCCTTTGGGTACTGCACGGCGCTGGATCTAGCCGCACTCGTGCAGCTCTGCGTCAGCCTGGTGCGTGACGGCGATGGTAAGGAACTCCTTGACTCCCATTGGGTGGCTAGCACTGGCAACAAATCTCTCGGTGTGCACCATTGGGGTTACATCAACCCAGGCACCTTATTTGGCTGGCCAGGCTACCCGGACTGCAACTCGCCGGTGTTTTCTGGCGGGGGTCTCCCGTCGTACCTGAAGCCCGAGGCCTTTTCCATGAGAAGGCCGCTCGACTGGCATGCGTGGATCGAGGTCCAGTTTCCCGGATCCAATACGAGGACCGTATTGGATGCTTCGCAGGCCTTTGGATCCCCGGGCAACTTGCAGCTCGTGGATGGCAAGCTCTCAAGAGAGGCATACCTCAATCTCAAGATGGATCCAAGTTGGCCAAGTCCGGCTCGTTTGCCGCCAAGAACACCGGCTCGGCGTAACATGGATGCAGTCTACTTTTGTAAGCTCTTTACTCCCATCTCCCATGTACTATTTGTGTCGACCCTTGACGTTCTTCTCCACTCCCATTGTCCCTTTGGACGGAGGAATTTCAATACTCTCAAGTGGCTGACTAGATCATCCGTCCATTAGACTGGTCGCCCCAGACCCAGCCATTTCGGATTGGCGTCTTTGGGATCTCCGAAACTGGCAGACTTATGTCAGCGGCTTGAGGCGCCAAGGCTGAAAATCTTAGCCTAAGGAGGCTTTGCAGATATGTACCGTATTTGGACAGCGCATAAGGAAAGGAGGGAACTAGGGGTCATAATATATCATATTTACTTTGTCGCACCAAACCACTGCACTAGCTGAATAAACTGTAAAGCTCCACACAAAGAACTAGCCTAATAGTGGATATGTATACGTTCAACAGACTTATATCACTTTCAATTCAAAGGAACACTGTTCAAATACACTGACCAATGCAAAGTTTAGAATGGAGTGCCCGTGCTCTTATGTGATGAACTAGCGAAGAAATATATAATAATATATCTCTTCAAGATTGTCAAATGACCAGAGGTCAAAAGTCGAAAGTGATTTATTGTCAGGGAAAAATTGTCTTGGTCAAGATGCCGCACCAAGTTACGAGTATGATGATTGCAAATAGAACAAGTCCATTAAAGGGATTTAAGTAGACCACACGATAGATACTCTAAAGCCAAAACAAATGAACACGGTCTTGGGAACTTCTCCATCAGGAAACGCCCATGAGTTCCTCGGACACATTAATTTCCAAGATTCCCAAACGTTATCTCACCTGAGCCAAAATATGAAAGCGAAGATGTGATCGAAGGAGCCTAAGAAGGATGTCTGAGTTGGCCCTACGATCGACAAAAGAGAGGGTCCTAATATACCCAATCAGGTGAATGGCTATGTCAGTGCAACAACTTCTCACCCAGATTGCGCGGGATTCAAAGCTCTGCGAACATCCGCATCGGGTGCTGGCTGAGCCACGACCGGGGAATTCGCCTTTGTCGAAATCACCGTTCTCTCGACGTCAGCTAAATTAAGCTGGGGCGACTCAAGCCTCCACATCCTGACATTGGACATGATCATGGCACTGTCAAAGTCGCTGCCCGACGTGAACAGAACGGGCTGGTCTGGGTCGCCAGGGGCGGACTCGACCTGGCACCCCACGTCGGGGTCAATGGGGGCGCGGTTGTAGATGAGCCAGACGGATCTCTCTGCTGCTATCGCGTCCATGACGACGGCATAGTTTGTCGGTTGCAGCGGCCGTTGGTCAGGATTAATGTCCGTCTGGGGCCTGTCGGCCTCGGGGATCTCACCAATGTCCCGGATATCGTGAATAAGTAGTCTGCCCAAGACGACGACGTAGCGGGGAATGTTTCGGCTTGCTGCATCTTGCGCTTGAGACTTGAGTTCCACAACTAGGGGATGGCCCCTTGTGGTGGCGGACTCGGCTGTTGTGAGCTGGGGCTCGTCATCATCGTCATCAATGGGAACGAAGGGGCCCATGGACAAGGCCATATCGTCGGAGCCGACCATGAACTTGTACTTGCTGTCCTGTGCAAGGAGGATCACATTCTGGAGGATGTGGCCGAGCGCATGGCTGAGCTCGGTCATGGAGTTGAAGTCCCCCACGGAATTCTGTTGAATCATGGCCAAGACTTGTGCAGGCTCGTATTTCGGTGGCTTCGCCGGGCCCTGATTGATCGACCACAGCATATACTCTTGAGGGTCGACGTTGTAGTTGGCCAAGCGCTGGACGAAGGCTTGCATTCCTCCCTCTGTGACAAGCTACCTCATTAGAACTTGTCGACGACGATTGTGTGAATAAAAATCTGCTTTACGAACCATCAAAGATCGTGCCCACATCTGCACGAACCTGCTCAAAGAAGGGATTGGGCTGGCTCATCGCGTTAGGTTCTTCTTGGTTAATGATAACCTCGGTACCTTCGGTAATTGTTATTGGAATGCTTTTGGAAGATTGAAGTACAAATGAATTGTTTGTTCTTTTCGGCTGGAAGTGAAGGAGAAGAAGAAGAAGAAGAAGGAATAATCCAACGAATATGGCAGATGTGGAGCACGCGGCAAACGACCGGGGGCGAGAATCACCCTAGGTGTGCGCATAGTACCACCGTTGATCTTATTGATTGCCTGCACAATGTACGTGATATAAGGATTAATCAGGGTTCGAAAATAAATGACCCTTGTACAAAGTATAGTAAGTTATTCGGTAGTCTTAATATCCATGTCACTGTATACACACTATCAATAAATCTGACTGGATGAATCATTAATACGCATGCGCGCCGTTGACTCTCCATGGCAGATGTGGGGTTCCAGGCCCAGCCATTAGCCGTCGTTACAAGGTTTCTATAGTCCCCTGAATGCAACCATCACATCTCACTACTGGCGCTAGCCAGGCAAAGCGGTGAAGCTCCACTATGGTCAGCTAATAGGCTATTAGAATGATATAATAGATGCTTTGCAACAACAACCCTCAATGAGTCTAACAGTTAGGGGATGTGGCTACCTGAAGGCATGGATTTGACGGAGTCGCCGCCGACTTGTCACAACAATTCAGATCACCACTTTCATCGAGTTCAGCCCTCCTCAGCCTGTTAACCCCGTATGTTGACTTTGCCTCACGCCCAATCATGTCATTAAGCCGGGCCTCAAGATTGCGTGTCAACCCAAAACTCTCGGCAATAGAAGCTCATTTCACTGAAGATCTGAGGCCGTTGACGTTTATTGGCGAATAAAACATCACATAATGAACCAGGATATGAAAAAATGTGACCAGCTGGACTGAATTGTGATTGACCGAGATCCAAAATCGTGGCCAGCTGAACAAATCAAATAATGAACCAAGATGTAAAACAATGCGACCATCTGGACTAAATTGTGATCAACCGAGATGTAAAATCGTGGCAAGCTGAAAAATGTGAGACCGAACTCAGAGAAGAACGCGGCACGGACAAGTTCGACGTATCGAGACAACGGCTCCCAATCAGTATAGTGTGCAGACTCCATCGGGGGCACGCAGCCAGCCACTCCATGACCGAGCCGACAAGAGTTCAGACCGAGATATAATCACTCAGTATCTTGCTTATCCAGGACCATTGAAGCGATGTGCAAGGAGTATTTAGTCGCGACTCCAGCTCGTGAACCTGAACGAATCTTTCTCTCTTCTCTCTCACAGACAATCATCTTACTCCTGCTCTTGTAAAAGACCTCTTCACACACCTTCTACTTATCAATTTCTTCACAAACCAAATTCTTCAAAATGGGCTCTTACTCAGTCACCATCCAGCTCGGTAAGCTTTTCTCTCAAGAACACTTCAATTACCCTAAGCACATAACACCTTGAATTTTCTTTCTAACAAATTCCCAGACAATGCCTGGATTGATAACTTCAACAAGACTGGCATGAAGTTGTGTATGGCAAAGGCTACCAAGGACTCCAGCGGCAAGGAGTACTTCAACGTCATTGCCAAGACAGTTGGTATGATACCTAGATGGTTACTTTCTTCGCAACCTAGACCCAGTTGACTGACAGCCAGATACGATTGCTTGGATTAGACAGCGTTCAACCCCAAATGACCATTACTTGGGTCGAGGAGTACAAGATCGAAGCAACTGCCATTACTTTCAGCAAGGGCGGTAAGTACACAAAACATACGACCTTCTTTTCATCGTCATTAGCTAGTCATTTCGGCAGCTGGTGGCGATATCTCCTCTGGAAACGTCCGAGGCGCTGACTACTAGACAGCCCAGATCTCCGGCACGGCCGGGGCTAAGGACATCAACTTTGGCCAGACCTACCAGATTCAGAGCTGGAACAAGACTCAGGTGTTCATGGATACCCAGAATGTGGAGAAGGATTCCTTTGGCTTTGCCAACAACATTCCCTGCTCCATCATGCTGAGCATGAAGGACGGCAACAGCTTCGTGCCCGTGTACATCTCCGAGGAAGTCGTCATCCCTGGCATGACCACTCTCACCCCGATCCCAAAGGTGGTCTTTTGGTTCCAGAAGACTGTCGCGTCCCAGACCATGATTGTCAACACTTCGGGTACGCCCTGGTACGTCACGCCCACTGCGGGCTCCAACTCCACCATCAAGTATGACAAGAATGGAGTCTGGAGCCAGGTCCTTCAGTGAGCTTGTCGCCGAACAGCGGCAGATTATAGCGATCAGCCGTGCGCATGGTGAAGACGTGGGTGCTGAGTTGAGTTTCGGGGGCAGTCACTCATTTTTTTCCCAGCCCCTAGACTGTAGATCCAGAGACTTTGACATCATATAATTTAAATATATTTCTATTATATTTAAGAATGCTGGCTTTACAGTCACGATAACTTGTGTGCGTGTATTGTGAAAAGTTCAACGAATCGAATGACGAAAATGTGAAGAGTTTACCACCTGCATCACGCATGCTCGAGTCGAGAAGTGAGGCGTGGAGGAGTTGAGGTCTTGAGTCATTAGATATCTTGTAATTTGCTCGTACACCTAGCGCGGGTTCGGTAAGTATTCTGGGACCAGTTTCTCTCGGTGATCTGATACAATGTCGCAATATGCATGACAAAGGCGAAAGCGAGATATTGCCCGACCTGAAAAAGTCACCGTGTCCATAAAAGCACTAGTCATGATTCAAGTTTCTCTTTTCTGTCCTATCCCACTACGTGCTTCGCTCACCATTGTTCATGAATATGCTGGGTTTTCCCATCAACAGCCGGCGACCTTCCATCCTCGGTGATCTGGAACTCTGTCGATATAATAATCCCGCCTTCTGGCTTTTGAGACGACACTTTGCCTTGTTCCGTCAGGTCCTGCAGATTGACGTCCGTGGTCCTGCCAAATATAAACTCCTCGCTCGCACTCTGGGAAATGGTAATGGTATGTGAGTGCTTCTTCGCTATCGACGACGGCTCGCGGCGCCGGCTGGTGGTGTTTCGAGATCGAGCTTCACTACCCCCAATGGTTTTGAACGTGTGGTGCTTATTCGACGTCTTGTTGGATGAAAAGACGCTTCCAAAGAAGGGCCCTAGCCAGGCTCTTAGGAGTGGGAATAGTAAGGGCAGGTTGGTCGTGACTACCGAGGTGAAGGCCTCACGCGTACCCCATTCGCCGGATAACTGTGCACCGTTGACCGGGTCCTGTAGTTTTACATATACTTGATTAGAGAATTGTACGTATTCCAGAGGAGAAGCAAGGAAATTAACGGGCATAAAACAACAACATACTATCTCCACAAATACAGTCTTGAGCAGTGAGCAGACTAGTACGAATACACCGGCACCAAGCACCAATGTAGAGCCAATCTTCTTGGCGATCTTGAGCGTGGTCCCCCACAGCATTGGTAGTGGGATCATCATGAGATAGAGATCCGTTACAACGCTAGAAGAGAAAGTTGTCCAGACTATAGGGTCCGCTATGGCTCCTTGACAAGAGTCTGGGACCAGGTTATTACGCGAGAAAGAACCTCATGGAACAAGGCAAAAGGGATAGTTATACGTACTGCCTGGATCGGGATTGATCTGCCAGTATTTCTCGAGGGGCCGACAGCCAGCATATATGGCGATTATGGACGCCAAGAACGTGGCTCCAACCAGGCCAAAGCCAATCCATATATGTATGCGAAAACGACGGCCGAGTCCTTCCTTTACAAAACGACAACACGTTAGCGGGCCATGGAGGTAACCATATTTTCCGAGTTGAAGCCTTACTGTAAGTCGCACGTAGAAAACAAGGACTGCCATTTTTAATGTGCATATTAGACAGCAGTACGTGGTCCAGCCAACTCTGGAATGAAAAATGTTAGCCATTCGCTCTGCAACCCCGTTTCTAGGTGAATCATTCCGAGTGCGCATGAAAGAAGCGTCATGGAGCAGGGCTAGACCAATCTACGCTTGAGGTACTTACACTTGTATCTTGGAACCAAACACTCTCAGAGCAAATTCGACCGAGTCAGGATCCAGAGCTGCCCTTTGGGCGTCGGTCATGGAATTGTTGGCTAGCCCCTGCCCGTAGTTGACGGCAAACCAGGCCAGAGTCGACTGCGTCGTGTAGAGAACAATAGCCAGCCACACAATGTAGTCGTCTGCCCGTAGGTCCTTGAAACCCACAGTTTTGATGCGAGAATACGTCCTCAACACCGTGACGAGAACCCCAAACGAGTACAGCGTCCATAATTCCGTGTTAAAGGCACGTGTGGCAGCGGCAATGGCCGCAGCCTTTGCGGCCTGGGCCTCTGGGGATGTTTCTGACATTTGCGATCGGCGTCGAGTGGGTAAGTAGCTAATCGGGATCGAAATATGACAGAAGATGTTGACCAGATCGAAAGGTCAAGAAGGGCAAAGATTGACAGACCATCGGCGGGACTCCATTTCATCCTTTGACAGATCTGGGGACTTGAAGTCTTGTATATGCTGTGAAGACGGCCTCATCTTGTTAAAGTTTGCCAGCAAACGTATCAGATAGTTTCATCCTTTCCCCATAGAGCCAATGAGGGTGCCAAGTTAGTTGCAACTTCGGTAGCCAGGTTCGCTGGTCGGATTGAAAAGCCGGGCAAAACAAGGCATGCTGGTTAGTTGTTCGTACATGACAGGCATGAGCTAGCGTAACGGCTGCAATGAAACAAGGCAATTACAGAATTCAATAGCCACCGCAGTTTGAATTAGTAGAGGACACCAGCAGGGGTTTTGGAAAAGCATGCCTATGCCGAATGGTATCAAAGTTGTTCAGACCAGCAGCAGGGTTTATAAAACTTGATATCATTGCATAGTCTATCCATGTCCACAAGTCTGTTGACTTTGCAGCCTCAGTGATCACTTAATCACAAGTCCTGCATATATATTCCCCGGAAAGTTTACACATTCAAGAAATGTGGCTGCAGCGAGTGCGGACGGTCGATTCGGCAGTGGCGTCAACGATCAGCAGTTTCCGCCTCCGATGCAATGACACTCTAGTGTACCTGAATTATGTACATTGTATGCCTGTCGCGTGGTTTTGAATGCATCAGGGTTCTGATTGTCCCTCGAGCCAAGATTGCAGGCATCGTGCATTAGGCACTAGGAGATTTCACGGAGCCTCCCACGTGGTAGCATTCCCAGAAACGACTCAGTCCCAATCGGGGGTTTTGAGGCCTAGAATCGTAAGATGGCGATTCATGCAATGTCGCATCAAGTGAACGGGTCCCTTTGGCTCCGACCCCCGGGCAAGGTCCTCGATGTAAGTGAAAATGGTACGCTGCTCGATTGAACTTTTTGAATAAGCAATCAATTGTCAGCGGATCACCCAAACTCCAACGAGCCATGGCATGAGAGCTCAGCTTGTGTTAGGATTTATTACAATACAAAAAGAAAGCGAGGCATTCGTGTACTCTTGGGCCCTTTTGTTTTGCCAAGGGTATACTTATCGCACTGGCCGCTAGTCTCGATCAAGGCCCCGATGTAATCGTACAGGGATTGCTGTTAAGCTTGTATGCAGCTTGCGCAGGGTCAACAACCAGGGACGGCATAGACAATCATTTCCGCGACTGCGTCCCTTCTCCACGTGGGACCCTGCCAAAGCGACAAAATAGGGTTCATGCTGCTCGCTGAGAGGAGGTCTAGGCCCGGATACGGGGTTTAAACGAAGCGATACAGGATAACCGGCTGGCAAGTTGTGAAGCTGAGGAGACTAGAGGCAATGCATCACACGATGAGGGGAGCACCCGCATGGCCACACTAATTCACGCTTTGGGGTTGCTGTCTTGTACTTAAGAGACGACTTCGTTATCTGCCTTGTTGATGTTTCTCGGCTGCATGCTTTGTTTCCAGCCACCAGGTTGTGTCATTCCTTCTTTTTGAAAGTCTTTTTCGATCGCTACTCTATCTTTACCCACCTGGCATGTATCACACACACTTGAGGGTCGCGGCCCTTTTCGCTACCGTTGTTCACGGTGTTACATGCAGCGTCAACTATACCGAGCTGCAAGGGCAACTATCCAGCGCTGCTTCCATCTACTTGCCGGGATCGGCTGCATTCGATGATGCAGTAGCACGATGGTCCAACTTGAGCACCCCCACGAGCAACGTGGTTGTCGTTCCAGTGACTGAGGACGACGTCGTCACGACGGTTTGTTCTCCTCCACATTGTCCCCCGGAATATCTCGGTAGGATCTGTTTCTCACATCTGCATCTTGTAGATCAAGTTCGCAAACGAAAATGGAGTACCATTTCTGGCTACTAATGGTGTGCACGGTTCCATCACGACTTTGGGTCAAATGGCATCTGGCATCGAAATTTATCTGAGCCAGTTGAACAGCATTGAGATTGCTGCAGACGGTGAAACGGTCAAGATCGGCGGTGGCGTTCGCTCCAGAAATCTGACGGATGCGCTATGGGCTGCAAACAAGCAGACAGGTAAGTGGCCGGGGTTTCAATCATACCCTAGAGTGACTAGGTACTTACATTTTTGCAGTTACTGGAACCTGCGAGTGCGTTAGCTACCTTGGGCCGGCACTTGGAGGTGGGCATGGCTGGCTTCAGGGCCATCATGGTCTGGTCTCCGACCAGTTCGTCTCTTTGAATGTTGTATTGGCCAACGGCAGCTTGGTCACCGTTGACGAGAGCTCTGATCTCTTCTGGGCCATGAAGGGCGCCGGGCACAACTTTGGCATTGTTACCTCGGTGACTTCCAAGATCTATGACTTGGAGAAGCCAAACTATGCCGTCGACACTATCTTCTTTAGTGGTGATCAGGTCGAAGAGGTCTACCAGCTCGCAAATGAGTTGTGGATCACCAATGGTACTATGCCTGATGACCTCAACAACTGGTCTTACTGGTTTTACGACCCTACTATTGACGCTGACAAGGTAACATGACCCTACATCTGCCAGTACAATCGCAGCTTCACGTGCTCTTTGACTGACATGTGGACAGCCTGTGATTGCCATGTACATCATTCAGGAGGGAGTCGACGTGGTTGACACGGCTTACACCCAACCTTTCATGAATCTCGGCCCCATCATGAGCCAACCTCAGAACGGCACCTACCTAGACTTGGCTGCGTGGACCGGAATCTCCTTGTCGGACGGCCCCTGCCAAAAGACGGGCAACGCCAACCCCCGCTTCCCCATCTATCTCAAGGAATACAGCCCGTCCGCTCAAGCCCAGGTATACGAGCTATTTAGACAGGCCACTACCAACGATTCCACCCCCTTCAGCGGAGCTCTCTTCATGTTTGAAGGCTACTCCCAGCAAGGAGTCAAAGCAGCTGCCGACGACGCCTCGGCCTTTGCTTACCGCTCTGATAACCTCCTTGTTGCACCACTGCTCACTTATGCTCCTACGGGTCCCGAGGTGGAGCAGGCGGCGTATGATCTTGGCAACCAAATCCGCGATATCCTGTTCCAGGCTAGCGGAGAGAGCAGCCTGCACACGTACGTCAATTACGCGTATGGAGACGAGACGGCTTCGGCCTGGTACGGAAGCGATGCGAGCCGCCAGGACCGCCTACGAGCCCTCAAGTCGGCCTATGACCCTTCGGCCGAGTTTAGCTTTTATGCCCCGATTGTTTGATAGAAGGAATCCAGAAGCTGAGACCTAGATATTGATGCTCAATTAGTGTTATAAAAGAATACCATGCAGAGAATGTCACGCGGCGCACCATTAACAGGACCATATCCTCCGTGAACTCGATAACCGTCCCCAGAAGTGAAACTGCGTAAACCATGTTCGTGTGAAACCTTGACACACACCCCGACCTTTCGGGGAGATCGAAGAGTAAATAAAATGGTTGTACGACCCATTCTCTCCAGCGTTCAAGTGCTCGTTAGCATGCGTACGAAAATAATAATAAAAATAGCTAACCAGTGATAAGCTACAAGTCGCTCATGTAACAAGCACGTAAAAAGTCTAAAGGCGATATTTATCTGACAAAACCGCGGATTAATCTGCTTAATGTTGTATTCTTGCTTCAATCTGCTTGTTAATTATATTGCATCATTATAGCATTTGCCACGGGCAATGTGTCAAAATGTAGGAATAAGTGGAGCGCTTCTCCACGCATGTATATATCTTTGACCATCCAACCTCTGTTGGATGTGAACAACTCAACTAATACATCAACTATTACCCATACCTATCATATCTTTTCACACAATGGCCGATATATAAAGTTGTTAGCTAAAAAACCTTCAGTAATGAGAGCAACTTTGAGAATGGCCTTTGTATCGTTATGTCATCTCCCTCTCAACTTATTCTATTTGGGAAAACAGCGCGTCCTATGCTCCCGTGAACGTCCGACTGAGAATACAAATCGTCGTCTTTACCCTGACCCAGCTTCTCACACTCTATGCGACGCCATGTTTTGTCTTGATTCTGTACAGCCGTGATCCGCTGTCCGTAATCGCCCGTCAGGGCCCCTCGTCCAGCAATTCAAGTTGATTAGGTGCATGTTTTTGGTGCGCCGTTTTGAAGAGTGGAAGTTTTGATATGCGACAGAGGCCAAACCCGCCGTGACAATAAATACGGCAAGACCGAATATTACCATTGCCGCTCTAAATCTCTTGAATGGTCGCCATGGAACTCGGATTTCGATGTTTCCGAATTCGTCCATATCGATTCCGCGCCATGGCGGCGCCTGGTAATCCTGACGCGACTTGACGAGGCCTGGCTCGAACAGCACGTCGCCCGCGTGGAGGAAACACAAAGGCGGCGGCGCTAACAAACCGCTGCTTTTAATAGTGTGAGCCGTCCACGCGAATAGTGACTCGTCGAGTTGGGCGCCGACGGCCGTCCCGGCGATAAAAATCTCGCGTTGTAGACGTAAGAACTCTTTCTCGCCCCCAAGCCCATAGCGCGGGTCGAGAAAGACATTAAAAAGCCCGAGTGCGCAGTACGAGATATCCTCGGGGTAAGTTGTTCTCCGGCGAGCGAGCCAGCCCATCTTCTGCGCCGTGCTGGCAGTGCGAAAGTCGCGGAGCAGGTGTTCATGCGAGATACCTGTCGCCTGCGTGATATCATCGGCCAGCTCCTCCTTTGTCCCCATATAGCGCCAATCGCGGTCAAAGAACCAGACCTGCCTCGGTGCGAGAAGCTCTTGCAGCGTCCAGCCACGTTCAAACCACTGGGAAGTACGAAATTGTTCGTGGCTGCCGACCGGGTCTTCGGCAGCATTCCACGTGACGTCAAACAGGTAGACATAGCAGACTTCCGAGTTTTGGTACCATTTGAACATGGAGTTCATGGCCGCTGAGAGCTCGCGGATGTCCTGTTTGTTGATACAGACGGTATCTATCCAAATGTGATTTATCTCTGGGTTCATGGCTCGGACCGTCTCACAAGCGCCGGCGATCTTGTACACCGATGCCACGGTGTCTGGTCCGACATTCTCATCGGCGCCCGCGGCTGTCTTGGGCACGGGATTCGTGGGGCCAGGAGCTTGGAGTTGAGACTTGGAGACCAGCTTCAAGTCGGGATAAACGACCTCTTCGCCCACCCATCGGTGTGAGAGAATTGCATAAGGCGGTAACTGGGACGACTGTCTTTCAAATTGATCTTTCCACCTACTGACTTCATAGGTGAGGTTGCTCACTGTTTTGTCGAAACCTGACTCAACTACCAGGCTGTCGACGGACACATTTATCAAACGCATTATTGTACCGAGATACTAACAAAGTGTTCGTCCATTCGGGTGTCAAAGGGAATGCTGGGGGGTTAGTGAAGCTGAACCTTGGCCCTCCTGACGTAAAGGGGCCTCACCGCCTTAAATAGACCTATCCGGACTTAGAGCAGCCTTGTAACTACTAGGTACCTGTTCGCCTTGCCCAATGTTACATTAGGCTCTGACATAGCCTCCCCTATTACCAAGTCTTTGCGGTGACTTCGCTTGTAAGGAATCTAATTAGTAGCGTCAGAAAAGCAGCATGGAAGCCCTTCCCTCGGCCTCAGCCACACAGTTGCGCGTGCGGCGCACTTGGGGTCAGCTGCGCTGATGTGAATCTTAAATGTTGGGTCAAAGGGTAAGAAGACGCGCCGCAGGCCTACATGATGTGAATAACACGAGGTGCCCATTCATTCACTGGATCTGCTTAATTCTAATAATCATGTAGCTTTCTGTTTAGCTCACGCCAGCAAGTTATATATTAAGCGCAATACTAATCCCGAGGGGACACGTGAGCGCCCGCTCATGATTATCAAATTCCTCAGCCGAGCTAATTTAAATTGAACATACGTTCTACATCACTCTTTTGTTGTTTTCAGTTTTGCTCACTTTAAAAAGTTTCACCGTGTGGCTCTTCCTACGCACATGCCATTCTGGGAAACCTCTGAGGCAGGACTCGCGTACAGCTGAAGGGCTGTACAGGCCACAAGGACAGCTAACCGTTGACTCACTAACATTAATAACATGTTCTCTACAAATCACGAAATGTATTTCACGTAATTCAAATTTTAGTAGCTTTATTAAATTAGATTGCCATCTCAAGTAAAAGCCCATGTTAGTACCGTGTTAAATATCTCTGATCCATCATGATCTGCACTAACATCTTTGATCGGCAATGGTTCTTCAGATGCGGGCTGGCTTGAATACGTGCCGTCATCCCCCGACATTAGCGTTTGAGCAAGACTTTTACTGAATTCCGGATGTCCCTGGAATGAGAGGATTCGCTTAGAAGGCGAGATCAGAATCTCATTGTTGTCGGCGAGAGGCACAAACCCTTCGGGATGTGTAGTAACATATCGGACATGGAATTTATGTATATTCTGTGAGGTGAGGAGCTATTAGCGATTTTGGCGCAGGACAGTTAGGTTGAGAGTCTAACGCACTAGAGTATTTTTGGGCAAGTCTGCTTTCCCAAAGAATATAGAACCTTCATCGCTGAGGGATATAGTCTCAACGCCAATCTAAAGCCATGGTTAGTCAGTATAAAGGGCAAGGGATCGATGGGCCAATGCCAACTCACGCATGGGCCGGACCTGCGAGGCTCTAGCTTTCCCCCTAGCGCATACGACAGTGCTGGGACTAAGTCAAGTCGGTTTACTTAATAAGTCAGATTTACTTAACTAAATAAGTAAGCACCGAAAATTTGACGGATTTGTAAGTAAGTCATATTTTAAGCCAGATTTAACTTAATTTAACTACAAAACTCCGCTATTTTTTATCGGATATTATTTAAAATAAAATTAATCGAAAACGCTTATTTAGCTAAAGCTATTAACGTATTTAAATTAATAAATTTATAAAATTACGTAGCGGTTATACTATATTTTTTTGGCTATAGCTTATAAGGGGTTATACGGAGTTATTAGCTATAATATACCGATTTTTTAATAAATCCGCTATATAGCTGCGATTTATTACTAATTATTAGCTATAAATAATTATAATATATTTTACGAATTTATAATTAAGCTAATTATTTAAATAAATAAATAAGCTATCGATCGTAATTAAAAATAATATAACGCTATATTAAATCGCAAATTCTAAATTAATAGGATTAATCGCAACGTTAAAATCTTTTTTATTATTTATTTTATTTACTTATTACTTTATTTTTTATTATAATATTATTTGCTAAAATTAATATTATTACCGTTTATAACCTTATAGCTATAATTACGAAAAATAGCAGCGGCGCTATTATTAGCTAAAAAACCTTTTATTTATTTATTTTAATTAGCGATAACTAAGCGTTTAAATTAATAGCTTCCGGCTAATATTAATATTTTATTATAGCTTAGCAATTAAAAAATTTTAATACCGCTAATTTATTTTTTAACGCGCTATTAAACGCGTTATTTAAAATAATTTTTAATAATAAAAAATATAGCTATATTCCCGTTTATTTAATAAAAAAATCGTCGCATTTTAGCAAAACGCAGCTTAAAGAGTTTAGCGGCTATATTTTTTAATATATAAATAATAAGCTAAATAAGCGTAATATAATTAAGCCTAATAAATTATAATATTATTATTAATATAATAAAAGGGGTAATATTAGGCTATTTAATGCAAAAGCAATAATTTCCCTTTATAAATATTTATTAAAAATAAATAAAATACTATAAATCTATAAGGTTAAATAAATTTAATAATTAATTTTATATAAAAATATTATATTAGCAAATATAGTGAAGCAATTATTATAAAATTTATTATTATAAATATTTATATTCGCTATATAATTAAACGTAAAATATTTAATATATTAAAATAAATTATAAAATATTTTCGTTAATAATTAATTATTAACTTTTATTATATTATAAGCAAATTAAAGAAACGCTTTATAAATTTTATTATCGCGAATAATATATTATTTATAATTATAAAAGCTTTTAGCTTCCGCGAATTAATAATATTTTTTAATTTAAGCTTTATTAATATAATCTTATAATGCTATAAAATTATAATAATTTATATAATTAAAAGATATAAAAAATATAAAAAAGCTATTATTTAAAAAATTAAAAACGAAGCTATTTTAATTTATTATATTTTTTTTAATTACTAAACCTCGCTAAAACAGTAAGCCTTAATTAATATAATTTGCTATTATATTAATTAGGCCTATAAACGCTAAATTATATTATTAACGTTAAAAGAAATTTATAATAAATATAACGGCGCAAACTTCGGTAAAGCAATTAAAAATATTAAAGCTAAATTTAATATAAAAAATAAATAATACGTTTTAAATAATGCGTTAAATAATAATATTATAATTTTATGGCTTTATATAAATAGGCTAAAATTGCCTATATAGCATATATAATCTTATAACAGTCAGAGGAGCTTGTGATTTAGGGTTTCGATATCACCTGATAGGAGCGGTGTATAAGCATGAATAAGTGATTAAAAATAATCTGATTTTATATAAATAAAATAAAAGGTAAGTCGTATTTATATACCCATCCAAAAGCTCTTATAGAACTTAATTAGTCTAATTTAAAGATTTTTTTAAAAACTATAAATATATAAAATAAATATCCCGTCATATACTCCCTAAGCTGATCCAGCGTCCTAAAAAAGCTTAAAAGTTATATACTCAAAATATATATTCCTAATTCTTAATATCTAGTTTCGGTTTCTAACTTTTTTTTAGGCGATTAAATAATTATTTAATTAGAAACCTGGTTTTTATTAATATTTATTTATCTTATTTTTTTTAAATTCTGTAAATTCTTTTTTTTCGGCTTTAAATAACCCCGTAGCTAACTTTTTAAAAAGTAATTAATTTTAAAATTAATAACTGCTTTTTTAAAATTAATAACTGTTATTTATTTTATCCGATTTTAAACTTCCTAATCCGTAAAAATCCGTTATTAATTTATTTTTTGCTTTAAAATTAGTAACTAATTTTTTAATTAATAAATCCTAATTATAGGTTTTTCCCTTTTATAAAAGGAAAATTTCCCTTTTATATATTAAGCTTTATTTTTTTCCTTTTTTATTATATATCCATTTTTTTAAATCCCTCCGGATTTATTTAGTTTAGCTTTTTAAATTTTATTAATTTTAAATTTTTTTTTTCTCTTTTTTATCTTTAAATTTATTATTATTATTAAGCTTTTAAAATTTGCCGTTATAATATTTAAAAATAAACGCTCCTTTTTTAAGCGTAGCAAAAGCTTTAAAAGCTCCGTCCGCTTGTTTTTAATTACCTTTCGCCGTCCCGATAACTAGTTTCACCGTTTTATTAAGCGTAAAGCTGCTAATCGTCGTTCTTAAATCACTTTTAAATTCGCTAAGGCTAAAATTAATCGAAATAATAATAATAAAGCTTTTTTTAATAGCTTTTATTTTTTAAATTTAGTTTTTTTAATAAGCTATTATTTATTAATTTTATTTTTATTTTTTTTTAATTTCGTTATTTTAAAAGTTTTATAATTTTTTTTATTTACGAATTCCCGCCTAATTTAAATTTTTAAATTTAGTAAGCTTCGGCGGAGCAAATATAAGCGTAAAACGCACCGGGCGCAATTTTTATCGATTTTTCGAACCCTTTTTTTCGAATTAAAACCTAATTTTAAAATTAACCTTAAACCTAATAATCCTAATCCTAAGTTTAAAACTAATTTCGAGCTTAGGGCTAATTTTTTAAAAAAAAGCTATTTAAAGCTTTTCGAAATATTTCGATAATTAGTATTAATTTAATTAGCGTTTTTAATTTTAAAGGTTTTAATAAATTTTTTATTAATATTAACGAGCTTTTTAGCCGTTATTTTTTTTTTGTTAAGCAGGCTAACCGAAATCGTAAAGCTAATCGGGCTCGCAAATTTTAAGCTATTAGCTTTAATAAGCCTAAAAACCTTTTTTATTTTAACCGCCGCTTTTATTATCGATTTTGGGTTTTTAAATTTATTAAAACCGATAATCTCTTAATTCGTACTAAAAATAATATTTTTATTTCCGAATTTTTTTATTAATTTCGCCGTAATAAGCTTTTAGCTTTAGCTTAAAATCGTTTTTACCGTAATATAAAAAAGCTAATTTTTTTAAAAAGCGCTTTTAATCTTTTTTCCTTGTTTAAAAAGCCTTTTAAACGTATTATTAGCGAACCTTAAAAGCCCTGCTTTCGTTGCTTAAAAAGCGCTATAAAAAGCCGTTTTAATAGGCTATATTATATTATTAAAGGTAAAAACCGTTAT